CCCTCACCCCAACCACTTGTTTCAGAAAAGATTTGGGACTAGTTATCAGTTACTGGGTCTGTCCAAAACATGTGCATGAGCCATGGTTTGCACAACAGAGCAACCTTTCTGCAAGGCAGGACTGGTCAGGCTTCAAAGGACACAGCACAGTATTTCAGAGTGGTGTCTGTATATACCCCCATTAGAATCTTTATGAGGAACATTTTAATACACAAATATCCTCGCCTTCCTTGCCCCCCAGTTAAAATGGCAGGAGGTGAGGGAAAGAATCAGGGACCACATTAGAAACACTTTTTAAATCATTGGCTCTTATAGAATTTAAGTATACTGTGTAAAGCTCTGTTAGAACACTAACACATTGAATTGAAATCATCATCTTTTTGGGTCTGTCCTCCATCAAAATAAGTTCATAGATGTAAGGAGTGCATCGCTTTGGCTATGAATGCTTGCTATTCCCAATGTAAGACAACTTTAACTGAATGTGTCCCAAGGCTGGGGTATATTGGTAGGGTAAGTAATACGTTTTGGAAGAAAAGGGAAGTTGAGCTATGAATTATCTCCATGAAAGGGATTTACAGCTTATTATGAAGAGTCTCCAAATGGAGTGAGGAATAATAAGCAAGCACAGAATTCATATCTCCAAGTACTAGAGTCAGGGGGCTTAAAACATGGCATCAGTGGGGAAGAAGGTATGAAAATCTACCTCTTATAGTAGCTAGATTTAAAAAAAAAATTCTTACTGGGCATTCTCCTAAAATAGGTTGTGCATTTCTTGTTTCTGATGAGCCTCAGGGTTATCAGCAGGAACAACATAATACAGTGGAGCTCCAGAGGCAAACCAACCATAAGGGGCTGGCTTCTCAAAGTTGCTCAGCCTTAACTGGGATCATATATACAGCTTCTGTTACTTTTCATTTGGTGCTTCTAATTGGGTAATTAGTTGGAATAAGGTGTATCCGTTCCCTAATTTCCAGATTTGAATTTCTCAAAAGGTCAAACTAACATTCTCCACTGTACAATGTGATTAACAAATTCCCACAAATTTCTTAAAGGCTGATATCTCTCATCTTTTGTGGAATGCTAGGAAAAATTAAATCTTATATATTCACAGTTGGATGAACCCCACATTAACATTCTATGCAGGCATGTTTTTAAAGAAAACACTTTTTTTCTTTTACATATAGACGATTGTGCTGATGAGTGACCTGGCTACTACCCTGGATGCACAGGGCCGCTTTGATGAGGCCTATATTTATATGCAAAGGGCATCAGATCTGGCAAGACAGATCAATCATCCTGAGCTACACATGGTACTCAGTAATCTAGCTGCAGTTTTGATGCACAGAGGTAGGTAGCAATGGAAACTTAACTGACTTGCTTTAAGGGAGGGATGTCACTGAATTGGTAAATTTGTGAATGGTGTGTAGGGAAGGCAAGGGCCAGTGAAGAAACTCGTACATTAAAAGGCTGGTTGAATAATGGCAGAAAAAAGCCGAGGTATTAGGTTGAAGTACGATTGTGCTCAATTCACAAAACTTCTACAGGCCTGCACTAGCCCATCGAATCCCATCAAGCTGCAGAAAACTTTGCGATGACAGTCCCTCATTTTCAGAAACCTGGGATGACAGGTGTATTACACATACCCCCATTCATGAAATCTTTGGCTAATTGAGGACCCCAGGATATACTGGAAAGGACGGTTAGAAATTCCACAGAATTCAGTGGAGTCCAGCCTGTCAGATGGGGATGAGATGAGGCAGCACCAGCCTGTCACTTCATAAGCACACAGTAAATTATCCCTATATGCTCATTAGTCCTCTCTCTTCAGAATCACCTTGAAAACATACACTTTCTTACTATCCCTTCTCTCTGGGTTGTTTTAGAACGATATACACAAGCAAAAGAGATCTACCAGGAAGCACTGAAGCAAGCAGAGCTGAAGAGAGATGAAATTTCTATACAGCACATCAGGGAAGAGCTGGCTGAGCTGTCAAGGAAAAGTATACCTTTGACTTAAATTCTGTCAAGCTCTAAATCCATTTTTGTGTAGGGAGAATTATGTCTTGTAATGCAGAAGAATAGCTATTATTCCTGTGTCTGTGGCACCCAACTCAATGGCTTAAATCTGTCGTTTTTGATATTCAGCTTTCCTCAATTTCGCTTTAGTGAAGGACGAGTTATATACCCTGCCATTTTTGTATTTTAAAGGAAAAATGACTTTCATTCCCAATGATTATGATCTTTCAGGACTGCTATTAAGTAATGGTTTCAGTTGTAACATATGACTAGGTGCTGTCCTGCTGGTCTAAGTAGAACTGTAGATTAATACAGGCTGGCTTTCCTGTGGGCTGTGGGTGTGGTGATTCAGCCTGGCATTTCTATCAATTTGTGGTCTACTGATTTGCTGCCCTCTCTTCTCTTACTTTATCAATATCTGGCAAACTGACCAGAATTACCTTTCTCATGGCAAAGGAGGATTATGGTGAGTTTTTCTTATAATCTGTTTCATGAAGCACAATGTGGAATTTAATGCATAAAAGAGAAAAAGTAATAGTTTCCTACCAGCATCCAGCATGAAGTTTTAAAGTGGGAATTGGGCATGTGACAGTATATAGCACCCAAATTTTATTTGAATTTAAATAAAAGTGAACCATATTTATCTGGTTATATAAAACTACTTAAAAATAGAGGTGGGCTAGAAAGAATGATGTAACCTTTTGTCAGTGTTATCTGAGCACTCTACTTCCCAGCCTTAGTCACACAACTGAGTCATCTCAAGTACTCTTTAAGGACACCACATGCCCAGGGCTGAGTCAGAATAGGGCCCTACAGGTGTATTTCAAAACTTGTAATTCTGATGTGTACTGCTGGTATAGTTGAACTACTGACCTGGATCTTAGTCCTAGCCTTTTTGCTTTTGTGATTTCAGTATCTTCATGTGTGAAGTAGGGAAACACTGAGATTCTTTCTTAACCAAGGTGTTCGGTTAGATGACTTTGAATGAATAGACTGCTGTGCTCTTAAAAGAGCTTATCACATTGCCTCAAAGTATGTAAAGATACATAGGTGGATGCTCTTACCTCAGCAGTTGTACAAATATATCTTGAGCTATTTACCTAAGGGAAAAGACAGTTTTTCTAGGCACCATGAAGGAATACTGAAACTGTTGGTATGCCTGTGTGGGTGGGATGTGAGTGGGACGGATAAACTGATATTTTTGGTTCGTATGTACATACTGGAAGAATCTTTTCGTAATAAACGAGACTACACAACAATATTGTACGTATCCCAGTAATCTTTGCATTTCTCAAAAAACAAAACAAAAACAAAAAACTTCCTGAAGAATTAATTACACCAGAAAACACCGGAAACCCTGAGGTCCAAATCCTCAGGGATTGGACTAAAACTAGAATTTTGTTCTGTCTAATCACATATTATTTACCACCCAGATAATGCCGTTAATCAAGTCTAGCTCAGAGAGATAAATACAATATAAATCAGACTGTCAGTAGAAACCAGTATTAACATATGGTGATTTCTTTAAAAAATTACTGTCAACTACTTACCTTTTGCATTGAGAATGTTTTTACCTTTTCACAACTTGCAGGGGTTACTGAAAGGTTTTTCATTGCAAGTTTTATTTATTAATTAATTTTAAATCATCCACAGTAATTAAATTCATGGTCCGGTTGTTGGAAACACTAGGAGTTTTCAGGACAGTCTCTTCATGTGGGTGTTCTCATTACAGTTCATTTGCACTGTTGTAAAATAAGGTACTGAAGCAAAAGGAGGACTCATCTCCTTTACTGACTGGTCCAAACTCAAAAATGAATTGGCTAAAATTATATGACTAAATTTTTGGACTGTCCAATGGTCAGTGGAGTTTTTCAGGGCATATTTTAAAAATAGAATTGGTGTACAAAAATTAAAGTATTAGGAAATTTCCTAAACATGCACTGTAAAATTGGCTGTCAGAATATTTCTATGAAGCGTATTTGGGAGACTTTAGTTCTGAGTGTTAAAAAAACTCACGTGTAAGGATATAGTGTCACAACACTGAAATCTAAGCCTACAAATACCAGGCCTTGGTTTGCAGTGACCTTCAGTAAGTTGTCAGGTACTGCTCCGTGCTGTGCTTACCACTTAAATCATGTTAAGGTGAACCTCCATAGGTAAGCCATGTGAGAATTTGGTCCTTTCATATATATTTTTTTTTTTTTGGAACCAAGAACTGTTACTGGATTTTAACTCTCATTCTGAGATTTCTTCTCCAGATGATGGTAAATAAAGTAATACGCACATGCATTATGATGAGGATGGAGTGAGTGGTTCACAGCAGCTCGCCTTCGGGTCCTCAAATGGAACTGCAAGAGCAGAAAGTTAGGCTCTGATCTGACATGTTCTCAGAAACTATACAGTTGACCTTCAAACAATGCAGGAATTAGGGACATGGACCCCCTAAGTAGTCAGAAATCCACATCTAACTTTGTCTCCTCCAAAACGTAATGCCTACTGTTAACCAGAAGTCTTACGGATAACACAGTTGATTGACACATATTTTGTGTATGTATTATATGCTATATTCTTACAATAAAGTAAGCTAGAGAAGAGAAAATGTTATTAAGATTATAAGGAAGAGAAAATATATTTACTATTCATTAAGTGGAAGTAGATCATCATGAAGGTCTTCATCCTCATCAGCTTCATGTTGAGTAGGCCGAGGAAGAGAAGGGGTTGGTCTTGCTCTCTCGGGTGGCAGAGGTGGAAGAAAATCCGTGTATAAGTGGACCCACACAATTCAAACCCATGTTGTTCAAAGGTCAACTGTATTCTGACTCCGAATAGCTTAAGACCCTCAGGGTCATAGAAAAATACCATCATAATCTCTTTTGTGGTAGGTTGGCAATATAAATTATTAACAAACTCTAAAATATTACCAGTACCTCAAAAAAAAATTCATCAGAAAACTGTAAAGTGGTACATTTAGTCATTGTTTTTCATTCATATTGAACTTTTTATGTGTTTTTACATATATCTATTGTAAAAATACTAACTTTCCAAGTAAGGGGAATGCTGAGCACTAAGCCTGATCTAAAGTTTATGTTGGAGACCTCAGGTATACGGGAGTGGAACAGGGACAGAAATGAAAGATTTCACTGAAGATATGTGGGCTTATGGCCTATCTCTGTCACTAATTTAACTACATGGGCAAAGTACTAAACCTGTGTCTTCATCCCAACATAGGGATTAGACACTAGTGATAGGAGGGTCTTGGGCAGTAGCTAATCATAGAGCTGCTCCCTTAAAAGCCTTGAGTATTTCTGTTTAAAAGTTTAGGTCTCCTTTAAAGTCTGTAAAGTGCTAATTTTTATCCTGAGAGATTTATTTCTCCCCTTTCCAGTTGCCAGTGGCATTCTCCCAAAACTGTTAGTATCTGTATGTTATGGAAAGGTATGTAAATGCTATGATAAATTGTATGAAAGAAACTTTAAAATTCCGCAAGCAATTCTTAAAACTGGCCCTCTAGTACCATAATTAGTTTAGAATTCCATCTTTTAAATTATTTGCACCTTGAGAATCTGTGAAATGAAACATTTAGCAGTAAACTCTTGTCCCAAGGAAGCAAAGTGAGAGTAAGTGCCGATCCGGAGCAATGTGGAAAAGGGCTGTGTTCACCGTGAGTTTCTCAGGATGCAGCACAAAGCACATCTAAGTACTACATAGATCATTATCTTTTAACTTGACCAATCATAGCAAACTAAGGGAAAAATACGTAAGCGTTTTCTTTGGAACCTGAGACACCAGGAGCCTTAAACCACAAATAATCTACTATAGCTATGGACAGGGTAGTCAAATTTATTTCAAAACAAAAGCTTTGTTGGGCTGCATCAAATGCAGGAGAAAAGGAATACTTAGGGGCGTGGTTAAATTACCAGTGTGCATAACAGTGAGGTATGCCTCAAATAAGCTTTTAAAACTTTATAAACTGAACTAGAACATACCCATGCAGTAATATTTTTTCAGTGCTACTAATGGGGAAAAAAAAATTAAAGCCTGCACTGGAAATTTACAATATGGCAGAATTTGTTACTTCTACCTTTTGACTCTAATGTACAGATTTTATGACAGGGTCTGTGTTAAAAATCTAAACATTTCCACAAGATTTTAAACATCACTGGAAAGCTGAATTTAGAGGAAACAAAATCAGATAAAAGTACAATGCCCGTGACAGCCAACATTATGTAACTGGGCTGTATGAGGTTGTTGAGAAGGCTAGGGTTAAAAAGATAGACAAAAAGATTTTTAAAAATCACCCCCAAAGTTGATGCGCTGATTTGAACATAAGTACACCAGATACTACAGCAAGGGGATATACACTGCAAAAAGATAATCTATTTACAGAAGAGTGATTTTTTAAAGACATTATGGTTTTCTTTACAAACAGATGTAAGAACAGGAACTGTCCACTTTTTAAAAACTCTACATTTCAACCCTCCACTATTATAGTCTACTGAATTGCCTGTATTCAAAGGCAGTTTTTTGTTTTTTGTTGACTCTCCAAATAAATTTCCATCATTTCTTCATCATCTGTGGGCTGGCTGTCCTGAAAAGTCTCAGGGCATGTCACAGGAGGGCAGGGTTTTGACCTGCTACTAAAAATTAAACCATCAAAAACTGGAGATCCTTTTCCTGCACCCTGTTTGTCTCACTTCGTGCAGTTCAGTCATCACTATCCGACAGGGTCTCATACTGTGCTGAGAGGAGCGGGGCAGGCTCTCGCTCCCAGATCCTGTTCTGTTGGTGAGGAGCTGCTTGGTTCACAGCAGACGGAGCACATGCAATCGGTGTTGGTGGCGTACTGCTTAGCATCCGCATAGTCAGAGGGTTATAGGGAAACTGAGTTGAGCCTGACAAAAGAAAAATTAGGTTTACATTGTCATGAGCATACCTTCTATTTCATCCAATCCAACTTTTGTAGGATAGGGTAGAACAGGATTACTCTAAAGTGGTCATGTGACACCATGAGAACAAAATGAATACAACATAGAAGGGCCAAAGTCTCACCACTTAAATCCTAGCCAATGATATGTAGCAATCAGTTTGAGTCCAAAAAAGAAGAGTAACACAAGGAGCATATGGGTAAGGGCCCCTGAGCCCGGAAGAGAAAGCTCAGGATAGATTTTTAGTTAAGTCTGTAACTATCAGGTGTTTCCATAGAGAATCCAAGTGGAACTATTAAGTATTAAGCTCTAATTGAAACACGCGTCAGGTTATACCCAGAGCTTTCTTAACTCTTCAAGAGAAATGCAAAAGTATCAAAGCACAAGTAGCCAGGAATGTGAGCAGACTGAAGGGCAGCAGGATGCATGTCATCTGCTGACTCTCACTAAGCAGATTTTAAAAGTATAAAGACAGACATGAGGTAATTAATGAACACTGCTACCCTTCATCAGTTTCTAGATGTTTACCTGTCCCCAGAAAGCCTCCTACAGCTTAAGAAACCCCCCAAACATAAAACATAACCATTTCATCAAATAGTCAATCTCAGGTATGGTCTAATAATACTTCCCCAAGAAAGATTTGAGAAGCAGCAATCACTGGTCTAGGCTGAAAGCTTTCAAATTCAAACACAACCACTTTGCATGTGGCATGAGTTTTATAATGCAAAAGCCTGATATAATTTATATATGTCTTAAGGGGGAGGGCACATTTCAGATTTTTTTCAGTGACATGTATTTAATCCTAAGGAAAAGAAGGCTTATAATTCTCTGAAACTTTAAAATCCATAATATCCCAGTTTTATTTAGAAAGTCTGTTACTTTTTAAAGCTACCATGACGATAGTTATGTTACGTTTTTAAAGTTTACAAATAGGCACAAAATACAAAATAGTATCCTGGAGTATTACTTTTCAGCAGTTTGTGTAAATTACTTTTCAGACAGATGACAGCTTTTTGTTTTTAAGTTGGAGTCTCACTCTGTCGCCCAAGCGGGTGCAGCGGTGCAATCTCAGCTCACTGCAATCTCTTGCCTCCCAGGTTCAAGCAATTCTCCCACCTCAGCCTCCCGAGTAGCTGGGATTACAGGAGCCCACCACTGCCCCTGGCTAATTTTTGTATTTTTAGTAGAGACAGAATTTCACCATGCTGGCCAGGCTGGTCTTAACTACTGACCTCAAGTGATCTGCCCGCTTTGGCCTCCCAAAGTGCTGGGATAAACAGGCATGAGCCACCACACTAGACCAGATGATGGCTTTTTAAGCTAGTCTTCTCATTTCTAATTTTGATTTCTTAGTATTTCCCTAAGAACTTCCTCTAAGAATGCCAATGTGAAAGGTGAAGTTCTCTTAGAAGTGGCATGGTACTTTCAGGTACAGTTCTCAAAGAACTAAAACGGCATTGTTTGCTTTGCAGATAGTAAATATTCACTACCAGTGTAATACAGAAGTGAGAACGGATGAGATTATTTTTTCATAGCTCTTCCTTTGTTTACGGTAATTGGGTTTTGCATTCTAAAAATGTTTCAGGTTATATGTGCATTCAGTTTCTATTCTGGGTGTGTGCATTGGTTGATGTCTGTGATACCAACACTTTGGGATGCCAAGGCAGAAGGAATGAGTTCAGGAGTTTTGAGACCAGCCTGGGGAACAGTGAGATCTCATCCCTACCAAAAAAAAAAAAAAAAAAAAATTTAGCCAGGCATGGTGGTGCACACCTGCAGTCCCAGCTACTTGAGAGGCTCAGGTGGGAGGATCACCTGAACCTCAGAGGTTGAGGCTGCAGTGAGCCATGATCATGCCATTACACTCCAGCCTGGGTGACAGAGCAAGACCACCCAAAAAAACACTTCTATTCTGGAAAGTGGAACCTATTAATTAAACAGAAATGGAATATAGGTTTCCAAATTAGAAAAATTGCTGAATGTTGAAGAACTAATAACCAAGACATTGATATAAGTTGCTTTGTCTCGTTTTCTAACAGTTAAAGCAGGCTCCTTACCTGTTGAAGAGGGTCTGTCTTCCCAGGCCCACCCTGGCGTCTGCCTATGGTAATCCCCTTCTGAATGTACAGAGGAGACTGAAGACGGCCGTTCGGTTCCTAAGTAGCCTTGCCCAGGGATAGGAGATTTAGATTTCCTGCTGTTTGACTTGCTGATCAGCTTTGGTTTGCAAACTCCTCCTAAAAGTGAAATTCAGTTTAAAGTATTACTATATTTAAGTTCTCAAAAATCACCCAAATGCTAATGATTATACAGTGCTAAATGAAAAAAAGCAGAATGGTAACATGAAGAATCCAGACCCTAGTACTCAATGAAATAAAACTCTGTAGGGATACCTCAGAGATACTGAGGGTTCAGCAAGTCAGAATCATTTTGCTGATGGATGGTCTTGCCTGCATGTGGATGGCTGCTGACTAATCCACATGGTGGCTGCCGAAGGCTGGGGGTGGCCGTGGCAATTTGTTTTTTTTATGAAAGATTTATTTGTAGCATGTAATGACAGCATTTTACCCACAGCAGAACTTTCAAAACTGGAGGCGATCCTTAACCCTGCTTTATTAATTGGGTTTATGTAATATTCTAAATGCTTTGTTGTCATTTCAACAATGTTCACAGCATCTTCAGAGGCAGAGTCAATCTAAGAAACCACTTTCTTTGCTTACTTACTCCTAAGAAGCAACTCCTCATTCATTTCAAGTTTAATCATGAGATTGCAGCAATTCAGTTACATCTTCAGGCTCCACTACTAGTTCTAGTTCTCCTGGTACTTCTTTTTTTTCTTTTTTAAGGCAGGGTCTCACCTCTGCTGCTCAGGCTGGACTGCAGTGGCACAATCACAGCATACAGTTTCCGAAAGCCTCAACTTCCTGGGCTGAAGCAATCCTCCCACCTCAGAACCAAGTAGCTGGGACCACAGGTGTACACCACCACACTCGGCTACTTTTAAAAATTTTTGCAGAGATGGGGTCTCAGTATGTTGCTCAGGCCAGTGTCAAACTCCTTGAGTCTACTGCCTCAGCCACCCAAAGTGCTGGGATTACAGGTATGAGCCATCATACACGGCCCTCTCTTGCTATTTCACCTACAGTGACTCCCTCCACTGACGTCTTGACCTCTTCCTAAGTTATCCATGGGAGTTGGAATCATCTTCCAAACTCCTGTTAATGTTGATACTCTGACCTTCTCCCATGAATTACAAATGTCCTTTAATAGTATCTAAAATGGTGAATCCTTTTCAGAAGGTTTTCAGTTCACTCAGATCCATGAGAGGAATCACTGTGGCAGCTATAGCCTTACAAAATGTATTTCTTAAATAATAAGACCTGGAAGTGGAAATTATTCCTTGATCCATGGGCTACAGAATGGATGTTGTGTTAACAGGCATGAAAACAACATCTTCTTGAATCTTTCCAACAGAGCTCTTGGGTGATTAAGGTGCACTTGTTGACGAGCAGTAGTAGTTTGAAAGTCATACTTTTTTCCTAAGTAGTAGGTCTGAACAGTGGGCTTAAAATATTCAGCAAGCCACTTCTGTAAACACATGCTGTCATCTAGGCTTTGCTCCGTTTCTAGAGCACAGGTGAGTTGACCAAGCACAGTTCTTAAGTGCCTTAGGATTTTCAGAACGGTAAAGGAGCACTGGCTTCAACTTAAAATCAACACCTGCATTAGCCCCTAACAAGAGAGTCAGCCTGTCTTTTGAAGTTTTGGACTGTTCCAGTAGAAGGCTGTTTTGTCTGTATGGAAGACTTGTTGTTGAATGTAGCGACCTTTATCAATGTTCTTAGCTAGGTCTTCTGAGTAACTTGCCACAGAGTCTTCATCAGCACTTTGTCCCTCACCTTGCACTTTTATGTTAGGGAGAAAGCTTCAGCCTCTCAGCCAGCCTCTGCTAGCTTCAATCTTCTCGTGCTTCCTCACCTCTCTCATTAGAACTGAGGAGTTGGGGCTTGGAACAGGATTAGGTTTTGGCTTAAGGGAATGTTGTGGCTGGTCTTTGGTCTTCTATCCAGACCACTAAAACTTTGTGTATCACAAAACACTGTTTTGCTTTCTTACCATTTGTGTGTTCACTGGAATAACACTTTTAATTTCCTTCAAACACTTTTCCTTTGCTTTTACAATTTAACTAATTGTTTAGTGCAGGTGTCCCCAAACTTTTTACACAGGGGGCCAGTTCACTGTCCCTCAGACCGTTGGAGGGCCACCACATACTGTGCTCCTCTCACTGACCACCAATGAAAGAGGTGCCCCTTCTTGAAGTGTGGCAGGGGGGCAGATAAATGGCCTCAGGGGGCCGCATGTGGCCTGCGGGCCGTAGTTTGGGGACGCCTGGTTTAGTGCATGAGGTCTAGCTTTCTGCCTGTCTTGGCTTTCAACATGCCTTTTTCACTAAGCTACTAAGCTTAATCATTTCTAACTTTTGATTTCAAGTGAGAGACTTGTGACTCTTCACTTGAACACTCAGAAGCCATCATAGGCTTATTAACTGGTCTAATTTCAGTATTGTTGTGTGTCAGGGAATAAGGAAGCCAGAGGAGGTGAGAGACAGGGAACAATTGTCAGTGGAGCAGTCAGGACACACACCACCATTTTTTTTTTTTTTTTTTTTTGAGATGGAGTTTTGCTCTTGTTGCCCAGGCTGGAGTGCAATGGCACGATCTTGGCTCACTGCAACCTCCGCCTCCTGGGTTCAACTGATTCTCCTGCCTCAGCCTCCTGAGTAGCTGGAATTACAGGCATGTGCCAGCAAGCCAGGCTTATTTAGTATTTTTAGTAGAGATGGGGTTTATCTGTGGCTGGTCTCGAACTACTGACCTCAGGTGATCCGCCTGCCTTAGCCTCCCAAAGTGCTGGGATTACAGGCATGAGCCACTGCACCCCAGCCAAGTCTGCCATCTTATACGGGCGCTGCTCATGGTGCCCAAAACAATTACAGTATCCAAGATCACTGATCAGTCACAGAGATAATAATCATGAACAAATTTGAAATATTGTGAGAATTACCAAAATGTGACAGAGACAAAAAGGAGATGCATGATATTAGAAAAATAGTGCTGACAGACTTGTAGAATTGCCACAAATCTACAGTTAAAAAACACACACACACAATAAAACAAGGTATGCTTGTATTTAAAAGAAAGCCAGAATTTCACTTGTAGCAATCAAAACAAAAAAAAACAAGGGTCGTCCTCCTGCCATTAATTTTAAAACGTGGTAATTAAGGAACTGAAATTTCTGAAACTTCAAGGCTTCTTTACTGGCCTCAAAGAGTACAGAAACTATTGAAGAAAGAAGGCAGGGTGACAAAAATCATACCTCATAATGACCAACCTCCCTTTCCAACTAGAGTTAACAACACAGCACACAAAGAAACAGTATGTAAAGGAAAAAGTGCAAAACAAAGCTTCTTTATGCTACTACAGGACTTGAGCAGAGGCTCAGCAAGTATTGGTAGCCCTTTCTATTTTCCCGGACTTTGCAGCTGATGAACTCAGCAGAAGTTCACGTAAATGAGACACCTCTGACTGTGCTCTAGAAGAAAACGTGAAAAAGATCTCAGAAGAGATCAGAGCCCAGGTCACCAGCAGACACTTTACTCAGTCCCAGCAGAACAATTTCACACTGCCCCAAATTCCCATACAACCCGTACAGTATAATTGCCTGTCACCAGTCTTATAACGTTAAAACACACACACACTTAAAGCCAATAAACATTTGGAAGGTAAGAACAGAAAGAAGAAGATGATGCTTATTTTTCAGAGCAGGAAGTAAACTGATAAGGTCTTAAAGTTAACATGTATAGGTTTTTTGGTGGTTTTTTTTTTAAGACCTTTAATCTTTTTCTTAACCACAGTATCTAAACTAAAACAGAAACTGCTGAATTTCAAGTAATGTTCAAAAGCATAAGAGATACTAGTTCTCAAAATATTAAGAAAAGGGTTATAAGTTTAAAACTTAGGATTTTTTTTTTCTGTGCTTGTTTTTAACAGAACGTATAAAATCTTATACAGAGACATGTCTGAAACAATGCTTATCAGATAGAAGCACTAGCATTCTGCATGGTGTAACTTGAAGAGTTGGGTTTTTTTCTTCCCTTTTTTCAGACAGGGTCTTACTTTGTCATCTGGGCTGGAGTGCAGTGGCACAATCCCAGCTCTATGAAACCTCTGCCTCCTCGGGCTCAAGTGATCCTTCCACCTCAGCCCCTACAAGTAGCTGGAATTACAGGCACAAGCCACCAGGCCCAGCTAGTTTTTGTATTTTTTGTAGAGATGGGGTTTTCACCATGTTGCCCAAGCTGGTCTTGAACTCTAGAGCTCAAATGATCCACCCACCTTGGCCTCCCAAAGTGCTAGGATTACATCTTTTTTCCTAATTTTTTCTCTGGCATACGATTATTTAATTTTAATTTACTAATGTATTTATTTAGAGATGGAGTCTTGTCGCCAGGCTGGAGTACAGTGGTGTGATCTCAGCTCACTGCAACCTCTGTCTCCTGGGTTCAAGCGATTCTCCTGCCTCAGCCTCCTCAGTAGCTGGGACTACAGGCCTGCGCCACCACACCCAGTCATTTTTGTATTTTTAGTAGAGACAGGTTTCAGTATGTTGGGCAGAATGGTCTCCATCTCTTGATCTTGGGATCTGCCCACCTCAGCTTCCCAGAGTGCTGGGATTACAGGTGTGAGCCACCACGCCCCACCAGCTTACAACTGTTTTATACTGAGCCTGATTTTTGCAGTTAAATCATTTTTATTCAAAAACATATTTGTGTTACAATTACAATGTAGCATGTATAAATGAGGACTAGAAGCAAACAAATAAAAAAATGGACATCCCAGGAGGGTGACACTTTGTGTAATTTTCTTCCTTTTTATTTCTGTTCATGTCATTATAATGTCTTGGTAAGTTTTTAAAAACATTTTTTAAGTAACTGAAATGCTAAGAGGTGACCCTGAGCACATAAAGACATAAATGAAATCTCTCGGTGATGCACTGGAACTTGGGAAATAAACTGGATTTGAGGGGGGAAAAGCAGCAGAAAAGCACTAAAATGAAAGCTGTACCTGAATGAGGTGATGGGTCCCCTTCCTCTCTCCGTGTCTCACCACTGGTCACAACTGAGGTGTTGGCAGTACCAGACACTACTCCCATAGGCTGGGACATGACAACTCCATGATCCTCAACTTTATCATCAAAGCTTCCCATAAGAGCCTTCCTGATAATGTCTTCTAGCCCGAGATTACTGGCAGGATCAGGCAAAAGAATGGCCTCTAGAGCTAACTGAGCCTGAAAGAGAATCAAAAGCATTTCCACGTTATTTCTGAAAGGCCAATCAGGAAACAAACATGAACAGTCCCTTCAGCCCACGGAATACATGTAGCACTTGGCAAGTCACCTAGAACAACACTAGGACCCACCACACAGAGACCATCTTTTTTTTGGGGGGGGACGAAGTCTCACTCTTGTCGCACTCAGGCTGGAGTGCAGTGGCACGATCTCGGCTCACGGCAACCTCTGCCCCCAGGTTCAAGGGGTTTTCCTGCCTCAGTCTTCCAAGTAGCTGGGATTACAGGTACCCGCCACCACACCCAGTGAAAATTTTGTAATTTTAGTAGAGATGGCGTTTCACCATATTGGTCAGGCTGATCTCAAACTCCCAACCTCCAGTGATCCGCTCACCTTGGCCTCCCAAAGTGCGGGGAGCCACCACGCCTGGCCCAGAGATCATCTTAATCCACAAATAACTCCTTAAGGAAATTTCTTTCCAAAGTGAATCAGTCACCCACACTTCTATTAGAGTTACTCAACAGTTTTCCCAGTTCCCTGGTTTCTGACACTGTTCTTTAATAGTTTCCATTCTTTTTGTTCATTTATCTTTTCAATAGGAATTTATTGGATCTCAGTTCCTTTCTGTGCTACTGACTAAACCTTCCTTCACTAAATTATTTATTCATTTTTCATATTGGAGCAGTCACTCCCCTGGTATACAGTTGCTACTCAGTACATTTGTTGGACTGACTACTGCTATACCAATTTTGTATTGGTAAATAATGTCTTTTCAGTCTTACCTGATGTAGTAACTGCTGGCAGATTAAAGATCTCAGTTCCTGGCTGAGCAGCTGCTATATTTAAGCAAACATTTAAGTTAATTAAGATGTGATAATCATATATACCAAACTAAAGTCTCAAAAAATTCCTATAATAAAATTAATCTCTTTATTTTCCATGATCCCCACCTTTGTTTTTTCACTCATTGAGTGAAGATAAAATGGAAGAACATTCTTTTTGAGATGGCATCTCACTCTGTTGCCCAGGCTTAGTTTTTTAAAAGGAAATCAGGAAATAGGTAAGTAGGAACATCAAAAGAGGATTAGTAAGCTGCGTGCAGGGGTACGCTTCTGGTGCCCCAGCTACTCAGGAGGCTGAGGCAGTAGGATTGCTTGAGCTCAGGAATTTGAGGCCAGCCTAGGCAACACAGTGAGACTCCCCCATCTGTTAACAAAAAAGGGAGGGGAAAGTGAGTAAATAAAGGAGCAATGTAACCCAGAAAAAGGGGAAGAAGGTTTGCACTGCTGGAGAAACAAATAGGAAAATGCTGTTCTTAGAACAGGAATCAAGGCTTTCTAACGAAGAAGAAATCTTGGACTCTGAGATGACCACAGCAAGTACCCAGGCAGCCTGGGATTAGATCCAGAGGAAAGCTGCCTCAGTGGATACTACAAAAATGACTGTGTGTTTCCCTGTATGGCTAACTAGAAACTCAGGATATCTGCTGGAAAAAAAGACTGTTAGTCCTTTTCATTTCTGCTGACTGTGCAACTTGTAATCTCCAGTTTGAAAAACAGCATAAGACCTGTGAACCACCTATATAATAAAGCAGTGTGCCTTTATTATAGGGGAAGACTTTAGGACATAAATGGTGTTTCTGTCATTCCTGACTTGATGCTGAGAATTTTAGAGAGAAAAAAGGAATTCAGGAAGCCAAGTGGGTGGGCAAATGATGTCCCAAAAAAATGTGAAAACTTTTTCTTTGTTCTGAGACACAGTTTTGTTCTTGTGACCCATGCTGGAGTACAATGGTATGATCTCAGCTCACTGCAGCCTCTGCCACCCAGGTTCAAGCAATTCTCCTGCCTCAGCCTCCCAAGTAGCTGGGATTACAGGCCTCCACCACCACGTCCAGCTAAGTTGTGTGCTTTTAGTAGAGACAGGGTTTCACCATGTTGGCCAGGCTGGTCTCAAACTCTTGACCTCAGGTGATCCACCTGCCTTCCAAAGTGCTGGGATTGTAGGCGTGGGCCACTGTGCTCAGCCAGAATGTGAAGTTTCTAATGAGACCAAAGAAAGCTGGACTCTTAACCAAGGGGTGAGCACATTAAAGAAGAGGGACGAGTGCATGTGCCTAGAAACAAACTTGGTTGATCAGGGAGGCTTTAAACTGACAGAGGAGAAAAGTCTTCAGAAGAAACAGAAAACAATGGCCATGGATAATAGTCTTACTTATGAGCCAGGTGACAAGGTAAATAAACTGAGTCTGAAATAACAGAGCCTTGTTATCGTGAAGTGTGTGGAAGAGGAGTCATTCATTCATTAGATACTTAATTGAGCAGTTATTTGGCTGAATCGTAAGATTACCTTCTTACTGATCAAAAATGGTCACACAAAGACAATTTCCAATAGTTAACCAATGATAATCCTTAGATACTATGTTTGCAGAATAACCCTTCCTTGGCTTATGGGAGCTTACAGTGAGTGCAGTGTGGTACTTGCTGAGGCCATACAAATCAGAATCACCTGGGGTAGCTTAGTAAATTTTCTACATTCCTAGGGCCCCATAATTCAACTACTTAATAAGCAATCCAGGTGACTGGTACCTACTGTTGAGCAAGAATGTGGTAACTGCTCAGAAATTAGCAGAAGGGAAGGTAGACATGTGAAAGCCACCGTGGAGGCCAACTTGACAGGAGGAAGTAACTCCCATCAGGAGGCAGAGAGGCCAGGATAGTGATGGCCAGAGTGAGGGCAACTGTGGTAGGGAAGGAGGAACTTTGTGTGTGGGCAGGTAGAGTATGAATTCAGTTTTAGATGCTTAAGGAGCCAGTAAGTTAGTCAAGAAGTAATGAGGTCTGCAAAGATACGTAAGTAGAGCTTAGCAGGAAAAGCTGGACTGCAGATACAAAATTTGGGAGTTTTCAGCATACAGCTGACCATTCAAATCCCCAGAGTAGACGAGAAGACTCAGATTATAAAGCATGAGAAGAAAGGGACTAAAAAGTGAGCCCTGGGGAAAACCAACAATCAAGGGCCAGGCAAAGCAAGACTGAGCTTCTAAGGAGAGGGAACTGGCCAGAGAAGTAGAAAGAGGAGAACGCGGTATCAGAAAGCCAAGACAAGAAAGCACTTTCGGGAAAAGGAAAGTGGTTCACTATGTTAAAAGCTGCAAAGAGATCCAATAAAGTAAAATTTAAAGCATTAAGGTTTTCAAAAAAATAAAGTCATTGATGTCCTTGAGAACACTGAGTTCAGATGCAACGAGGTGAAGTGAAACTGTGCTGGTTGCTGATGGTTTTCATTTAGTTCTACTTCCCAGTGAGGGCTAAATGTGCCATGGTGGGCCCACTGGTTCTTTAATATAAATTATCTTTTCCACCATGAAAAACAGTTCTTGCAAAAAAAAAAAAAAACAAAACAGACTTGCAAGCAGTTCTGTTAGTACTTTCCTTAAGACATGATTATCTCCTATTAAAGTTAGGTATTCGTTTCATCACGCATTTTCAGAGAATAGAGACCATCCATCATACTAAAATACCCAATATAGCAATATCCTACTCAAAACATTAGGCAAGAAGGAAAAACTATAAAGTAGGCTTCTTCAGTTCATACAGGGCATTTCCCTGTCAAGAGTTTACCACTTCAAGGGCAAGACAGAGACTGCACGAGAGTAAACCATACAACGGTGAAATGATCTGAATCTCAGTTCCTGGCTGCTCTGGTATCTCTAGCTCTCCATGCTCACACAAATTCATCTCTGAGTTCCAAGAGCATTTGAAAACGGGAGCATATTTTTGTTGGTGACACTTGAGGAGCTATAAATAATAAACTGTTGAAGACTGGAGATAGGAAATACTAGTAACAGTATTTTTTGAAAAGAAAGGTGGCCGGGCGTGGTGGTTCACGCCTGTAATCCCTGCACTTTGGGAGGCCAAGGCAGGTGGATCACGTGACATCAGGATTCGAGATCAGCCTGGCCAACATGGAGAAACCCCATCTCTACTAAAAATACAAAATTAGCTAGGCGTGGTGGCAGGCGAATCTCAGCTATTCAGGAGGCTGAAGCAGGAGAATCACTTGAACCTGGGAGGCAGAGGCTGTGGTGAGCCAAGACTGCACCACTACACTCCATCCTGGATGACAGAGCAAGACTCAGGTCCCCCCACAAAAAAAAGAAAGGCCATCTGCAAGCCTGATAACAACTCTGGTCAGCATTTTAAAGTATTTGTCTTTTAGATGATTTTCTTGCCACCTAAACAGAGAATCTAGTAATTAAGAGCAAGGACAAGTTCACAAACCGTGTTCAACATTTACCAGTCACACAGAGTGACAGATCTAAACACACATCCGCCAGGCAGTTCACAGTGCAAGGCCCCCACTTTCCTTTCTTTTGACAGGGTCAGAAGACTAGTACATGGTAAATTACAGAAATAAAGCAGACTACCCTTTCCTCAGCTGCTGTCACAGTGCTTGGTCTTTCTGAGAAAGCTGAGCCGTGCTGGGGTGAGGCCCTCATTTCATCACGCAACTAGCACTGTGTCCAGCAGCGCTAGCCCCACACTCGCCCACGCCATGGCCCCCGTCTCTGAACACGCCTGCATCTACTTGGCCCTCACTCTGCATGAAGATGAGGTGACCGTCTCGGAGGATAAGATCAATGCCCTCATTAAAGCAGCTGGTATAAATATTGAACCCTTTTGGCTCGGCTTGTTTGCAAAGGCCCTGGGCAGTGTCAACTTTGGGAGCCTCATGTGCCATGTAGGAGCTGGTGAACCTGCTCCAGCAGCTGGTGCTGCACTGGCAGGAGGCCCTGCCCCTCCACTGCTGCTGCTCCAGCTAAGAAGAAAGTGGAAGCAAAGAAACAAGAATCTGGGGGGGTCTGATGATGACATGAGCTTTAGTCGTTTTGACTAAATCTCTTATAATATGTTCAATACAAAGCTGAACTTTAAACAAATAAAAATAAAGAATAAAGCAGACTGTGGTATACCCAAAGTCTCTCTATCAGGACTGACCTAGGAAAAGACTGATAAGACCAGGGAGACAGTAAAAGTGAGTGTGCTGACAGAGTATGAGGAGGTTCTGATTAATACTTGCATATCGATCCTGAGGAAAGGTTCTGCCACAGAGCATTAGCTAGGGTATCTTACCAACGATCTGGCTAGGATGCTGAGTATGGAACTGTTACAAGCCAGGTGGTTCATCATTAGCAACATGGATTCTGGAGTTGGAATGCCTGGGTTTGAGCTGCAGCCTCATTACTGTGTTAACTGTGCCAGCTCTTAAACCTGAGTCTCAGTTTCCTCAGCTACAAAAGTGGAGATAATTATAATGTGTAACATGTAGGGTTGCTGTGAGGATTAAATGAGATTATATCTACACAATGCTTTGAATAGAGCTTAGCACATAGTACGTGCTAGATAACCTTTTGCTACCATTATTATTATATATATATATATATTTTTTTTTAATTATTTTTTTGAGATGGAGACTCACTCTGTTACACAGGCTGTAGTGCAGTAGCACAATCTTGGCTCACTGCAACCTCTGCTTCCCAAGTTCAAGTGATTCTCATGCTTCAGGCTCCTGAGTAGCTGGGATTATAGGTACATACCATCATGACCAGGTGATGTTTGTATTTTTAGTAGAGATGGGGTTTCACCATGTTACCCAGGTTGATCTCAAACTCCTGACCTTAAGTGATCTGCCTGCCTCAGCCTCCCAAGTGCTGGGATTACAGACATGAGCCACCACACACCCAACCAATCTTTATTTTTAATTTTTTTTTTTTTTAAAGACAGAGTCGCGTTTTGTCACCCAGGCTGAAGCGCAGTGGCACAATCTCGGCTCACTGCAACCTCCACCTCCTAGGTTCAAGTGATTCTCCTGCCTCACCCTCTTGAGTAGCTGGGATTACAGGCACATGCGACCACGCCCAGCTAACTTTTTTTGTATTTTCAGTAGAGACAGGGTTTCACCATGTTGGTCAGGCTGGTCTCAAACCTCCTGATCTGCCTGCCTGGGCCTCCCAAAGTGCTGTGATTACAGGCATAGGCCACTGCGCCCGGCCAATTATTATTTTTATTTTTGAGACATCTCACTCTGTGGCCTAGGCTGGAATGCAGTGACCCAATCATGGCTCACTGCAGCCTCAACTTCCCAGGCTCAAGCGATCCTCCCACCTCAGCTTCCCGTGTAAATGGAACCACAGGGGCGTATACTACCACGCCCAGCTGATTTTTTTTTTTTTTTTTAATTTTGTAGAGATGGGATCTCCTGGTGTTGTCCAGGCTAGTCTTGAACTCCTGGGCCCAATCAATCCTCCTATCTTGGCCTCCCAAAGTGCTGAGATTCCAGGTGTGAGCCACCGTGCCTGGCCAATGTTATATTTTTACACTGAGTTTATCAGAGTTGCATATGTATAGTGAATGACTCAACTGAAGTCCAGAAAGACACTGGTAAGGTAGAAAAAATAGCTGGACTGGAGCAAGCACAGACAGACTTGGGACTTGTCCTATACATGGAGCTAGTTATTGCAAAAGTAGAGCAAGGGCAAGGTGTGGATTAATAGTAGCCCAAGACCTTGACATCAACATTCGAACTAAGTACACTATAACTTAACAGTGTAACCAAAAAAGCTAATACAGTTTTAGGCTACTTTAAAAATGATGTCACACCTGTAACTCCAGCACTTTGAGAGGCCAAGGCAGGTGGATCATGAGGTTAAGAGATCAAGATCATCCTGGCCAACATGGTGAAACCCTATCTCTACTAAAAATACAAAAAAAATTAGCTGGGCATGGTGGTGCACCACCTATAGCCCCAGCTATTCAGGGAGGCTGAGGCAGGAGAATCGCCTGAACCCAGGAGGCAGAGGTTGCAGTGAGCTGAGATTGCGCCACTGCACTCCAGCCTGGCAGCAGAGTGAGACTGTCTCAAAAAAAAAAAAAAAAAAAAAAAAGATGAATTAGCATATATCATATTATACTACTCTATTCTGTATTACTTGGAACCTAGTGAAAGGCTAGGCTAAACGTTTTTGGTGGAGAATAACTGAGATGGTAGGGGTACTCATAATGAGGACATGTGATAAACAGATGATGAAACTGGGGACACTGATTGAGAGGACCCCTGAAGGACATGTCTTCAGATATCTGTGGGGATGGGCCCAAATGGACACAAGTAAGACTCATGTGTAGGGGAGAAAGAAAAACTACGGCGAGTTAATCCAGTCCCCTCTAAGGAAAAGTAGCCTAGACACAGCAGTTGTTCAAAGGGAAGCAGCACAACTTCAGAAAGGAGCGAGCTCCTGCTTCCTCATGAGAACGCTTCACGGGCTGGCAGGCACTTGAGAAGGAATGCTAGGGTCAGACATGTTGGACAGATGCCCGGTAAAAAGCCTTCAAAGTCAAGCATTATAGGAAAGGCAACACTAGAGATATCATTATTAATGCATGTTTTATTTGAGGTTCATGAAAGAAATCCCACTTACCCATATCAGAGTCACCTCCACCAGAGGAGTTCAACTTACGAAAAATCTCCTGCTTCTTTGATTTAACCATGGGTGATGTGTTTTCAAGCTTGGTAAAGAATGAAGGCAAGTAGCTTATACTCCCTGGTGAGCGGGAATCATTCCTGTTAGGGCCAAAGTTAAGTATATTACAACCACATACTCCTAATCCTGGGGACATTCCTATCAATGACAACAACAGTCAGAGAGTCCTTAGGAAACTACTGCCTCCTCATCCTGTGTTTGTGGTTACAGCCCTAAGAAACTGTATGTAATCAAAAGCCATTTAGTACATCAGTTGAGGACAGTCAAATGATTTAGCTCTCAAAATGAAATCGTAAAATTAGAATGGAGATAATCTAGAGTAAAAATTCTTAGGAAATTCAAACAGCTTATCATTATTCTCTCTGCTTAACAGCACAAACACTGATATATTCATGGTTGCCAAATAAACTGCAAACTATTTTACTAGAATTAGTTTTAAGTACACTAAAATTAAAATAGCATGCTTGCCTATAAAATAGCAAGAACTCAGATCTAAGCAATCAACAGAGATAGTAGAGGAATAAAACTGCCTATTTGTTACAGTCATTTCAAGACACCTAACAAATGAGCTGAGTTTAATAAAAAGAGTTTTGTGTTTTATACGTATTTTAAAAAACAACTTTCCCCTAACAGCTTGAGGCCACCAAGGATCTACGTAGAGCCAGAGATGAGAACAGAGGATCCAGGTCACCGACAACCTAATCCAGTCATGTGGATTTATTCATCATTCAAACATAAGACACTTACTTTATGCCAAGAAAGACAATTAAGGTGACAGGAACAGGAATAAGACATGGTCCCTGTCCTCAAAAAACTCACAAACACAGGGGGAAAAATATAAACGCATAATGAAATTGAGTATCATTCCCTCTCCAAAAATGGATTTTATTTCATTGAAAAGTAGCAATATTTAGCTGCCTAAGAAAAAATGCAATAAATTAATAGCAACACATAGCAATTTGGAGTTAGAAAGACTTTAGTTTAAAACTGGCCTTTCCCCATTAGTATCAGTATGACCATGAGCAAGGGACAGGTCTGGCACTTGGCACATCACCAGAGGGTGTTCTGCGCTAGGCAAACTGCACAAGTATGGACAGAAAGGAATTCAGGGATTAATAAGCAAAATGGTATGGACAGAGTCCAGTGTAGGGGTGAGGCAGTGGGAAGTGACGCTGAATAGGCAGCATAAACCTGGTCACGCGAGAACTCAGACGCCATGCTAAAGACTGGCTGCTGGATTCTGCATGGGTTTTAGACAAATCACTCAGGTGGAGGTATGGAGACTTACTGGAAAGGAGCCAACTCAAAGGCATCTAATCCAAATGGGGATAATAACTTAATAATTAATAGGATTGGGGTCAGGGTTAGAAAGATGTAAGATAAAATCCATTCGGAGTCCACAGTGCTTGGTGTACAATAAGCATTCAAATGTTGGCTGAATCAATACGTGACCCTTCGCCCTATACAAGAAACATTTAAAAAATACTATCTAGAAAGATTTAATTTCAAGAAGAATAATGAACAAATATTTTCTAACCTATTTAAATATTACGATATTGTGAATATTTTCTTTTTGCTAAAATCCACTAGCATTAGATTACCAGGAAAACAGACCAATGATACTCTGAGAATCCCATCCAGACATAAAAGCCCAAAGTAGAAAAACGGCACTAACTTAAGGAAATGTTAAAGCATGAGCACCCACACTGTCAATCAGTGCTGTCACTAGGACGTACACTTACCTCTGCTCTGCAGGCTCTGAGCCCCTCTGAGACAAGAGCAGCAAGCTGTCCTGTTTCTCATGTACAACTGGAACCTGGGGTGGGGAGATGGGCTCGTAGGGCTCCGAAGAGACGTGACTCCTCTCTGGGGATTTTCCAGGCCTGCTATTGTAATACGTAAAATATTAGGTTCTGTTTCAAAGGTGTACCTAGAACTTACCTAAACAGAAACTGGTTAACTTATGACTTCATTCAGAAGAAAGAGCAAAAGCTGCCAATTTCAGTCAGTAAAAAAGTTGCTTCAGTTATTCACAATATACATAGTTATAAAAAAAAAATAAAACACTCCGTTACTGCCACTTGACCTACAAGCGCCCACGTCATCAGACAGGGCTGCCCGGGCAGCAGCAGCAGAAGCCGGAGGCTCCGCGTGTTTCAACATCAGACGCCATCCCACCCTTGGCTCCTTAGTCCAGGTGAACGATCAAGGGTTTTCCTATTTTGAGACATGACTGACCAGTTTTTTCATCTTCAAGTTAAAGATAAAGGACTTCAGTACTAAAATGATACCCAAGAAGTTTCATCAGATGAGTCAACACAGGCTCTAGTTACACTGTATTACGGCAGAGGGGTTCTCTGCAATTTTGTATTTTTTCTCTGGATATCATTTGATAAGAACAATATACGACAGACACACTGTTTAACCCCCACCATTCATTTATTTATTTATTTATTTATTTTTTTCGACAAAGTCTAGCTTTGCTGCCCAGGCTGGTGTGCAGTGGCGTGATCTGGGCTCACTGCAACCTCTGCCTCCCAGGTTCGAGCGATTCTCCTGCCTCAACCTTCCAAGTAGCTGGGATTATAGGCAAGTGCCACCACGCTGGCTAATTTTTGTATTTTTTTTTTTTTCTTATTGGCTACTGCTCAGCAAAATTTTTGTATTTTTAGTAGATACAGGGTTTCACTATGTTGGCCAGGCCTCCTGACTTCAGGTGATCTGCCCGCCTCAGCCTCCCAAAGTGCTGGGATTACAGGCATGAGCCACTCTGCCTGGCCTGTTTATCTTATTACTATTTTTATTTTTTTAAAGACAGAGTCCTTCTCTGTTGCCCAGGCTGGAGTATGGGTATGCAAACAATCATAGCTCACTGCAGCCTCAAATTCCTGAGCTCAGGTCATCCTCAGGCTTCCATCTCCCACGTACCTGGGATTACAGGCATGCACCACCATGCCCAGCTAATGTTTTTATTATATGTTTTATTATGTCAGTGTGGCTCCTTTTTAATCTTTTGTAGAGACGGGGGTGTGGTCTATGTTGCTGGCCTCAAATTCTTGGGCTCAAGCAATCCTCCCACCTCAGGGTCCAAAAGCATCGGGAATTACAAGCACCTGGCCCCACCACTCCTTCCCCCGACATCCTCTCTCTCTCTCTCTCTCTCTCTCTCTCTCTCTTTTTTAAAGACGGAGTCTCCCTCTGTCATCCTGGCTGGGGTGCCGGGGCACAATCCTGGCTCACTGCAACCTCTGCCTCCCAGGTTAAAGGGATTCTAGTACCTCAGCCTTCCGAGTAGCTGGGATTACAGGTTCGCTGATTTTTGTATTTTTATTAGGGACAGGGTTTCACCATGTTGGCCAGGCTGGTCTCAAACTCCTGACCTCAAGTGATCCACCCGCCTCGGCCTCCTCAAGTACTGGGATCATAGGCGTGAGCCACCACGCCTGGCCCCCTAAAATTTTTTGACATAGTGATTATGCATATTAAAGCCACCTGTGACTTTCAACATCTGGAATTATGACAGTTATACTTAAGCAAAATTATAATATGATTTGTTATGGCCCTTCCTAATCAGCCCCTTCCGGTTGTTCAAAATAGCCATATTTTTTTTAGTTGCTTTGGTATTTACCTCCAAAACTCTTTAAATAATCTTAAATACATACTTCTTTATTTATCAAACTTGAAACAGTATCTGTCAACTCTCTTCCATGAATGATGAAGAATTTACCTTCTCTGTAGTTGCCTATTTTAATTTAATTTTTATTTGAGATGGAGTCTTACAGTGTCGCCTGGGCTGGAGTGCAGTGGCGTGATCTTGGCTCACTGTAACGTTTGCCTCCCCGTTTCAAGAGTTTCTCCTTGCCTCAGCCTCCCTGGTAGCTGGGATTACAAGTGTGCGCTACCATGCCCAGCTAATTTTTTTTTTCTATTTTTGGTGGAGACAGGATGTTACTATGTTGGCCAGGCTGGTCTTGAATTCCTGACCTAGTGATCCACCCACCTGGGCCTCCCAAAGTGCTGGGATTACAGGCATGAGCCCCTGTGCCCAGCCTATTTTTATTTTTATTTTTTTGAGACAGGGTCTCCCTCTGTCACCTAGGCTAGAGTGCAGTAGTACGATCACCGCTTACTGCAGCCTTGACTTCTGGGCTCAGGCAATCCTCCTAACCTTGGGCTCCCAAGTAGCTGGGACTACAGGTGCATGCCACCATGCCTGGGTAATTTTATGTTTTAGTTTTTTTGTGGAGATGGGGTCTCACTATGTTACCCAGGCTGGTCTCAAACCCCTGATCTCAAGCGATCCTATCACCTTGGTCTCCCAATACACTGAGATTACAAGTGTCAGCCAAACTGCTGGCTTGCCCATTTTATTTTAATTTTGCCCATTTTAACTTTACATAGCATACTTTGGCCTTTGACTTTTTTTTCTTTGAGACAGAGTCTCGTTCTGTCGCACAGGCTGGAGTGCAGTGGCATGATCTCAACTTACTGCAACTTCCGCCTCCAGGGTTTAAATGATTCTCCTGCCTCAACCTCCCAAGTAGCTAGGAATACAGGTGCACCACACCCAGATAATTTTTGTATTTTCAGTAGAGATGGGGTTTCACCATGTTGGCCAGACTGGTCTTGAACTCCTGACCTCATGATCTGCCCACCTTGGCCTCCCAAAGTGCTGGTATTATAGGCGTGAGCCACCTCACTCGGCCAGGCCTTTTACATATTCTTTTTAAAAATGAAGAAATTGGCACACATACCCTTAACTTCTACCTCTTTTTCCTATGCAACCTCCACCTCCCAATATCGGTCAATCATTTGTTGATTTACTGCATCACATCCTTTTCTAGAACTACAGAGAAACTCCTCTGTGTTTTGCTTATAAAAATCAGTCCATACAATTACATGGAAATTGCGTAACCTGCTCCTGAATGACTATTAAGTAAATAATGAGATTAAAGCAGAAAGCAAGTTCTTTGAAACTAAAATGAGAACAAAGATACAACATACCAGAATCTCTGGGACACAGCTAAGGCAGTGTTAAGAGGGAAATTTATAGCACTCAATGGCCACATCAAAAAGTTAGAAAGATCTTAAGTTAACAAGCTAACACATATGCAAGAGCAAACAAATCTCAAAGCTAGCAGAAGACAAGAAATAACCAAAACTGAAGCTGAACTGAAGGAGACTGAGACACAAAAAAACACTCAAAAGATCAACAAATTCAGGATCTGGTTTTTAGAAAAAATTAATAAAACAGACCACTAGCTAAGATTAACAGAAAAGATTCAAGTAAACATAATCAGAAATGACAAGGGGAATATTACCACTGACCCCACAGAAATACAAACAACCATCAGAGAACATTATGAACACCTTTATGCATATAAACCTAGGAAATCGATAAATTTCTGAACACATACACCCTTCCAAAACTGAACCAGGAAGAAACTGCTTCCCTGAAGAGAGCAATAACGAGCTCTGAAATTGAGTCAGTAATAAATAGCCTACTACCCAAAAGAAGCCCATGGCCAGACAAATTCACAGCTGAATTCTACCAGATGTACAAGAAGAGCTGGCACCATTCCTGCTGAAAATACTCCAAACATTGAGGAAGGACCCTTCCTGTCTCATTCTGAGGCCAGCTTTCGTCCTGATACCAAAACATGGCAGAGACACAACAACAACAAAAAGAAACCTTCAGGCCAATATCCTTGATGAACATCGATGCAGAAATCCTCAACAAAATACTGGCAAACCAAATCTAGCAGGACATTAAAAAACTTATCCGCTGGGCATGGTGGCTCACACCTGTAATCCCAGCACTGTGGGAGGTCGAGGCAGGTGGATCACAAAGTCAAGAGTTTGAGTCCAGCCTGGACAACATAGTGAAACGCTGTCTCTACAAAAAATTTAAAAATTAGCCAGGAATGGCGCATGTACCTGTAAGCCCAGCTACTTGGCAGGCTGAGGCAGAATTGCTTGAATCCAGGAGGCAGAGGTTGTGGTGAGCCAAGATAGCACCACTGCCCTCCAACTTGGGCAACAGAGCAAGACTCTGCTTCAAAGAAAAAAACAAACAAACAAACAAACAAAAAAGCTATCCACCACAATCAAGTAATTTTATCCCTAATATGCAAGGTTGGTTCAATATACACAGATCTCAATAGATTCAGAAAAGGCTTTCAATAAAATTCAATACCCTTTCATGTTTAAAAACTCTTAGTAAACTAGGTATTAAAGAAGGATGCCTCAACATAATAAAAGAGCCGTAAATTAAAACCCACAGCTAACATCATACTGAATGGGGGAAAGCTGGAAGTGTTCCTCTTGAAAGTCAGCACAAGACAAGGATGCCCTCTGTCACCACTTTTATTCAACATCCTATTGGAAGTCATGGCCAGAGTGATCAGGCAAGAGAAAGAAAGAAAGGGTATCCGAATAGGAAGAAAGGAAGTCAAACTCTCCCTGTTTGCAGAGGACATAATCCTCTGTCGAGAAAACTCCATAGACTCAGCCCCAAAGCTGATAAATAACTTCAGCAAAGTCTCAGGGTACAACATCAATGTGCATAAAATCACTAGCATTCCTACATGCCAACACGAGTCAAGCCGACAGCCAAGTAAGGAATGGAATTTGATTCACAACTGCCACAAAAAGAATAAAATACCTAGGAATACAGCTAACCAGGGACGTGAAAGATCTCTGCAAGGAGAACTACAAAACACTTCTCAAAAAAATAAAAGATGACATAAACATAAATGAATAAACATTCCATGCTCATGGATAGGAATAATCAGTATCGTTAAAATGGCCACAATGCCCAAAGCAGTTTACAGATTCAATGCTATTCCTATTAAACTACCAATGACATTCTTCACAGAACGAAAAAAAACAATTTTAAAATTCATACAGATCCAAAAAAAGAGGCCAAACAGCCAAGGCAATACTAAACAAAAAGAATAAAGCTGGAGGCGTCAAACTACCTGCTTCAAACTATAATACAGGACTATAGTAACCAAAACAGCAAGGTACTGATACAAAAATAAGACACACAGATCAATGGAACAGAATGAGAACCCAGAAATAAGGCCTCACACCTACAACCATCTGATTTTTTACAAACCTGACAAAAACAAGCAATGAGGAAAGGATTCCCTATCAATAAATGGTGCTGGGATAACTGGATATCACATGCAGAAGATTAAAACTGGGCCACTTCTTGCTGGGTGGGGTGGCTCATGCCTGTAATCCCAGCACTTTGGGAGGCTGAGGTGGGTGGATCACCTGAGGTCAGGAGTTTGAGACCAGCCTGACCAACCTGGTGAAACCCTAACTCTCTACTATAAATACAAAAATTAGCTGGGCTTGGTGGTGGGTGCCTGTAATCCCAGCTACTCAGGAGGCTGACACAGGAGAATCACTTGAGCCTGGGCAACAGGACTAAACTCCGTCTACAAAAAAAAAAAAAAAAAAAAAAAAGAGTATCCCTTCTTTATACCATATTTTAAAATTAACTCAAGATGGACTAAAGACTTAAATGTTTTAAAAAAAATAAACTATAAAAACCTTGGAAGACAACCTAGGAAATACCTTTCAGGACATAGGCACAGACAAAGATTTCTAACGAAAACAACTGCAACAAAAGCAAAAATTGACGAATGGGATCTAATTAAAGAGCTTCTGCACAGCAGAGGAAACTAACAACAGAGTGAACAGACAATCTACAGAATGGGAGAAAAATTTTGCAAACTATGCATCTGACAAGGCCTAATATCCAGCAATGTATGAAGAGCTTAAACAAATTTAAGAAAAAAAAAAAACAACTCCATTAAAGACTGGGCAAAGTGAGTGTGGTGGCATGTGCCTGTAATCCCAGCTACTTGGGAGGCTGAGGTGGGAGAATCACCTGCTACCTGGGAGGTTGAGTTTGCACCACTGAAATCCAGCCTGGGCAACAAGAATGAGACTCTGTCTCAAAGCAAACAAAAAAGAGTGGGCAAAGGACATGAACAGATACTTTCCAAAAGAAGACATATATGCAGCCAAGAAGCATATGGAAAAAAAAAAAGCTCAGTATCACTGACCATTAGAGAAGTGCAAATCAAGCCAGGCGCAGGGGCTCACACCTGTAATCCCACCATTTTCGGAAGCTGAGGCAGGTGGATCAGCTGAGGTCAGAGTTCAAGACCAGCTTGGCCAACATAGTGAAACCCCATCTCTACTAAAAGTACAAAAATTAGCCGGGTATGGTGGCAGGCACCTGTAATCCCAGCTACTTGGGAGGCTAAGGCAGGAGAATAGCTTGAACCCAGGAGGCAGATGTTAAAGTGAGTTGATATTGCACCACTGCACTCCAGCTTTGGTGACACAGCAAGACTCTGTCTCCAAAAAAAAAAAAAAAAAAGAGAGAAGTGTGAATCAAAACCACAATGAGACACCATCTCACACCGTCAGAATGGCTATTAAAAAGTGAAAAAATAACAGATCCTGGAAAGGCTGTCTTATACACTGTTGGTGGGAGTGTAAATTAGTTCAACCACCATGAAATACACTGTGGTGATTCCTCAAAGACCTAAATACAGAACTACCATTCAACCCACATTCCCATTACTGGGTATATATCCAAAGAAATATAAATCGTTCCATTATAAAGACACACGTGTGTGTATGTTCACTGTAGCACTCACTATTCACAATAGCAAAGACATGGAATCAACCCAAATGCCCATCAGTGATTGGATAAAGAAAATGTGGTACATATACACCATGGAATACCATGGAGCCATTACAAAGAATGAGCTCCTGTCCTTTTCAGGGACATGGATAGAGCTGGAGGCCCTTATCCTTAGCAAACTAACGCAGGAATAGAAAACCAAATACCACATGTTCTTACTTATAAGTGGGAGTTAAATGATGAGAACACGCAGACACACAGAGAATAAAAACACACTCTGAGGCCTATCGGAGGGTGGAGGTTGGGAGGAGGTGGCGGCTCAGGAAAAAATAACATGAGTTCAGGCTTAATACCTGGACGACAAAATAATCTTTACAACAAACTGCCACGACACAAGTTTATATAACAAACCTGCACCATGTGCTCCTGAACTTAAAATGAAATTTAAATAAATAAATAAAATGAAAATCAGTTGATGCTGTTTTCAAACACCACAGATTATGTAAACATTTTCATCAGGAATGGACCATGACACTACTACAGAGTTTTCCATTTTTTCTTGATAATTGCATTTTCTTTTTTGTTTTGTTTTGTTTTGGCTAAAAGAGAATAAATGTGCTTTCATCTTATCCTTAAAGTTATTCAACTTCTTCTAATGACTAAGTACGAAATTTGCTTCAAAATTATCCAGTTTGGGGGTTAGGCCAAATGGGGATAAAAATGAAACAAAACTCATCATACACTGATGATTACTGAAATTGGGTGATGGAAACTTAGAGGTGTACTATATTGTTCTATTTTTGTATGTATTTGAAAACTTCGACAACAAAATGTTTTCTTAAAAAGAAGACCATCTAGCTTCTTATCTATATTTTTCTTTCTGCTCTTTGCTTACTTTGATGGATTGGTAGGTAGGCTGGAGAATACTTCTGCTACAAATTTCTCTTTTTCAGGCTCTGAGTCATGGCTTCCACTACTCTGGCTCACCTGTCCTCTATATCTTCTAGGTATCTGCCAGAATCTTTGATCTGCTAATAGCTGTCTTGTTCTCAGCTTTTTCAGCTCTGTCACCCAGGCTGGAGTGCAGTGGTACAATCTCGGCTCAGTGTAACCTCTGCCTCCTCTCTCAAGTTCAAGCGATTCTTCCACCTCAGCCTCCAGAGTAACTGAGATTACAGGCACTCGCTATGATGCCTAGCTAATTTTTTTGTATTTTTGTAGAGACGGGGTTTCAGCATGTGGACCAGGCTGGTCTTGAACTCCTGACCTCAGATGATTTGTCCGCTTTGCCCTCCCAAAGTGCTGGGATTACAGGCATGAGCCAATGTGCCTGGCCTTTTCAGCATTCTTAAATTTACTTCCCTTTGTGCTTGGTAGTCATAATGTAACACATGCTAATATTTAGTCTACCACTTTGAAGAAAATATCCTGTGTCCACTTTATTTTAACCAATCACAGAATATAAGAAGATATGCTCTTTATCAGAGAGCCCTGCCATATAACATGTTTCCACCCATGATGCCACTATTGACTTCTCTTTCCTTTATTTGATGTCACCTTTTTTTTTGTTTTTTTGTTTTAAGTTTTATAGAGGTGAGATCTCACTGTGTTGCCCAGGCTGGTCTCAAATTCCTGGGCTCAAGCAATCCTCCTACCTCAGCCTCCCAAAGTGCTGGCATTATAGGTATGAGCCTCTGTACCCGGCCAATATCACCTTCTTAAACCTCTACTGAGGCTGATCCAGTAGAAACCACTGAGACACATAAATATGAGAGGTATTATTCAGAAGGACCACTCGAGTGTCCCTAAACCACTACCAAACTACACATTCTTCCTGTCTTTACAAACCAACAAACAGAATATAATCATCAACTTTTGAATATACATTAAAAAGACGCAGTACCAAATGCCAAGACAGTGGACATTCTAAGAATAATATTCAAGGGAAAAAACCTCATTCACAGTTTCCTAGGAATAAAGGCAAACGAACTGTAGTTGTGAGAAACACATTCCTTATCCTGTAGATACAATCCATTTGTTTTATTGTTGGGAAATTTACATATAATTTGAAATAAAGATCATACCTTCCCCTGGATTTGTCCACAAGATTTTCTGGAGAGACTCTTGAACCTGGTCTTTGATGATGGACAGACTGAACCTGGGATTCTGGGCTGTAACGGTTTGACGTTTTAGTCCTCACAGGTGTAGACACCAAAGAGGACGGTGAGTTCTGGAATGTAGAATTAGGAGGCTGCTGGGGAGTCTGCGAGGAAACTTGATTTCTAGCAAAATCTTGTGTGATAATTTGCTGTGAACGAGAAAAGAAGGAAGTGGTAAAACTGAGTACTTACAAAAAAAGTATTAAGGAATCTAGATATCTTTATTATAATTTTCTTCTTCTACATGAGATTTGCTTTCTGCATGATCAAAAAAGAAAAATTAATAAGAATAATGAAAAACCTACACAGATGTGATCAGCAAGTGTGATCAGCCGATGGGTCCTAGGCACTTGCCCCATTCCCTCTGCCTGTGAAGAAGGGGGCAACTGTTGCTGGGGAGATGGTGATTCCTGCTGCGGTCGATAGTGAGGTAATGGTCCTTCATACTGCCTGGTAGGATCATCTAGTAGAGAACATATAGATGTCTTACTCCAGGAATGCCCATGCCTTTCACTCATTATCGAAGGTTAAATATAATTCAGAAGAGCACATGAAAGGATGTGGTACATAGCTCCAAACAAAGAACTTATCTTAATTTTGGAAAAAAGAATTATTCACTGACAGAAGTCTGAGGACTAATAGAATAAAATATAAATGCAGAAGTATGCAAAAAAATTTAATATAAATTATTTCCTGTATCATTAAAAAATAAAGAATCAATAGCTGAAGAGTTGTTTTTCAGTAGTGCAATGTTAAATGTTTCTAAAGCAGGCTCGTATAAGATTACCTTAAAACAAGTTATTTCTTAACATGGTCTAGACAGACTAGTTAGAAACAAATGATAAATGCAAATAAGAAAACATGTAAATGGTGGCTTAAAAAGACATACTTTCAGCTGGATTTGCCTTAACGACCTCTGGCTGATAGGTCTGCAGCTTTTCCTGGGGGGGTGCAGGTGAGCTGGCAGGACTTATCACCTCAATAGCATCACTGGGTGTTTCATACCTGTGAGAAGATACTTTAAGAAAAGAAAATCTTATTTTAAGACTAATCCTAGGAAAAGTTTCTAAAGTCTAAGTTCTTCAAACCTATAGCATATTTTCAATTCTGATCAACCATGTTCATTGGTATTCCAGGTTAATTACGGTTTTCTGAAGTTTTATGAGCTGTAAGACATGTTTTAACACCCAATAATAAACACTGAAATGAGTTGGAACAGAGAACAAATTTATAATATTTTCCTGGGAGCTGGAAAAGAAATCACCAAGGAAACATTTATGAGAAGAAATTAATTAACAAATGAGGGAGTAGATCTCAATAATTGACTCCAATAATTCCAATTCTGTGGGACATTCTGTTCTTAGAAAAACACTGAGGCTATAAAGCTGTTTCATTCACTACCATGATGATTTTAAAGCTATGGATTACATAACACCATATAACGATTTTCTCAAATAACTGGAGTATTACTAACAGTTATTTTGCTAACAGTTACTCCAAATAGTAATAATTTTTTAGAACTGTGTTACATTGTGAAAATAACCAGAAATGGTAGAGAATATCTGAAGTGAAGTATATTCACAGAAAGGGAAGATGTCAACCAACTCTGGAGGATGCCCACATCAGAGTCCTCTAAGACGCAGAGGGGCTACATGGTGGGGCTGACAGGCAGCTTCTCACAGTCCTGCTATGGCCTCATAGCTGACAGTTGGAGAGAGGCAGATGTAACCACCTGCTCAGGAACTTCTGCATTCAGAGGGCTCTTCACATCCACAAACTACACTACAGAATCTGAGAGCACTGTCAGAGCTCCAAAGGGTACATGGGCCTGGCTGGACACAGACGTAGTAGGTGGGGATGAACTCTGCTCCCTAGCCACCACCTGCTCCTCTGGTACTCAACAGTCCTTTCTACCCCACCAGGTCACGGAAACTGCCACTACCTGGGTTTTAGGACACTTAGGAGATTGGAAACTTGATAAATGGGTCAGAAATGATCGTTGAGAAACTAAAATAAATATCTATATTCTAGGTAGTTTACAGTAATTTGTGACTTTTGTATCCACTGTTACTCATCACTATTTATGTATTCAACATCCTAATTCTGCTTACAACTTCCAATATTCACTCAGTAAGTCTGATTCCAAACCGTGTTCACATTGCTCTTGAAGCCTTAAGGGGCAAGACTATGAAAATGAACTTCACCTTCAGGATGAGGGAGGCTCTCAAGAGTCAAACTGAAAACCTCACTGAAGAACTGTACATAGCCTGTGGACATCATGGAATTCACTGACCAGTCATAAAAAACATTACCACATACAGAGACATGGACACTCAGAAAGATGAACTTTCTGTTTTCACATCTTCTGAAAACCAAACTTTTAGAGCAAGATTTGGTTTCTGATGCAAACTGAAAAGAAATGTTTAATCCAGTGATTAAGGAATCTGTGTGTTACACCATTCAATGAGGCTGGGTGAGATCTCCCAGTGTGCTGGAGACTTCCCTTCAAAAACCCTATTCATACAACTACAGAATATTTATTTCTCAGCTAGCAATTTTCTGCAAGCAGAAAATCTATACTGCAGATTTTCCTATCTCAGGCTAAAAGAAGTCTTTTGTCTAGACACTACTACCCTCTCTCTCTAAAAGCCTCACCAATGGGGTGGATGTGACCCAAACAAATTATAATTAAGCTAGTGGATACTTTTAAAAAGAACTGCCCATTGCATTCTGGAGCATAAGAAATATATTTTTTTTTCATGATCTCTAATGCTACTAAATTTATTCAATGGAGATAATAGAAACATGACTATATAGGATTAAAATACTTCTAATATTAGCAGATGCTTAAATACCTGCTTGTTCTTTCTGCAATTCTACACGGAATTGAAGCAATCGTTTAAAAGAAAATTTAAAATATAACTCTTCTAGCATTTTAATGTAGTATCAGATTTGCAGGGTAGCCATCACAATGACTAACCAGATTTGAACAAAATCCAACTTGCAAGAAAGAAGCAATATAAATACCAATCACCAATAATAAGGTAGTCTCACTTTTAAAAATCTGTGTCTTAGAAAAAGGATATTCGAGGCTTTGGTGTATTGTCATAAATTTAAAACCATGTCCTAGTAAATGCTTCCTGAGAAATTACACCTCAGTAGCACAGGGCCTGGCAATATATCCATTACCTTTCAAATGCCTAAATATGTTAATAAGGTCTGCTTTCTACTTTCCAAATTTAATTACATAAATGGTACAGTTTTCTTGCGGAAAATACATTGATATGCTTATATGTAGGAAACTGGGGATATTTCATCATAAGAACAGCAAAAGATACATTTTTGCATTACATTTACTATCAAGCATTAGGATTTTTAAATACCATATAGTTTACTTGACCTAAAGAAAAAAGTAATTCTTTACTCAGACATCACATTGTGAAACTCAGATTGAGATACATACAGCTACTAGAAGAGTCTGAACTTTGGGAGCCACGTTCCCTCGCATCTTTGTCCGAGGCAATTTGCCGGGTGATGATCACGTCTATGAAGTTAGCTGCAGTAATGGTAGTCTTCCCTCGGGTCCTTAGCTCTTCCTCATATCTGGATTTTGGAGGAGGCCCTTTATCTTTCCCAGCCTCAGAATAAACTACTGAAGAATGAGGCTGGGGCTTGCCACTTGGAAAAGCTGAAGAAGTGTATAAACACTGAACAGATCTCTTCTCCACCTCCAGGGCTTTCTGCTCTAGCTGCTGTTCACTAACTGCTGCTGACCTGCTTCTCAAATTTTCTTCTAACCTGGCAGCTTCATGCTTACTCTCTTTTGTTTTGGACACATCCATCTGGGGTGCAGAAGCTGCAGCATCCACAAGAGCGGCCAGGGCATCCGCAGCAGTGTTGTAACGGGAGGCTGGCAGACCTTGGCTTATTGAAGGGCCCGCAGCAGGCAGTGGCCTGTAAATAAAACCAAATCACAGCTCTGTGAAAGGAAGACCTACTGGGAATGCGGTGGGGACATGGAAGGACAAACTGCAATAACAAAAAAAGGCTTTGTGGCACAGGGAGAAAAGTATGACTATACTTAGACTACTGCAGTCACAAATTTTAAAATGTATATGCAAAAGACTTTTGTCAAAATGTGTACAAGAGACTGACATGATTCGTAGCTGAGCAGTTGGATCCAAAGGTGTGATTACACTGGTTCCATTGGTTCCTTGGAAAACACTGGGTCTCTGTTGCAACATGGTCTCCTGAGTTCTTACTGAAGGGGAAGGGGAGCGAACATATCCATGACTGCCAGGTCGGCCAGGCTGTTCTGAGCCTGCAAGGGCAAAAAGAAAAAGGAAGAAAGACATAAGGAGGAAGCTAGAGACAAAAGGAAGCAATATTTATGGATTGTTTATTTCCTAATATACCTAAACAGAAAAAAGGAAAACGAGACAAGAAACATGATAGTCTACTTTCTGGTCCTTCCAGAAATATGTTCTAAAAGTTTCCCAGTAAAGATACAGTAAGGCCGGGCGCAGTGGCTCAAGCCTGTAATCAAAGCACTTTGGGAGGCAGAGGCAGGCGGATCACGAAGTGAAGAGACTGAGACCATCCTGGCCAACATGGTGAAACCCCGTCTCAATTAAAAATACAAAAATTAGCTGGGCATGGTGGCATGTGCCTGTAGTCCTAGCTACTCAGGAAGCTGAGGCAGGAGAATTGCTTAAACCCAAGAGGTGGAGGTTGCAGTGAGCCTAGATTGCACTACTGCACTCCAGCAGCCTGGTGACAGAGTGAGACTCCGTCTCAAGATACAATAAAACTACAGCAGTAACTTGAAACAAAACATCAGCTATCGTTTACTGTCATCTCCATTTCTCGGATAAATTTCAATCTTGATTTCAAAAATAAACCAGCACCAACAAGAAGTACTATTACAAATCATTTCCTCAAACTCTAGTGTGTATATGATTTCCAAAACCAAATCAGGCACAACTTTCTAAGCATCATAATGAAAATAATATACCACTGCTATACTAGGGTTTGAGACCGTTTCATTCAACCACAGTTCACCCTGCTTCACTTCTTCACTGTCCCCTTCACAGGTGACTCTTTCTCTCAGCAAGCTCTCTTCTGACATGAAATCATTCACATTATCCTCCCACAAAACTTGGCTCCAACAACTACGCTTCTTCAATGTTTGATAGGTTTTGGTTCACTTAATTCTCTTAACTCTCCCATAACAAAATCAGAGCTTGGACTTGGTCAGAACTACTTCATGTAGAGATCTTTAATTCTTAAATCCCTCACTAATCACTTTCTTCTCAACCTCGTCTTATTCTGTGTCCTCACTCCAACCTTCTAACATACTCACTGGCCTCCTAACAGCTGGCAGTTACAGCACACACCCCTCCTTCTCACAGACACCACCACCTCAGCCAGGCTTCTCAGCAGTTTTCTCCCTTCTGATCCATTCATCAGTTCTTATGAGTATTTATTTTTTAAATTAAATTTTAAAATGTTTAAGAGACAGCATCACACTCTGACATCAGGATGGAGTGCAGTGGCACCCTATAGCTCACTGCAGCCTCAAACTCCTGGGCTCAAGGGGTCACCCCACTTCAGTCTCCCGAGTAGCTAGGACTACAGGTGTACACCACTACTCCTGGCTAATTTTATATATATATATTTTCAGAGACAGGGTCTCACTATGTTGCTGAGGCTAGTCTTGAATTCCTGGCCTCAAGCAATCTTCCTACCTTGGCCTCCTGAGCAGCTGGGATTATAGGCATGAGCCACCATGGCCAGCTCATCTGAGTACTTCTGTGGGATATTTTCCTAGATGTGGAATTACTAGACCAGAATATTTAAAATTTTTATTTCCTTAGAGGCTACACCAATTTATGCTGCCACTGCCAACATATGAGTGTCTGTTTCTGTAGAAACTCCAACACAATATTTATCAACTTTCTTACATGTCTGACATAGAAAAATGGTATCTTTGTGCCTTAGTTTTTTCATCTATAGGATCACAAACATTTAAAAAATCTGTCTCTACCAAAGTTATATATCATTGTTTGAGGGTTTCTTAATTAAATCAATTTTCCATGTTTTATGCAATTAACATGGAAGCAATATTACAGTTCTGCCTTACAATTCATTAAAGCATTTCCTATGGTCGGATTCTTAAGTGATTTTTATTGTGCACAGATAAAAGATACACAGATAATCTTACTACACATAGATGATACAAGATCCTCTGGGTGAAGCAGTTGTATCTAAATGTGTCTGAGCTTTGCAACCATCGAATTATTTAAGATAACACCTCAGAAAAGATATTACCAGACCAAATACGATGACTCACTTTTGGGCTCCATCCATATATTGCCACTCACATTGACTTCAAAGGTTTGTTTCCTATGACAATATCAATGTGACAACCTCCTGCCACTGTGCCCTTTGCTTCTGCCTCTATCCTTCTGATCACATCTCTGCTTCCTTTTGCCTAGACCTAGATCAACTGTCCTGGTAATATCTAAAGACTGATCTACTCTTCACACTCTTGCCCCTTGGAAATCTCATTCAAGCCAGATCTTCAGCTCTTGCAAGTTGACTCCGAAATCAGCATCTCCAAGCTCTGTGTCTTCTTCTGAGTACCAGATCAGAGTATCTAACAATACAGACATAGTCAATAATTTGATTTAATTAAAAGAACTGAAAAGGGCAAGTATACCATGGATAAACAGATTGCTCACGGACACATGAGACTAAGTATAGGTTAGGCATCCCAAATCTGAGTAAGAAATGCTCCAATATCGGAAATTTTTTGAACTGACATGACATCAAAGTAAACGCTCACTGGAGCATTTCAAATATCATTATTTTGGATTAGGGATGTCCAACTGGCATAATGCCAATATTCCAAAATCTGAAAAAATCCTGGTTCTAAGCATTTGGGATATTCAACCTGTATGTCTAAAATCATTATCTCTTTGCTAAATCCTGGTTCTAAGCATTTGGGATATTCAACCCGTATGTCTAAAATCATTATCTCTTTGCTGTCTCTCATCATGCTGTACCTTTATTGCAGACTAATCTTGTTTCTCATCTCTTTCTCACTCCCCATATCTAGGTAAGTCCCTTTGAGTCTATAGTGATATTCTTCCCAGCAGTTCTTTTCTGGCCATTCCTAGTGTAAAGCATTCCAGGCTGCCATTAGCACACGTAACTAATGACAGTCTCACTGGCCTTCCTGGACCAGCCATACCCTTTAGAGTTTTAATCCACCTATTCCACTTCTGTGTAAATGGCCCTCCGATCATGTCACCTGCCTCCCGAACACAACATTTCATTGTAATTCAAGATGCTATACAAGCTGCTAACTGTATTTTCCATTCTACCTCTAAACTCAAGCTCAACAACATGTTTGTATCTAGGAGTTTTTGCTAGGGCTATTCTTTCAGCCTGCAAAGCTCTGTGACCAGTATCTTCAGGCCCAACTGCAGTCCACTGTTTGCACCAAATAAAAATGATACCTTCATCATGAAAACATTTTTCCGTGTAAAATTCATGTCTCTACCATCTCAGCTTCTGCAGCATTTTCACCTGTTTTTCACTTGGGGCCTGTAATGATGTTGTCTTAGAGTTTTTGTTTGCATCAAAATTGTTTGTGTGCAGCATTAAGCACAGCACACAGAACTGCCAAGATGTGTCCAGAGGATGGAAGAGCAATGCCTTCCACTGACCTGGCCGCAGGTAGAGATCGGAGGAAGCCGCAGCAATCCGCTCCCGCTCACGCTCCTTCTCCCGCTCCCGTTCCCTCTCAGCGCTTGCAGCAGCTGCAAGGTGTGTTGGGTGTCCTGTAAAACATATACCTGCAGCTTAAAGATAAAAATGTCAACTCACTGAGTATATCAAACAATTCTGAAATTCTAAGTGACTGAAAAATTTTCAAAAAGCTTCAAATTTGGCATAGGAGAAGTTTGTTTTCACTGGCTCACACCTGTAATCTCAGCACTTTGGGAGGCCAAGGCAGGCGAATCACTGGAAGCCAGGAGTTTGAGACCAGCCTGGGCAACATAGTGAGACTCTTGACTCTACTAAAAACACAAAAAAATTAGCTGGGTGTGGTGGTGTACACCTGTAATCCAAGCTACTTCAGAGGCTAAGGCACGAGAATCTCTTCAACCTGGGAGATGGAGGTTGCAGTGAGCTGAGATCACACCACTGCACTCCAGCCTGGGCAACAGAGCCACACTCTATCTCCAAAAACAACAAAAACAAAAACAAAAACAAAAAAAAGAAAAAAGAAAAAGTTTATTATTATTAACAGTCCTGGATAACAACTGCAACATAACATAAGCTTTTAGGGCATTTCTAAGGTTTCTAGTGACGGTTGGCACATAGGAACTACTATTAAACGTTAAATGAAGAACAAGAAACCAGCTGGGCACAGTGGCTCATGACTAATTCCAGCACTTTTAGGAGGACGAGGTGGGCAGATCATGAGGTCAGGAGATTGAGACCATCCTGGCTAACATGGTGAAACCCGATCTCTACTAAAAATACAAAAAATTAGCCAGGTGTGGTGGCACATGTCTGTAGTCCCAGCTAATCGGGAGGCTGAGGCAGAAGAATTGATTAAACCCGGGAGGCAGAGGTTGTGGTGAGCCAAGATTGCACCACTGCACTCCAGCCTGGGTGACAGAGAGACTGTCAAAAAAAAAAAAAAAAAAAAAAAGGAAATTAAAATGAGGAAAAACTGCCCAAAATACCTTAAAAGGCTATGTTGCAAAAGCGTGAACACATTTGTTCTATTAGAGAGATGTGTGAATGCAGAATCTTACCTGGAGACATGGAAGCAGAATTGTACGGCCTGGGAGGGAAAGTAATCTGTGTACCAGGAATATAAGTGATTCTGTCCATGGGAGGAGTACTTGTTCCCCCTGGATGAGGCACTAAAATTGCTGGAGGCATATTGGTCAGGTCAATGATTCCTATCCAAAAAACAAATACGATTTATGTTAAGTGTTATTCTATAGGTACAGAACCATACGTGACTTTTGGATTTTGTTTCTCTATGAAAAATGTTTACTATCATCATTATTTTTTAAGACATTCTTTAACTCTAGAAAAGGATGTTAAATACTCTACTCCACATCAGTAACCTCAAAGTATGGCCGATTAAAGAGACAGAACGAACTTGAAGACATGGATTACAAATACTCAGCACAAGGATTTGGTTTAATTTCAGTATCCATTAAAACACCTTGTTTCAATGTATGACTCTGGGCTAAAAAGTCTATGAGAAGAAGGATATAGAGTTCTTTTCTTTCTTTACATCATTCATTCAACAAGTTTTTTGTTTTTTTTTTTTTTAAATGAGATGGAATTTTGTTCTTGTTGCCCAGGCTGGAGTGCAATAGCACAATCTCAGCTCACTGCAGCCTCTGCCTCCCAGGTTCAAGTGATTCTCTTGCCTCAGCCTCCCAAGTAGCTGGGATCACAGGCATGTGCCACCATGCCCAGCTAATTTTGTATTTTTAGTAGCAATGGAGTTTCTCCATGTTGGTCAGGCTGGTCTTGAACTCCTGACCTCAGGTGATCCGCCCACCTCGGCCTCCCAAAGTGATGGGATTACAGGTGTGAGCCACCGCACCCAGCCCTATTCAACAAGTATTTATTGAGTACCTAAAAAACACTGGGCAAACATAAATTCCATGAATTCTGAAATGCAAAGACACATACCTCTCGTTGCTGGGTATGGGAGACCCAGTGGCTGCTCTCTTGGGGATAGTCCTCTGGCCACATCTGGACGCAAGTTCACTTGCATCTGCTGTGAGGTAATGTAATCATTTAAGATTGTCTGTCTTGTGTTCTCCATTGCGTAAAGCTGATACTGACTTGGGTAACCTGGAGTTGGTGAAAGCTGTCTCTGAAACAGGTAAGCAGCCGCTGCTGATTGAGAGAATGAGAGAAAGGCAATGAGTTTTGTCCTGGCTGAAATGCATTTGCTAAACACCATCTACAAAAATCATGTGCTGAGCTAGTGCACATGGAACTTTTACTTAGCTACAAGGATTAAGGTGGATTTATTTTAGACCTTGATATATTAGCAATATCAATTCTAATTCATTCTACTGTCTAAGATGTAATGGAAAAGGGGAAGGATAACAGTAGCTAAAAATTTCTCAAGTAGTTTTACTTTCAGTCTTTGACACGTAACTTTATTACATTTTTATTTTTATTTTTTTCTCCCCCTCCCCCTTTATCACATTTTTATCTGTCATTTGCAAGAGTTGCGTTTGAAACTAAAATTATTTTTATAGTACTGATCGTCCAATATAACCAATGAAATGCATACGAAATACTTTGTGGCAATCAATCAGCAACTTTACTCTCTAGGGAGTGAAAACGATTAGACAAGGATTTAATTAGCCCATGTATATGGAGCAGCGAATGGCAAACTTTTGACATAAAAAGCCAAATAGTAAATATTTTAGGCTTTGTGGGCCATTTCACGTCTAGCACAGCTGCTCAACTTCATCACTGTAGCAGAGCTAAAGAGAAAAGGAATAAATGGTGTGGCTGTGTCCTAATAAAACTTTATTTACAAACCCCAGTGGCAACAGGATTTGGCCAAAAAGCTGTAGTTTTTCATGACAGAATGACACAAGACACGAGGAAGGGTTAGGTGTGGTAAAAAGTAGAATATAATGTCTCTATCCTTGAAACCTAATCCAGCTCAGGCTCAAAAACAAGCAAATGAAACCACTACAAAATGAAGACTATGATAAACACTAAACAGAAAACTAGAAACATTCCATTTTGTCTGAGAACCTGAGTGACCTAATTTATATGTATACGTTCTCCCTAGAAAAATAAGTAACATGTTTTCTGGAATATTTGCTTCCCCTTCATCTAGGAGGTAGATAAGTCTGTCAGCTGACACAATCTGAGAGATAGTGCCCTAATAGGTATTGGGCTCCTCTGAAACAGTGTTGTCAAGCGACAAATAGTTTGATGGCATTTACACAGCTTTTTATTTCCCACAGATACTCTGCTATCATGAAATGTAAATAACCCTTAGAATTCTTACTTTTAAAATTTAGCATACTGGTAACAAAAACTTCTTCCCTAGGGACCAAAGTGAGACACATGTATTCTGTGTCCTAATTTCCACCTGAAGGACGTAAGAAATAAGCAAAGAGTAACTGAGGCCAGAGAAGAGGTCTGAGCAGAAAACACGTCTGTGACTGGGCTCAGCCAATAGTGTCAAGGAAGAGCAAGGACTGCAATCTGGGAGGACAAGGTACAGCCTCTGGTCCAGGAGATTATAACAGCCCAGCCGCGCCTCTCTTAACCAACAGCCTCTCTTAACCACTCCTCTCCCCTCCTTACGTAAAACATCAGGTTCTGTCTACCAGTGTCAGTGGTGTTCCAAAGTTTCTTCCAGCTATACTTGTGACCAGAATTATGTAACTTAATGACATAATCTGTAAATCAAAGAAGAATGAAGAGTGGTTTCTCTGAAAACTAAGTTAATAGCTTTGGAAAGACTTGATACAGAAGCTGAATCAGGTGTTGAATCTTAAATTTATAAGACTGAAAAAAAAAATCTAGAAGGATTTTTCTTGCTTGGAAGTGTCTTTACTTGGAAGTTCTAGCTTTACTTAAAAAAAAAACACCTGGAAATGTGAATTTCTTTTATATAAGAAAGACAGTAAGGTTTAATCAATCGTTTATGAAAAAGCCATGGCCTGTCTACGGCCATACCACCCGGAACGTGCCCAATCTCGTCTGATTTTGGAAGCTAAGTAGGGTTGGGCCTGGTTAGTACTTGGATGGGAAAAAGCCTTGGCCTTAGATCAGAGTACTGGTAGATGAACATCTATTTATGCTGTAAGTTAACATGTTTTAAGGTATGCCTCTGTCATTTTAAAATAATTATTCATATTAACCCACTTTTCCAATCAGCTTTGCCAAGTGCCATCAGATCACAGAGCTTTTCGTATACTATTATTTTTAGTTCTTTAATGGGTGCTGATATGATTTTATTTCTTGATCTGGGTACTAGTAGCATGGGGGCATTTGGTTTGTGAAAAATCATTGAGCTGTACATCAATGATACGCATGCCATTGCACTACCACAGAAAGCTGAAAAGTCATACAGGTGGCATATTTCTTTGCCATAGATTGTCACTATATTTTGTGTTTACCAGGATCCAAAGCCCTGTGGAAAGGCATGGCTGGATCTAAGTGCGTGGGCAGGTGGCTCCGATAAACCTCTCCTGCAGCGCTGCCTCTGTGATGGGGATCAAACGGACTGTGGCTCACGACAGGATCCACCCCAGGCACTGGAGACTTCGCTGGTATACTTTCCCTTTGGGTAGGGGTCAGTGTCGATTTCCTTTCATGATTTGTAGACTTGTTGGAAGAAACTGTAACTGGAAAAAAAGAGCCAATCCCACAAGTTCTTAAACTTGCAAAGTATGATAATATTTGTCCATTTCTCAACCATTCAAATACAGACTATATTCGTGTATTTTGATCTTCTCTTTCCCCTAAACATTTCATATTTAATATTGTAAAATACGAAAATGTAAAAAAAACTAGTAGAAACTGAGATCCGGAAAGTACTGCCACCTTTTGGATCACAGCACCAGTATTTTACATTAAAAATAACATTCAGCTCTTCTTTAAATCTCATTATGAATGATTTTGTTTTTTGTATGACTTTTAACATTCTAAATTATTTTGTCCCCACATGTAGTAAACTTCAATTTTCTCTCACTACCTGTGTTATGCAACCTCTTTCCCAGCCATTAACCACTAGTTTCACTAATTTCTCATTCCTTCACCAGTCTATCTCCTCCCTACTCCAGCCTCTCCTCTTCTAAATGATGTTATTCAGAGTAGTCAGTCTGTCCCACCAATACCTATACATTCAAACACTTATTAGCCATCACCCTCAATTTTTTTTTTTTTTTTTTGAGACGGAGTCTCCCTCTGTCGCCCAGGCTGGAGAGCAGTGGTGTGATCACAGCTCACTGTAGCCTCTGCCCCCCAAGTTCAAGTGATTCTCCTGCCTCAGCCTCCAGAGTAGCTGGGATTACAGGCATACGGCACCATACCTAGCTAACTTTGTATTTTTAGTAGAGATGGGGTTTTACCACGTTGGCCAAGATGGTCTCCATCTCCTGACCTTTTGACCTACCCGCCTTGGCCTTCCAAAGTGCTGAGGTAACAGGTGTGAGCCACCATGCCCGGCCACCCTCAATTTTTTTTAACTATGGTGAAATATACCTAACATAAAATTTATAATTTCAGCCATTTTAAAGGATACAATTCACAGTGGCATTAAGTACAAGATGATGGTTGTGCCACCATCACAACTAATTACTAATAGTTTGATATTATAAACTTTACCACAATCAGACAAATCTGCCTCCCCAATGAAAAGAAGCAAACTGGTTTTTCATATCCCCTTCCAAGCTGCAATGTGCTCAAATATGGAGTGCCCTTCCCTCTGCAGGGCTTCTCCATCAGAACTAAAGCTACAAACTCTGGATTCACCACCCTATCCTTAACAAGGACTTCCCCTTCTCCTCACTCTGTGCTATGCCTCTCACACCTGCCAAAACACTCTTCTTACAGCTCAAAGTGTCTAGCCTAGGACCTAGCATGTGAGTCATCAATAAATTTGTATTATAATAAAAAATGCTAAGTAGATGCATTTTTAAGGGCCTCATGCTGTTTCAGGGACCACTTGGTAAAAATCATGTGGTAAAAATCACTTCTCAATTGATGTAGCTGCCAGCAGCATGGGGATATAAAGTGATAACAATAATAACAACAGTAACAACAACAGTAATAATTTACATTGACTGAGCCCTTCGTAAATACTAAGCACCATTTTAAGTTCTTTACTTATACTACCCTATCTTCCTAATAGTCCAGAGAGGTACGTCTTAATGTTACATTATGATTTTACGAATCAGAAAACAGCCAGAAAAAAAGCTAGGTAACTCATCTGAGTTTATGCAGTAATAATGTTAATTCAAGCTTACACAGTCTTATTCCAGAGCCTACTTTCAGCCTCCACACCACACTGCCACTGAAGAAACAATGTCAAAACTGACTTGCAGAAAATCTATGTAATTGGCTGAAAATCCACCTTTAAAAATACACTTACTCTACAGCATAATCTGCACTTGATTTAAATATGAGGTATTTTACTTAAATTATTCCTACTTTCAAATTGGTAGCCTTTCATACTCCTAGAAGCAAGCACTACCTTGGGAGCTAAAGCTAACAATACTCTAAAGCTAACAATTCGGTATTTACTCCTTGACAGAGTTTTCTTTTTTTTTTTTTTTTAAATGCAATAAAAAGGATCAGACCAAGCCTCAAAAACAACATACCATCAGAAGTTCTGTTCATCATGGGTGAGCCTCTGGACATGGTGTTTTGATAACTCACAGGGGTCCTCCGTGCACTGGTGTCATCGTAAATCCCAGGGCTCAGTTGTGCTTTGGGAGCTTCATGTAGTGTGGACCTAAGAACGGAGGGGCCAGAGCTTACCACTGATGTGTGTCGGGAACGCACGGGCTCGCCTGCTTTCACATCTTCATATTTTCCCCGTTCTACCACTTTTATGTTCTCTGGCACAATTTCCAGCGGAGGCATTCCACGGGATAGTTTGCTAGGCCCCGTGATTAAGGATTTGACATTGTGTTTGATGGCAGATTGACCTGAGTTGCTGTCAAACTTTATTGGTGTGCCCTAAGGGGAAGGAAACAAACATTACGGTGGCAAAGTCACCTGCCTATTTTTCTATCTCAGGTCTATGTCTGGCCCATGGCAGTTACAGTTCGCTGGGGTGACCTTTTTGTCTGTTTGGACATCTCAATCACAACCCTAGTGATCCCCTGAGCTGCCTACTTTCCCACATTCCACACTCCAGGCTATGGACACAAGAAAACCTGATGATAAGAAGTACACAAAGGTCAGGCGCAGTGGCTCATGTCTGTGATCCCAACACGTTGGGATGCTGAGGTGGGCAGATCACTTGAGCTCACAAGCTCGAGACCAGCCTTGGCAACATGGCAAAGCCCTGTCTCTACAAAAAAATACAGAAATTCTGGGTGTGCTGGTACGTGTCTGTAGTCCTAGCTACTTGGGAGGCTGAGATGGGAGGATCACGTGAGCCCAGGAGGTCAAGGCTACAGAGCTGTGATCATACCACTGCACTCCAGCCTGGCCCACAGAGCCAAAAAAAAAAAAGAAAGTACAGGAAACTTTCATGTTTATTTCCAGGAGGTCTGACATCATAAGAACCACTTACAATTATTAAATCACACTTTTTAAAAATGTTCCAATAAATACCAGTTACTGACAAAAAGAGCCAAAACTTAGTTACCTGGGAAATGGAACCCTCAATTATCGGCCTTGTGCTCTGGACCACTTCTGGAGTTTTCCGACTTTCCTGAGTTAAAATATCTTGCCTTGGAATCTCATGAATGGAACGCCCCATTTCTTTGATGGTGGTGATGCCATCATATGGTTTTCCTTTGGTAATGGCACCTTCAAATGCTCGTATGGGAGGACTTTCCCTTTTAATTTGTTTGGGATATTTAAGGCCATCTTCAAAGCTTTCAGTTGTTGCTCTTGGTGTGCCTTGAAAAACAGTTCAGGAAACATTAAAATAATGCTGATGGTTGCACAACAATGCCATTGGACTGTACACTTAAAAATGGTTAAAATGACAAATTTTGTTATATATATTTTGACATAATTTAAAATAATTAATGCCTTGGCATCTTGTAGTCTCTAATTTTCTGTTTACAAAAGATCCTCAAATCAGTATTCATCAATCATGATTTCTTTAGGGTTGTTCAAGATATAATATTAATACATCATTCACAATAGTCACAAAATGGTTCTTGCATAATAAACATGTCTCTATATTAAAAGATTAAGAAACTGCCACCTTCCAATAAATTACGTAGCTCAGAGGCAGAAAAGTAAAAACCAAGACTTTAATATTTAGTATTTCAAAAGGGAAAATATCTTGAAAAGCAGAAATGCACTGTAAACTAATGTCAAACTATTTTGCCAGCGAGGCAGTTATAAATAAAAAGGCAAAACAAGCAGAAAGTTTACCCTGCATTATGGAGCCAGACAATACAGTCCTTTCTTTGAGGTCAGAATGAGGACTCCCCCTGGGTAATGCTCGGCATATCAGCCCTTTCAAAACAAAAATGCAATTCAATTATTCAACATAACATGTATGTCAACTCACATATACTGAATGTTGCTCTTAAAGTATATGTTTATGATAAATGCTCTATGAAGGAAAGAATGTCAATTTAAGTTTGTGAACTATCCAGAAGAAGTATCTAATATGACATCACATGGTCCTTTGTAAATATTTTCCTAAATAAAAAATGGTCATCAAAGGCATCTAATGAAAGGTTGAAAAGGAAAGATACTTTCAAAGTTAAATCTAAAATCCTAACACTTCTTTAACAAGAGGAAAGAAGATATAGGATTGGAAATCACTGCTTAGCTTTGAAATATACTTGTGATACGGGCCAGGCGCGGTGGCTCACACCTGTAATCCCAGCACTTTGGGAGGCTGAAGCGGGTGGATCACCTGAGGTTTGGAGTTTGAGACCAGCCTGACCAATATGGTGAAACCCCATCTCTAAAAAAAAGAAAGAAAAAAAAAAAGAAAAAAACTATTAAAAAATTAAAAAAGAATATAAAGAAGAAAAGTTTTTTAAAAATGAAATATACTTGTGATAAAGGGAAAATGGGAAATACGAATACCATAAAAACAGAGAAAATGTATTAAATAAAACATGCAAATCAAAATGAAAGAGTTGTAAATAACCTCCTAAGAAGTTTCACATTATTGTTGCTGATAAACATAAATAAAGGGTTAGAAATAACCACACATATTTACAGTAAAAGTGAGGTGTGTGGTTTTTTTTAACATAGAGAAAAATACAGCTCTTAGAAAATTACGTAAGACTTATCCTGCTTTCAGTATTTCATCTAGTTTAAAACTGGTTGAGGCAGATTAAGATTTAAACAAAGTGGGAGATTAACAAAACAAAATCATACTGATTATGTACTGAAGGCATATCACATGAGTAGTGCCAGTTCAGACACTGCTTCCAATCCTCACACGATGTTAGGTACGACCCCTTAATTTACAGAGGAAGAAACAGGCTCAGAGGAATTCGGGGAAAGGTGAAGCTGCAATTCAAATTCATGTCTTTATCCATTACACCACTTCATCTGCCTCACAATTCAAAATGAAGTTCTCATAACAAATTTCACCTATTTTATTTTATTTTATTTTTTGAGACAGAGTCTCCCTCTGTTGCCCAGGCTGGAGTGCAATGGCAAGATCTCGGCTCATTGCAACCTCTGCCTCCTGGGTTCAAGCTATTCTCCTGTCTCAGCCTTCCAAGTAGCTGGGACTACAGATGCGTGCCACCATGCCAGGCTAATTTTTGTACTTTTTAGTAGAGACAGGGTTTCACTGTGTTAGCCAGGATGGTCTCAATCTTCTGACCTCATCATCCACCTGCCTTGGCCTCCCAAAGTGCTGAGATTATAGGTATTAACTACCATGCCCAGCTGGTACCTTTTTTAACTCACTTAGCTGAAACAAAAATAATCTGCAAGTTGTATGAGCATTCAAATATGAACATTCTAATAGTAACTTATGATATCACCAATTATACTTAACTTTACTTCCGTCCATTGTTATATGCCACTTTAATTATATACAGATATAAATATAAACTTCAATTAATATTAATATAAAGATACATTTCAGGTAGAAATGACAAGAAATTGCATACAACTTAATTCAACAATGCAAACTTATTATATAAAATTACATTTATCAAAATAACATTCTGGAAACAAAACTTTACCCTCTAATGGTGCTGATACTGGAGACTCCCTCATTGACATCCCTTGCTTTATATTGCCTTCCACTGATTCATAGCTTCTCTTTAAATTAATTTCATGAGCTGTTCTTGGACTCCTAGTCCCTTCTCGGGCATTCTTAATATCTGCAGAATATACAAACAAGATTTGCTTAGACATAGCACAAGGTGTACAATATACAGTAAATAAGTTAGATTAATTTCAGTCTATCTTACAAAAATAACTTAAAAATTTGTCTTAAACTATAATAAAATCTGTGTAGATGATTCATGAAAATATTTTCCTTCATTCACATATGTTTATTGCTATCTACTGTGTGCCAGACATAAGCTAGGCTTGCAGATGAGATTTACAAATTAAGTCCCTTTCTGCATGAAACTTACAGACTATGTAGTGCAGTACAGACTATGCAGTACAGTACAGACTATGTAGTTCAGGAAGCTATGAAAGTATAATGTGCTATGAAAATGCTGGGGGAAAAACCTAACACCTTCAGGTTCAGATAAGCCTGTTTAGAGGAAGTAATGTGTAAGCTGAGAATGAAGGATGAGTAAGAGTTGTTCAAGTCAAAGGTAAAAGGAGGAAAAAGGACAGGTAGAAGGGAACAGTGAACACAAAGACCCCCTAGGCAAGACAGAGAATGGTACCTTAAAAGAACATATACTCGGTAACTGGCTCATGGGTAGAGTGGAGTTGGGAGAAAGAGTGTGGGGGAAGTAAACATGAGGGACTAAGGGGAAAAGAAAGAAGAGAAGAATCTCAAGAGCTAAGCTGGAAGCAGCTCCTGGAGAGGTCATAAAGCTAAGGCAGGGGCTTGCAGTTATCTTAGGGGTGATGGAAAATTCAAGCAAGGAGTGATATGGTACACACTTCGAATATGAGTGAGACTGAAGGTGGGGAGATGAGGTAGGCGGCCGCTGGGTTAAAGATGATGGTGACAGTGATGAATACGGAGTATGGATGGATTCTAGACACTTTGGGAAAATGAACAGAAATGACGTAGTGATTTGGCGGATGTGGAAAGAAACAAAAAGGTGTGCAGACGTCTGGTTTGCACAACGTACATTAATTTCTTAACCCCAGAAACAAAATGTTAATGAACATATGCCAGACATGTGAAGGAGCGAGCAATAAGAATGCTACGAAGCATTCTGCAGCATCTGGCACTGTGTACACTCATGCTTTATTTTTTTTTGTATTGGAAGAGAAACAAAGCACAGCTAATGACTACTCCAAGGTCACAGAGGCAGGCCCAAATAAGAACTCAAACTCGGTCAAAACTTTGGCTAATATTGCTATCACATTTGAGTCATTCTTATAAAATACTACTGAGAAAATATAATTTAAGAATACATCTAAAAAATATACATATATGTTAAAAGTTTTATTAAAGAGATTTTAAATATTGTTATCAATATTATCAGATTACCTACCCTTTAATTCTTTTTTTTTTTTTTTTTGAGACGGAATCTCCCTCGGTCGCCCACACTGGAGTGCAGTGGAGCAATCTCTGCTCACCGCAACCTCCACCTTCTGGGTTCAAGTGATTCTCCTGCCTTAGCCTTCTGAGTGGCTGGTATTACAGGTGCACACCACCATGTCCAGATAATATTTTTTGTATTTTTAGTAGAGAAGGGGTTTCACTATGTTGGTCAGGCTAGTCTCGAACTTCTGACCTCGTGATCCATCCACCTCAGCCTCCCAAAGTGCTGGGATTACAGGCGTGAGAGACCGTACCCGGCCTACCCTCTAATTCTTAATGCATAAAACATGGATCTCTTCAAAATAAAAGTATTCCATTAAAGTTCAACAAAGGCTCTTTTCCTAAGCTAAACTGACCACAGTTGATAATCTTAGCTACCACCTATGGGACATTTAGTCTGGGCTCTGCATTGTTAATTGCTTTTCACTGACTGAGCTAATATTCACAAAATTCTCATGAGACAAGTATTATTACTAACTCCTTTTACTGAGAGAAAAACATAGGCTCAGCAAAGAGAAACTGACTTCTCCATAGCAGAAATGTGGGAAAACCCAAGCCTATCTTTTTAGCACATATTGTAATACTGGCTATGGGTGTATATATATATAATACTTACTATCATATGACAAGATATGTCCACTTTTGCCTTCATAAATAACATGGCCTTTGGATGCAGCTTCCTCTCTGCCTTTTTCAGGACTGCTGTCTTCAATGGGCATTCTAGAAATGGACCCCTTCACCAAAGTCTCCGTTGGTATGCCAGGCTGGGGCAGAGCCGGGGTACCCTGCCACAAAATCAAACACAAGTAGAAGAATCACTCGGGTTTAGGGGAAACAGAAGATGCTCAGAAAATTTAACTTATCACAGAGTTAGACTAATCCATAGCTTCAAAGAAAGCAGATGTACATGAAAGGAAATTAAAACATTGAGTTTGTTTGTTTGTTTGTTTGTTTTTTGAGACGGAGTTTCGCTCTTGTTACCCAGGCTGGAGTGCAATGGTGTGATCTCGGCTCACCGCAACCTCTGCCTCCTGGGCTGAGGCAATTCTCCTGCCTCAGCCTCCTGAGTAGCTGGGATTACAGGCACGCGCCACCATGCCCAGCTAGTTTTTTGTATTTTTAGTAGAGACGGGGTTTCACCATGTTGACCAGGATGGTCTCGATCTCTTGACCTCGTGATCCACCCGCCTCAGCCTCCCAAAGTGCTGGGATTACAGGCTTGAGCCACCGCGCCCGGCCTTGAATTTTTTTTTGTTTTGTTTGAGATAGAGTTTCACTCTCGTTGCCCAGGCTGGAGTACAATGGCGCAATTTCGGCTCACTGCAACCTCCACCTCCTGGGTTCAAGTGATTCTCCTGCCTCAGCCTCCTGAGTAGCTGGGATTATAGGCATATGCCATCATGCCCAGCTAATTTTTGTATTTTTAGTAGAGATGGGGTTTCTCCGTGTTGGTCAGGCTGGTCTCCAATTCTTGACCTCAGGTGATCTGCCTGCCTTGGCCTCCCAAAGTGCTGGGATTACAGGTGTGAGCCACCACGCCCGGCCTGAATTTTTATAAACATGAAGATATCCTGTACCTTTATCCTTCAACTCAGCCACATAACACTTAAAATTATGACAGGTATATTAGGTGAATCAACTTTGCTCCCACCTTCATGTGAGGATTCTATTACAGGACTTAACTCTCAGAAGTTTCTCTTAAGGACTAAAATCATTTAAATGTAACAGCTTTTATTAGGTTGGTGCAAACATAACTGCAGTTTTTGCATTGTTGAAATTTGCCTTTTGATACTGGAATATATTTTTAAATAAATGTTCTTTTCTCTTTTGAATGTGTTATGCTATGTATCATTTTAATGCACATTTCTCACTTTATTTGTTAATGACTTATTACTTGCTGTTTATGTTCATTTTAGACAATGAAAATGATGTTAGACAAAAAGCAAATTCAAGTGATTTTCTTATTCAAGTTCAAAATGGGTCATAAAGCAGCGGAGACAATTCACAACATCAACAACGCATTTGGCCCAGAGCATACAGTGCAGTGGTGGTTCAAAAAGTTCTGCAAAGGAAACGAGAGCCTTGAAGATGAAGAGTGTAGTGGTTGGCCATTAGAATTTGACAATGACTAATTGACAGCAATCACTGAAGCTGACCCTCTTATAACTACATAAGAAGTTGCCAAAGAACTCAACGTCCATCATTCTGTGGTTGTTTGGCACTGGAAGCAAATTGGAAAGGTGAAAAAGCTCCAATAAATGAGTGCCTCATGAGCTGAGTGAAATTTTAAAAAATCGTCCTTTTGAAGTGTCTTCTCTTATTCTAGGCAACAACAAACCATTTCTCAATCAAATTATGCCATGTGATGAAAAGTGGTTTTTACACAAAAACAGGTGACAACTAGCTCAGTGGCTGGACTAAGAAACTCCAAAGCACTTCCCAAAGCCACACTTATATCAAAAAAAAGGTGGTCTGCTGCTGGTCTGACCCACAGCGCTTTCTGAATCCCCGCCTAACCATGATATCTGAAAAGTATGCTCAGCAAATCAATGAGACGCACTGAGAACTACAATGCCTGCTGCCAGCACTGGGCAACAGAAAGGGCCCAATTCTTCTCCATGACAACACCTGACCAAACGTTACACGACAACTTTAAAAGTTGAACAAACTGGGCTATGAAGTTTTGCCTGATCTGCCATATTCATCTGACGTCTCTCTCACCAAACAACTACCACTTCTTCAAGCACCTCAACAGCTTTATGCAGGGAAAATGCTTCCACAACCAGTAGAATGCTTTCCATGGCCTGGCGCAGTGGCTCCTACCTGTAATCCCAGCAGTTTGGGAGGTTGAGATGGGTGGATTACCGGAGGCCAGGAGTTCAAGACCAGCCTGACTAACATGGCAAAACCCCATCTCTACTAAAAATACAAAAATTAGCTGGGCATGGTGGCACACACCTGTAATCCCAGCTACTTGGGTGGCTGAAGCAGGAGAATCACTTGAGCCTGGGAGGCGGAGGTTGCAGTGAGCTGAGATCGCACCGTAATCTTTTTTTTTTTTTTTTAACAGAACAAGTCTCCGTCAAAAAAGAAAGAAAATGCAGAGTTCGTCGAATCTCGAAGCATGGATTTTTATGCTATAGGAATAAACAAACTTATTTCTCGTTGGCAAAAAATGTGTTGATCGTACTAGTTCCTATTTTGATAAAGATGTGTTTGAGACTAGTTGCAATGATTTAAAATTCACAGTACGAAACCACAGTTTTGCACCAACCTAATAAAAATAAGATGATAAATTAAGTTTTAAATTTAGAATACTACGACTTTCTCTCAAATTGTGATATGAGGGAAAAATAACTTTCAAACATAGGCCTTTGGATGCCTCTGTGTTGTGACACTGATTCTGTTTAGGTCAGATTATCTAAATTTTCACCATCATCAATCCTCCTCTGGGTTGCCAGTGACCACGCTTCTTTTTATTCTTCTTTTATGCAGCAAGCCCTTCCTTCAAGGAAAATAGTTCATAGAACCTAATATGTAGAGCATCTTGCAAGAGAGAACAACTTGGCATAATGAAGGAGTTAGAGGCCTAGAGTGAGTTTACTCCCACATTTGGGGTCACCACTATACTCTGAGGACTGCTAAAATCCTAGAGAGCACGATCTGATACTACATGCTTAAGAAAAGTGGTAAGAGACATACATTCACTTGTCCAGTCATTAAGTGAACTCATTAGTAAACATCTAGAAATCCCTAATACTCACTTCAGAAGTACTCATGTCAAATGCACAGATTTTAAAACAGATAAAATTTAGTCCCCTTTGGCTCGGTTCATCCTGTCTTTCTTCCCACAGTTTGGATACTAGTGTGAAGAGACAAAAATAATACCATAGGCCCATTTATTTTCCTCTGTCCATTTTAAAGCTTTAGCTTGTAAAAATAGAAACAACTGACCAACTGTAAAAGGAGAGATTTTACAAATCAGTATGTAACTTTTTTTTTTTTTTTTTGAGATAGAGTCTTGCTCTGTCACCGGGCTGGAGTGCAGTCTTGGCTCACTGCAACCTCTGCCTCCCAGGTCTGAGCAATTCTCCTGCCTCAGCCTCCTGAGTAGCTGGGACTACAGGTGCCCGCTACCATGTCCAGCTAATTTTTCTATTTTTAGTAGAGAAGGGGTTTCATCATGTTGGCCAGGATGGTCTCGATCTCTTGATCTCATAATCCACCCACCTCTGCCTCCCAAAGTGCTAGGATTACAGGCGTGAGACACTGCGCCTGGCCCTTTTCTTCTGTTTTTAACTTAACCTTCAAGGAAGTTGTATGTGAACTACATCTCAGAAAGAAATCACCTGGGAATCTCATTGATTCACATAATCTAGAATGGGGATTGACATTTCTGCATTATCCTAGCAAGCTTCCCAGTGATGCCAATGCTCTGCTACACAAACCACACTTATCCAGTAAGGCCCTAGCAGAATCACTGAAGGGCTTGGGAAAACAGATTGCCAGGCCCCAACAAGGGTTGGGTCTTAGTAAATCTGAGGTAAGCCCTGAGAATTTATATGCCTGAAAACTGCAAATACCTGCTGCCAGCACTTTTCTGCCAGTAGCATCAGAATCACCTAGAAAATTGCTAGACATTTTTCTAGGTGATTCTGATGCTACTGGTCTGGGGATCACACTTTGAGAACAACTGTCCTAGAGAATAGGAACAAGTCAAAGAAAAACAGAGTGACAATGAACAAACACTTCAGAAAATGCAAGACGTAAGTTTCTGTTCACAATGATTTCCTAAAACAGAATCTTCCCTCTTGTGCATATACATAAAGAACTTTTTAAAAAGATACAAAAAATAAAAATTAAAAAATAAAGAACTTTTTATATTTCAAGTTAAAAAAATTAACAACTGAGAGAAATTTTGTTAATCAAAATTGGTGATTTATTTAGCCTAAAATTGGAAGATTTTTGGTGCTTTTGTTAATGCCATCCACATTTCCTGATTTAGCATTAGATTCTAATAAGGCAGCTCACATACTGAGATTCTAGAACTACCTCTCCACAAGGGCAAAAGTAAGCAAATAATTTGTAATGGTTTTCTTCTCAATTTCTATTTAGGCTAAACACATGGTAAAAGCTTTTCCAGGAAGACGGTAAGAGCTGCATCAATTAGAACATACTTCTTCTTCCAATTTGCAAATAAGTGAACTTTTCAAATGAACCAAAATATACATAATATAGCTTGCAGTCAAAATGATCACATTAACGTCTCTGTGTAGATAGTTTGTAGATCTAGGTTTTACTACCACTGAGATCCAGTCCCATAATCCAGAAAAATGAGCTTAAGCCACAAAACGAATAGCCAAGTGCTAAGAATTACTTCTCATTTCTTCTGAGCTTCTGTTCAGTATATTAGAGATGATCATAACTAACCTGAGTGATAGAGCCCCGTAGGGAGGGAATGCTCTCCACTGAAATTTTGCTGGTTGGAGTTCCCCGAGTTATACTTCCTTCTTGTATGGTTCCTGTGGTACCTGAATACAAACAAAGCTATTAGCAAATTACACCCCCAGCCCCTGCCCCGAAACACAAAAAAAAAGCCCCTACTTTCTTACTCAAGAAGAAAAGGAGAAAGCAGCACAAAAACCATGATGTTTGTTTCATTAAAATGCACTTCCAAAATTAAATACTAAAAACTGCTGAAACATGGAATTTCAAAGTTTTAAAATAACTTTTACAAGGAAAGAAAACAAATTTAGAATTTAAAGACTATAGTTAAAAAATATTAAAATCATTAAAATATATTAATAATTTACTTTAATAAATTTATTGGGGACAAAAGTTTAGTATTTCTGCCAAACAGCATATTTTACCTCTGACTACACCTTCATGTTGGGCCCTGACCAACAGACCCTCAGGTTGTGAGTTTTGGCTTCGGGGAGAAAATTCCTCCTGCTTGATGTAGGGCAAAGTAGCTGTGGAAAGGCAGAGAAACATGAAGCAAACCAGTACTAAATTACTGGCTGTGATGCTACAAACGTAGACACATTATGCACATTATGACTGTATTAACTCACTGACCTGATTTAGCAGATTCCTGTTGCCGTGGCAGTCCAAGAGAGATAGATCCCACTGAGGGTTTAGGTGTTTCTTGAGTATAGGAAGCCTGATTATGAGAAGTCAAATAAGTGCCCGGTGTTCCCTAAAAAAAAAAATTTAAAGATTAAACATTGTTTTCTCACAAGGTCAATTTCACAAAGTCAGCATTCCCATTTCTGTTTTTAAAAATATATACCCCAGGCCAGGCGTGGTGGCTTACGCCTGTAATCCCAGCACTTTGGAAGGCTGAGGCGGGTGGATCACGAGGTCAGGAGTTCAAGAACAGCCTGGCCAACATGGTGAAACCCTGTCTCTACTATAAACAAACAAACAAACAAAAAATTAGCCAGGAGTGGTGGCACGCACCTGTAATCAAAGCTACTCCAGAGGCTGAGGCAGAGAATTGCCTAAACCCGGGAAGCGGAGGTTGCAGTGAGCCAAGATCATGCCACTGCACTCCAGCCCGGGCAAGAGAGGAAGACCTCATCTTTAAAAAAAAAAAGTATATCCCCTCTACCCAAAACTAAGAATAGTTTTTGTAAAGCAAGAAAATCTTCATTGTATATTGCTTTAATTTAAAATTTTTATTTTTTAAATTTATTTACTTATTATTATTTTTTTGAGATGGAGTTTTACTCTGTCACCCAGGCTGGAGTGAAGTGGCATGACCTTGGCTCACTGCAACCTCCACCTCCCAGGTTCAAGTGATTCTCCTGCCTCAGCCTCCTGAGTAGTTTGGGATTACAGGCACGTACCACCACGCCCAGCTCATTTTTGTATTTTTAGTAGAGATGGGGTTTCACCATGCTGGTCAGGCTGATCTCAAACTCCTGACCTTGTGATCCACCTGCCTCAGCCTCCCAAAGTGCTGGGATTACAGGCATGAGCCACTGTGCCCGGACCAATGTAAAAAATTTTAAAGGGAGTAGGATATGTCTTCTAAAATTACCATACATTACATGTAGATAATATTTGCTATTATTACATAAATAAAGCACTTGCACATTGCAATCAAAATGTAAGCTATTATTACTAATATTCCTTCCTACTAAAAATGCTATGGAGAGTGGTATCAGCAAATACAGCAAAGTAATAAGTACTTCCAAAAACTCTCTTCCATAAAAGCAACAAGAAAACATGAAAAAACTGTAAGGATCAACTTTTTTTTTTTTTTTTTTTTTTTTTTTTTGAGACAGAGTCTTGCTCTGTCACCCAGACTAGAGTGCAGTGGTGCAATCTCAGCTCACTGCAACCTCCACCTCCCAGGCTCAAGTGATATAAGAATCAACCTTAAAGAACTCTGGAAATTAGCCAAAGGCTTGTAGAAATCTGGAAACATTTATTAAAAAAAAAAATAGCTATATTTAGGTAAGAACAGTGGGCTTTGTAACATTTTAACTTATTCTATTCTCATTCTCCTCATCAAGCTCTACGTAGTGTTGCAAACCAAAAGCATACAATCATAGTGCAAACTAGCTGCCTGGCAGCCACCAGAAGGCAAAGAGCAAGGTTGGAGCTCCTTAAAAGTCTCATTCCCAAATAACTGTCATTGTTTGACTTATCTGCTGGTTCTCTGGGAGACTCCATTCACAAAACTGTCTATATTTGTCCTGACTAGAGTGAGAGCGAAGGTACAGGCTTGTCAAAAACACAGCCAAGTGATTAACCTCTCCACTGCCTGAGACAGTAGATAAGAGCCAGGGTAAACAATAGGCTAATCAAAATGCTTAAAAGTCAGAGAATGAGATGTTCATGGGGGTCTGAAACACTCCAACATATTCCTGAGAACCTAGAACACTACATGCACGTGCAAGGCTATGGTTATGCCTAGGAAAGACATGGGAAGGCCCTAGGCTCTTAACTCAGGCTGCCTTTAAGGCCCTGCATGCCAGGAAGTGAAGACTAAGGCAAAGCTATCAAGTGCCCAACACACCAAAAGGCCTCCTCAGCAAAGACTGATTTTACTGATTTTAGACATTTAAGGAAATCTGTCTAATCATTAGCTGAAGTTAACCAGACTTCAGTAGCCACATGTAACAAGTAATACAAACTTTTCTGAATTAGTTAAGTAAGTCACTAAGCAAATAACAGCAAAAATAAAATAAAATTTTAAAAACCCAGAAACAAGCCCTGAAAATTGGGGTAATCCAAGTTCCAGAGTTGTTACATTATATAAAATGACCAGTTTTTTTGACTAAAAATTACAAGATACTCAAAGAAACATGAAAGTGTGAGCCGTAGATACGATACAGAACAACGAACAGAAACTATTCCTGAGCTTTGGGCTTAGTAAAGACTTTAAATCAGCTATTATAAACATATTCCAAGAACTAAAATGAACCAAGCCTAAGAGGCCAGATGCAGTGGCATGCCTTCTTTAATCCTTACACTTTGGGAAACCCAGGCAGGAGGATCACTTGAGGCCAAGAGTCTGAGACCAGCCTTAACAATATATTAAGACTGTCTCAACAAAAAATAAAAATAAAGAGCCTGGCATGGTAGTGCATGCCTCTAGTTCCAGCTACCCCAGGCACTGAGGTAGAAGGATTGCTTCAGCCCAGGAGACTGATGCTGCAGTGAGCTAAGATCATGCCCCTACCCTCCAGCCTGAGCAACAGAGTTGCTCTAGAAGAGAGAAAGAAAAGAAGAATGATGTTTTGCCAGATAGAGAATACCAACAAATAGAAAGAAATCATTAAAAAACAAAATAGAAATTCTGGAGCTAAAAAAAATATAAGAACTAGGAGTGGGGGTGGCTCTCAGTAAAAGAATGGAAAGAAACATCAATCTGATGAAAAAAATCCATGAAATCTTAACATTTTGCCTAACAGTAAAATACTGAATGCCTTCCTTCTAAGATGGGCAACAAGAAATGCATGTCCGTGTTCACCAATTCTATTCTGTATTCCACCAAAAGCTCTTGCCCAGCCGCTACAATAAAACAAGAAAATGAAAGGAATAAAAATTTGAAAGGGAAAAGTAAAACTGTTTGCAGATGACATGCATATATAGAAAATCCTAAGAAATATACTAAAACAAAAGCCCTACTAGAAGCACTAAGTAAATGTTACAGGAGACAAAGCCAAGATACTGTACGTCTACATAAAAGAAATGGAAAATAAAAATTTAAAGGCCGGGTGCGGTGGCTCATGTGTAATCCCAGCACTTTGGAAGGCTGAGGCGGGCAGATCACTTGAGGTCAGGAGTTTGAGACCAGCCTGGCCAACATGGTAAAACCCTGACTCTACTAAAAATACAAAAAAATTAGCTAGACACAGTGGTGCACATCTGTAGTCCCACCTACTTGGGAGGCTGAGGTTGGAGAATCGCTTGAACCTGGGAGGCAGAGGGTGCAGTGAGCCAAGATCCTGCCACTGCACTCCAGCTTGGGTGACAGAGCGAGACTCCATCTCAAAAAAAGAAAAAAAAAAAAAAAAGCATTCCTAGCTACTCAGAAGGCTGAGGTGGGAGGATCACTTGAGCCCAGAAGTTGGAGGCTACAGTGAGCTATGACTGTACTACTGTACAGCAAGACCTTGTCACCAAAAAAAAAAAAAAAAAAAAAAAAAAAAAAAATACATTTAAAGGAATCAAATAGCCAAATAGAAATCAAACAAAACACGTACAAATCTCTAAAGTAAAAACTTTAAAGTGCTGCTGAAAGATAGAGATAAATAGATATATAAGTTCATGGATTAGAAGATTTGAGGTTAAGATTTCCATTTTTACCCCAAATTGATCTACAGATTTAATATAATCCCAATAAAAATCTCAGCAGATGGGTGGTTTGTGGGGTTTTTTGGCTAGGTTTTTGTTTTTTTGGTTTTTTTCTTTTGGTCTTTTAAACCTTAAACTGTAAGTTGAAGCATTCTCTGATGTTTGGGGGGAAACATCCTCTTAAAATGGGTCCTTGTGCTTGCCTTCTGGAGAGGAGTACTGAGCAGGTAAATTATAAAGCATTTCTCCATATGTTACATGCCAACTACACCCACCTCTTCCCCACAATCTTTGCCTCTTGGGTAGTTTGAGCTATTTTCCCCTTACTTTGCTACATGTATATAGTTAAGTTGGTTTTACTTAAATAATTCATGTTTAGGGGGTAAAAATAAAAATCTCCCTTAAAACATGTTTTAACTCCTCCTGCAAATAAAACAAATGAAGGGGAGGAGGGGAGGTGAGGGGGAGAAAAATAAATCCCAGTAGAATTTTTTTTCTTTAAGTAGAATGACAGATTGTTTCTGCCTTTGCTGCTGCCAGGTGCCCATGAAGAAGCCTGTGGCAAAGTGCGGGGAAGAAGCGGAGAGGGGGCAAAAAAAAAAAAAAAAAAAAAAAAAAAGGATGACTGGACCTACCCTGTAGAAGATGCTGCTAGTTGTGAGCAGTTTCTCCAAGACAGAATTAAAGTGAATAGAACCACTGGGAATCTTGGTAGAAAGGTAGTAACCAGAAAGAGGAGCAAGAACACAAGCACTGTAACTTCTGAGGTGCTTTTTTCCAAAAGGTATTTGAAATAGCTCACCACCCAAAAAGCATCTGAAGAATAAACTATGTAATTGGTTGTGCATGGCTGCTAACAGCAAAGAGAATTTTGAATTGCATTACTTCCAAAGTAACCAGGACAAAGAAGAAAAGGAAGATGAGGGTTAAAACTCATTTATCTGGAATGTTTTGTATGAGTTCTTGAATAAAACTTGGGAACCAAAAAAATGGGGGAGATAAAAAATTGATAAGCTGATTATATAACTTACATGAAAATGTAAATGACATCAAATAGTCAAAACAATCTTGAAAAACAAAAACACTGAAGACTTACACTACATAATATCAGGACTTACAATAAAGCTATAGTAATCAAGACAAAAGGATGAACAAGTAAATCAGTGGAACAGCATGGAGAGAGTGCAGAAACAGACCCATATATACTGTCGAATGATTTCTAACAAAGGAACTAAAGCAATCAAATGAGTAAAGGACTTTTCAACTGATTTTATTTATTTATTTATTTTATTTTATTTTATTTTTTTAAAGAGACAGGGTTTCACCTGTTGGTCAGGCTGGTCTTGAACTCCTGACCTCAGGTGATCCACCCACCTCAGCCTTCCAAACTGCTGGGATTATAGGCTTGAGCCACCGCGCCCGGCCTGATGTTATTTTTCAACTAGAAATTTAAATAGAGACGAATGTTAATCCCGACCTTATACTATACACAAAAACTTAATTGGAGACTGGTCACAGGTCTGAATATAAAAACCAAAACTATAAAGCTTTTAGAAAGAAACACAGGTGAATATATCTCAGAATCTTGGAGCAGGCAAAAGATTTCATAGGAAAATAAAACTAATCATAGGAGAAAAAAGTGTGAATATATATTTAGACTACATAAAAATTTGAAACTTCTGCTCATCAAAACACCAACAAGAAAATTAACAGAAAATATTCGTAACATATATATCTAACAGAGAACTTTCAACCATAATAAAGACCTACAACACAATATCAAAAAAGAGCCGGTAAAAACATATAATCAGATTTAAATAGTCACTTCCTAGGTGTACAAATGGCCAATAAGCACATGAAAAGTGCCCAACACTGTTTGTCAGAGAAATGTAAAATACAACCACAATAAAATATTATTGCGCACCCAAGTACGACTAAAATGACAAAGACTGACAACAGCAAATGGAGCAATCGCAAGTCTCGTACATGGCTAGTGGCAGCGTAAAATTGTAGAACCACTCTGGAAAAGTATAAAATATACATAAACCTAGTAATTCCACTCCCAGGTAATTGTACAAGAAAAATAAAACCTATGTCCACAAAGAACCCATTAAAAGAATGTCCAGCTTTATTCATGGCTGCTGAAAACAGCTTAGGTTTTCATCAACAGGAGAATGGATAAACAAACTGGTATTATTCAGCAATAAAAAAGAAGAAACTACTGATTACATAAAACCCTGGATAAATTCCCTAAAACCATTAGGCCAAGTTAAAGAAGACAGACACAAAAGAGTACACCATGTTTGATTCCATTCACATGAAGTTCTAGAAAAGCCAAGACAAATCTATAACAACAGGAAGTAGAACAGTGATTGCTTCAGGCAGCGGGAGGGGAGATGGCCTGGGAAGGAACATGAGAACACTTTTGAAGTGATAGAAGGTCTTCAATAACTTGACAAGGGTGTGACCACTGATGTACATGTTAGTCAAAACTGATGGAACTGTTAAGACCAGGTTGTATCTCAATTTTTTTTTTTTTTTTAAGACAGAGTCTCACTCTGTCACCAGGTGCCAGGCTGGAGTGCAGTGGTGCAACCTCGGCTCACTGCAACCTCCGCCTCCTGGGTTCAAGCAATTCTCCCACCTCAGCCTCCCAAGTAGCTAGGACTACAGGCGCACGCCACCACATCCAGCTAATTTTTGTATTTTTTTTTAGTAGAGATGGGGTTTCACCATGTTGGCCAGGATGGTCTTGATCTCTTGACCTCGTGATCCGCCTGCCTCAGCCTCCCAAAGTGCTGGGATTACAGGCGTGAGCCGCCACACCCGGCCTGTATCTCAATTTTTGAAAACGTAATGACCCAGAAAAAAGATTTAGTGGTCAAAGTCAGAATAAACTATAATACTAATCACCTACAATTTAATTTTAGAGCCTTTACCATAGGTTAGTGAACAACTATTCTACTGTTTGAAACTAAGTTTAAAACTTGTAAGTTTAGAGTGATGTAAATTAAACCAGGTGGTATGCCAAGTGTAATTAAATGGGTGTTATGCCATGGCCACTCAATCTGGGTACACAATCCACTGAAAACTCTTGTGGCAAGAGTATAGTGACTGCTGCTATACTTGAAGCTCCATATTCAGACAGATTATTATTTACTAGTACTCTGATAGATCAGTGCGAGGAGGAGGAAAAAGTTTTACCAAAGCCACATTGAACAAGAAATCTACTACTGTAAAGAGAAGTAATTTCACCTGTGAGATGGAGCCTCCCATTATAAATGATGGTTTTTCTGAAGCCACTGTCGTTTTGGATGATGGGATGAGAGGGGGCGGCGGCCTGGTTGGTCGAGTTGTCGGAAGCCGAACACCTTCAGGGAGATTAGTTATCACTTGATGTGGAGCAGGCTGAAGGACTTTTAAAAGGAAAGAGAAATGATTTTAAAATAGTCCGTTTCCTAGTTTACAACATGTTACCTATCTCAGTCATTCCTGAATTTTTAAATCACAAATTAAAAATGCAAGATGAAACCAACAATGAACATTTCTATTTAAATTTCTCATTCACTTAAGCCTGTATACATATTTAAGTCACAAATACTATTTGTGGGGTTGAAATAGTCAACTCCCTGTCAAACCAGAGCTTTCAAGCTGATGCTCATTTCAAACTATTTCTGCTTAGCATGGCAAACATCAGTCTTCAGAAATGTTTACCTCTTGCCATCACTCTTAGGGTACTTCTTAAGAACAGCTGATAACACTACTTCATAGAATACGCAGACATGACTGACAACCAGTTATACAACCTTTTTGCATCTTGCATATTTTGAGAAACATTTACCGATTCTGGCTCTCACAGAACACTTTAATTTTAAGGATGGGGAGATCAAGACTTTTACAAATTCATGTACTCTTCTTAAAAGAAGAGCCAGTCAATGTCACAGTATAAATGTGTGAACACAAATTTCCCAGTGGCCCAGTGAACTCAACTAAATACAACTGATGATGGAATGCAGAGAAACAAAGTTATTTTGAAACAGCAAGGACATGTCCTGGAAAAGCAGTTCATTCATGAGATTAAACCACCCACATGGGACATCTGTGGGTGGATGGCCAGCAGCCACTGCACAGAGGAGTGATATTTACCTGGCGGGACACTATAGCGGGCTGCACTCATATCAGGCTGTGGAGCGGCTTTACTGACTTCTCTTGGAGAAAGCCTACACGGTGAGGCTGACCTTGCTGCAGTATTGTGCATCTGTGCTTCCTGTTCTAGAGCACGTTTGACCTCAGCATAAGGCATATAGGCGACTGATTTTCCTATGAAAGTTAAAGTTATCAAAATAAGGGAAGAACCCCAAATTAAAATAGTAAGTGTGAAAGGACCAAGCCCACACCATCCAGGGGCAGATCCGACTATATACTAATATTAAAGTCTAAAATTCCTGGGGGCAAAAATCCACCCACAGAGAAATTAAGAAATCCTATAAACCTAAATGTTCTGTGTATCCTCAAAAATTCATTTACTAGTTTTCCCTTTAAAAGAACAAGAACTTCTCTCTCCTCTTCAGGAGAATCAAGTGTTTTCACATAAAAAAAAAAAAAAAAAAAAAAAAAAAATATCACAACAGGCAAACATCAGATTATCAAGCAATTCTGTTCATTCAAATCTGGCCTGACTGGAGGTTATTAGCTTTGCAAGGATTTCAACTCTTGTAATTAGCCTGTTGAAGCTCACTGCTTGATAATATTCACAGAAACAAATTTAATTAAGAAACAGAAGAAGCCTTTCAAAAAATGCAGATCAAACAAATTCAAAAATCCTATTTAAGCTTATAAAACCATGAATATAACTACAATAATACTAATGAAAATTACTTATCATGTAAGTTATCTCCACACACAGCATAAAGAAACTTTAAACATTTAAAGGGCATGTCAGAAATGCAGTCATATTAAGACTTTAAAATACAATTTCTTTTTAAAATGAAATGAACATCTTTAATTTTTGAAAATCAAAAAAGCACAAAGTAAAACTCATTTGTAAGCCTGACCACTTAGATTTGTAGCATTTTAATGTCTGTCAGAACTAATTCCCAATCATTTTATTATTTTCATTACCTAGTTGTATCCATTTATCTTTCCAGGTAAATCTACATTTAAAATCATTTTGAGTACTTCCTCCCAAAACAAAGAATCACTGAAATTTTCATTAGACTTTTATTAAACTTATGAATAAATACAGGAGACTTGACATCTTATAATAATGAGGTTTCTAGTTGAGAAATCTTGTTTTTGTCACATACGTCCATGCACTGCTTGTTAAAAATTTTTCTTAGATATGTCATATTGGTAAGAAAACCAACTCTTTCAAAGATACGGGTTTATATAAATAAACCCGATTACTGCAGACATATAGGAAAGATGCAGATTTCTGTGTAATAATGTTTTCTGAGAAACCTAATCAACTTTCCTTTTAGCTCTTATAACTTTTCAGTTGATCTTTTATGCTTTCTAGGTGAATAATCTTACCCTGTAAATAATTTGTCTTTTCCCTTAAAATACCTAAACCTCTGATTTCCTTACTACACTATGTTTAGTAATTATTTACTAAGGTGTTTTTAAAAATCAAAAACAATTACAGAAATATCAACTGATATTCAAGTGTTAGGCAGTGTGTGTTACATAAATTATCTATTTAGCCCTCAAGACCAATGTGATTATTAACACCATTTTACAGATGAGGAAACTGAGGCTCAGAAAAATCACATCTCACTGCCCAATAAGGTCTACCAGGGATTTTTTTTTAAAGCATTATAATTCTGGACCCTTAGCTCTAAACCACAGTGCAATAGCATCCCACTAAAGGACTGGGTGTCAAATTTCAGATGTCTCTGGGGTATCCATCAAGATGATGGTACTTTTTCCTTCTTTGACATATTAATATAATGAATGACAGTAAGTGTTCTAATACTGAGTAAACAGATTTATGAAATAACCCAACCCCCAAAGAAAATCACCACTTCCTTCCTAGAGAATTTAATATGATCACGTATTAAAAATTCAATGTCTGAATATTTTACCATTTCCAGTAAGTTTATAACTATGTCAAAAGAAAAAAAAAATCCACTAGTTACAGTAGTGGTTTTTTAAAAAATGATGGAAATTTTGATGGTTCTAAACACAGCTATTTAAATCACCATGAATCCAGAGCAGGAAAAGAAAAACAGCAACAGCAACAAAATAAACGTGCAACAAACTAGGGTCAGTTTCATAGAAGCAAAATTATTTTAATTGAATAATTTTGTTAAATTTGCATTAGAAGTTCAATTCTAACTCTATATGCTTAAGTTTGAATTCCTTCACTGCAGAAAAGAGGCTTAAAAGTTATCAGTAAAGCAGAGGTCAACTCGTGTAAATGTTACTGGCAAGTGCAAACAATTCTCTAAGGTCTTCTTCAACCTTTTCTACATATGGGAAAAGCTTTAAGCAACTTAAAACAGAGATACCTAAAGTCATTATTTATACGATTCACATTAAGAGAAAATAAATACAACCAAATAGTTGGACAACAAGTGTTGCCTGTTACTTTCTAAATGAGACCATGAAGGAAAAAGTAAAAAACATGGCCCTAATTCAGGTGAACTGTACCAGTATTTGGTGATATTTTATACATAAATCCATACTTTCACTATTCTTCACATTCTATAAACTGTTCTATGAGGTTAAATGTAAACTGTGTCAAACATCCTAGACACAAGCACAGAATCATCTTAACTGCAAACATTTAAATGTTATTTGAAAGATTATCCTATACACTGAACTACAGGATAGACTCAAGGAGAGACTTCTGATACTTGTTAAACAAATTACTGGATAAATATACTAGGGAGTTTAGCTAAAACAAAACAACCTTAGGATAAAATGTAACCAACTGTCCCTACTTTGTAGAGGATCACCTTCAGCCAAAGTATAAAATTATTAATGTCATACTAACGAAAAGTATAATTACGATTTGGTTTTAAGATGACTGAATTATGATTAAAAATTAGGATACCACTGAGCATTAATGTGACTAACAGAAACACAATTCACAGTTTGGAGTCTCCGAATTTTGGGCTCTAGCCTGATTCAGTTGCCCAAATACAATTTATTTTATAAAGCAGACCAAGAAAAGATACTGAGGCTCTAAAATTATAATATGATATCCATATTAAAAGGACTGAGATATCACTAACAATAATGTTATACTTTGGCATAAGTTCAACAAATGATACCATTTCAATGTCATTTTTCTAACTTTTACTTCTTCACAAAATCTATCCTGAATCATTAATGTAAGGAATACATCCAAAGACTTTTAAATTATCCTCTAAAGTATCATTTTCCACTGATGGATTTACTCATAATTGAAATTTTCAAAAGACAAACACCTGTGATAGGTCTATTAATACCCTGCAGTGAAATATGATAAAGGTATCTCCATTATGTCATTCATTTATAATTCATTCTTTTAAGGTGTAATTACTGGGTATCTCTTGCGTCAATTACAGAACTAGGGATTAAGAATTCCCTAGATGCAACAGACTAAAAGCCTAAAAAGTATCAATATTTCTACCTTCATTCAAGGAAATATTCATTTAGCACTTATTATATTCCCTGCTGGATATTATCATTCTGGTCCACATTTTTCCTAACACAAGATTTATGTTTAAAAGATTAACAAGTTTACACTTAAAACTATAACGTAAGAGTTTTCAGTGTGTTATGTAACTAATAACTCATTATTGGTGTAATCTGGGCAGAGAGTCGGCAGGATTAGTTAAGTACCATAGTTCCTATTTTATATTAAATAGCCCTTGGAATGCATGGCATTGTAAAGCTAATAGCTCTTATTTAGCAACATAAAGTACTACAAAGAATCTTCTCAATCATTCAGACTATTTCAGTATTCTTATATTCTAAGCACACTGTAGCATGTAAGTAGACTATTAACTCACTCTTAACCAGAAACATGTGCCAATTCTTCTAACCATGCGTATTAAAACTTAAAAACACTCCTTTCTTCTTTTTATTAAAGAAAGTAAAAGAAACTAAAGCAACGCACCAACTCAAATCTATCGCTTGAAATAAAAACAGTGACATAACAATGAAAACAGGTACCTCCATAGTAGCTACTAATTCTGTGTATATGCAATACTAATACACTAATTAGTATGTAATAGCATACTACATTATACATAAGATAGTGCAGAGCCATGTGTTATATAACAATACCAAATGCTCCTCAACTTTACAACCCCAGCAAGGTAGATGTGTACTATTATTTTCATTTTACAGATGAGAAAACTAAAGCTATGAAAGGTTAAGTGACTTGCCTGTGGCCACACAGCTGGCAAATGCCAAGGTGAAGGCTGAGCCAGCGTCTGATTGGGAATATCCACTACACAAAGTTGTATCTCTCATCTACCAGAGAATGTGAATATTACAGTGTAATATTCGAAGGTGATTTGCTTCAAGGACGGGACAACAATTCTCACTTACTCTGAAAATTCAGATGAATGGAACATAAAGCATGACTTTATTTATAATGACTTCCAGCATAAAGATGAGTATCAGAAAATTTATATTAACTAGAATGCTACTAAAAATATTACTGGCATCCTTTAGCAGTTAATAATACTAACTTTTTTTCATAGCTTAACTGAGGTAAGGAATTGTGTCTCCTAGGGACAAATATAACCATCAATTGGGAAGCTAACTTACAAAGCACAATGGACACTACTTTTGGGTTTAGCTTTGTTGCCCTTCATAAAACTTATCTGTGGTGATAGCTCTCTTTACCTACCTTCCCACTCTCTGTTTGGACTCTTGGATGTGCCACATGGACTCGTAGAACTTCTGCATTCCAAATCTATCTGTTCTTGCCTCTGCCGCTGCTCCTCCAGGAGTGCTGACTCATGCATTGCTTTAATGTGTCGCTGGTAGAGAGCATAGCCACTCACTGGGGTTCCAATTGGTATGTTACACGGGGTGCAGGATACCTACAGGAAGAAAATAAATCTAAATATGCCAACAACCAATGTTGTGATAACTGCCGTCTGTTACAAGTAATGCTTATTTCTGTCATATTACTGGTTGAATTAATTTTATCGATTTTTAATCCAAGTAATCTTCAAGAATAATGCTTAAGGCCGGGAGCAGTGGCTCACACCTGTAATCCCAGTGCTTTGGAAGGCTGAGGCAGACAGATCACCTGAGATCGGGAGTTCAAGACCAGCCTAACCAACATGGTGAAACTCTGTCTCTACCAAAAATGCAAAAATTTAGCTGGGTGTGGTAGTGTGCGCCTGTAGTCCCAGCTACTCAGAAGGCTGACACAGGAGAACTAGCTTGAGCCCAAGAGGCAGAGTTGCAGTGGGCCGAGATCGCACCATTGCACTACAACCTGTGCAACACAGTGAGACCTAGTTTTCCTTCAGAACAGATCACAATATAAATCACACAAGCTGTAATAAGATAAATCAAAAGTCGCAAATTAAAACACATCTGTCTGATTCTAATTTATGGCAGCCAAGTCCCTTGTGGCTTGGCCCTAGGTCCCATCCCTCATCTCTCTTTCACCAGGGATCACATCCATTTATGTATTTTTTCTTTTCTTGAGGCACAATTTCACCGTTACCTAGGCTGCAGTGCAGTGGTGCGATCTTGACTCACTGCAACCTCCACCTCCCAGGTTTAAGCAATTCTGCTGCCTCAGGCTCCCAAGTAGTTGAGATTGTAGGTGTGCAACACCACACCCAGATAATTTTTCTATTTTTTTAGTAGAGAAGGGTTTTCGTCATGTTGGCCAGGCTGGTCTCAAACTCCTGGCCTCAAGTGATCTGCTCGTCTCAGCTTCCCAAAGTGCTGGGATTACTGGTGTGAGCCACTGTGCCCAGCAGATAACATCCATTTATGTTGATTTAAATGCCATCCATTTGTTAATGATTCACAAATTTTCTATTTCCTCAAGACACCTTCTCCAAGTTCCACATTCATATAAAATGGCCTACCTAACAACTTCACTTGGGATATCTCGAGGAAGCTCAGAACTTACAATAAGAAGGGAACTTCCCATTTTCTAAAATCCATTCTTCTTCTTCAGTTGTTCTACATTTTAGACATGGAACCTCAGGTGCTTTAGCCAGAAACGTGGCAGCCATCCCTGACTAATCAATCTCCTCCTCTCCCGCAACCAATTCATTCACATAGCCATTCTCTTAGGACAGATATGGACTGTTCTTAAGATAGGTCATCCATAAGCATCCAATAAAACATAGTAATTCCCTCCCTGTTTTCCTTCTCATTGCAGCCTGTTCATTGCTTTCACAGTATACAGCATTTACCACAGTTTGAAATTGATACTTTTCTGTCTCTCTGACTTTATGAAAAGAATCCAAGATGTTTTAGCCAATACTTAAAAAATAGCCCAGAAATCCTGAGTTAATTAAAAAAAAACAAAAACAAAAACAAAAAAAAACAGCCCAGAACACAGTCCATGATTAAATACTTCATGAATAACAAATATCACTAGTATGCCCTAGAGATCTGACTTTTTTAGAATTTGGTAACTTAAGACTTCCATAGTTTTTCCCCAGCATAAGTAGTATTATTCACTGATCCTAAAACTCCTAACTTTCTTGCCTTTGTGCTTTGTTTTACACGTAAATATGGTTTCTCCTCCTTTTGCTATAAACCAAATGAGCTGTTTTGATCCAATGAAAATATTATTTCTTATGCAGGGTCTTTGTTAAGCACGTGCCAGAATTTCTTTCTTTTTTAAGGCTGATTAAGAAGATACTCGCTCTTCTCCAAAATATCCATAGTATTTTTAACCTAATAGAGCATCACATTTTAATTCATTTTAACCTTTACGGTAATTGTTTTATGCTTTTGTTTTGTTTTGAGACAGTGTCACAGGGCTGGTCTTGGAACTCCTGTGCTCAAGCAATCCACCTGCCTCAGCCTTCCAATAGTGCTGGGATTATAGGCATAAGCCACCACGCCCAGCCTCTTTGCTTTATTATGTAGACCAGTCCCTAAATTTAGTTTTTTTTAAAAAAATCAGAGGAGATATATATTTATATTCTCCACAATATGAAGAACATTGTCTTAAACTAATCACTCAGTAAGTGTTCATTTGAATGAATCAATGAATGAACAAATATTTAATGATCTTTTTGTAATAAGTATATAATTAACTAGTTTTTACCAATTATTATTTAAGACAGAAAACACATTTTTGAATAAAGCAAGAGCTTTAAATATTTGAATAAAGAGGACATAACTAAAGAAAAGAACAATACTCAATATTGGAATTTAGTATCAAAAATGAGTCAAATTTATACAGATAAGGTAAAATGTAAATAAAACTGACTTGAAATCTGTAGATTAAGGTAAAACAAAAAAATAAACTACACTTAAAATTGTATACTAGAGCTAGCCATAATCTCTAGTCATTCTAAATTTTCAAAACCTAATTATATGCTTAATGCTACTACTGTTTTATGGCTTCTTATTGCCATGGTTACAAATAAAAACAGGACTTACTAATATTTATGGCTAGAGTATTATAATTTTTTTTTTAACTGGAAATGACCACTTCAATCAATCATCACAAGTCATTTGAAAAATCAATGCACTAAGGATATAAATTTTGGTTATCTGTAAGAGTTTAAAGTTAGACTCGGCATATTCCTACCCTTCTCTCCCATATGTCTTAGCACTCCCTAACCCAAGCCCAGCAAAGGAGGATATAAGAAAAACCAAGGTACTAAAATCAAGGACTGACCATAGAGGTACTAGTCACAATAGTACAGAGGTATAAGCAACCCAAATGTCCATGAATGGATGAATGAATAAAATGTAACATACAGATACAACAGAGTACCATTCAGCCTTTAAAAAAAAAAATTCTGGGACGTGCTAAATATACTTAGAGGACATTATACTGAGTGAAATGAGCCTATCACAAAATGACAAATACTGTGTAATTTCATTTATATGACATAGGATGATACAATAAGAATTATTTGTTCTCTCTTCCAAAGACTTTTGTTTCAAATCTTTAGAATTTTCAAAGCAGTCAGAGTGTCTTTTGTATGCTAACAAGATGACTCCTGGCTGGGGGTGTCTAAATGGCCTCAGAATAAGGGCTGGGAGCCCAAAAGACCTCAAGGCATGAGGCTGGAACTTCTCTGGGTGTTGTGGTAGGATGTTTCCCAATATTTCGCTCAGGCTGGGCTTGAACTTGCAATCCTCTTGCCTCCGCCTCCCAAATAGCTGGGAATAGAGAGCTGGGACTACAGGTGGGCATCACCATGCCCAGCAAGGGCTGGAACTTTCAGCTACACCGAGCTCACCCCACCTCCAACCCTCCAGAGAGAGGAGAGGGGCTAAAGGTTCATGTACCCATCACCAGTGGCCAATGACTTAGTCAATCACGCCTATGTGATGAGGCCTTCACAAAAACCCCAAACAATGGGGTTTAAAGAGTTTCCAGGTTGGTGAACACATAGAGGTGCTGAGAGGGTGGCAGGCCTAGAGAGGGCACAGAAGCTCCACACTCCTTCTGCACACCTTGCCCAAGGCATCTCTTTCATTTGGCTGTTTCCGAGTTATATCCTTTAAAATGAACAAGTAATTATAAGTAAAGTACTTTCCTAAGTCTCTGAGGCATTCTAGCAGATTATGGAACCTGAAGGGGAGAGTCGGAGGAATCTCCAATTTGGAGCTTAGTCAGAAGTGTGAGTAACCTGGATAGAACTGGCATCAGAAATGGGGGTAGCCTGTGGTACTGAGCCCTTAGTGGTATTAGACAATTGTGCAGGGTAGTGAGTGTCCAAACTGAACTAAACTGTAGGAACCTAGCTGGTGTCCAAAAAGGTGGAGAATTCATTAGTGTGAGGAAGAAACCCATACATTTGGTATAGTAAGTGTTGTGGTACAAAACATTTCATTGGTATCTAAACTATGTATTAAATTCACAGAACCAGAAAGCAGAACAGTGCTTACCAGTGGCTAGAAGGAGGAAGAGAGGAGCTGTTTAATTAATTTCACATCCGAAAGATGAAGAAGTCTTGGGGATCATTTTCTCAACAAGGTCAATATACTTAACACACTGAACACTAGTGAACTGTATACTTAGAATTGGTTACAATGATTAATTTCATGTTATGTTTTGTACCCCAATTTTTTTTCAAGAACCAATTAAAGAAGAAAATAAATATCTCTATAAAGGTCTCTGTTTTTCAACTTTAGTTTTCTTCCTCACAATAAAAACTTACCATTGGTGGGATAACAGCAGCTCGATGCTGAAGCTGTGGCAGGTCCAGTGGATTTGGTTTTAACGGGGATGAGACTAGTATAGATCCAGTGGGATTTAACAGTGAAGGCTTTGATTCCATAGGAAACATTCTGCAATTGTCCATTTAAAAAAAGATAAGAATACATTTTTATTTAAGACTCAAACATACAATCACCATAATTTCTTATAATATGCACATACACATGCACATATGGACACACATATATTAACCCGTATAAAATATATGGACAGTTAAGGAAAAAGGAACCTATAAAGCTGATTTTCCAGATAAAGAAACTGAATATTGTACTCACTTCAGCAGAACACGTACTAAAATGAAATGATAAAAGATTACCATAGCCCCTGCACAAGAAAAACATGCAAATTTGTAAAGCATTTTATATTAAAAAGAAAAAAGAAACCTAATACTGACTTACAGGTTGAAATTTATCTGAATCGTCTATATCTAATCAACAAAACAATCTGAACAAAGTCCATTTAAAACCGTTCGGTCCTAATTTACCATAAACCTCCTAACATGGGTTACAAACTAGTTACCTGTTAGAGGATATTTTGTTGGGAATCACAGAGTTGTTTTTTTTTTTTTTTTTAAATATTTGAATGAACTGCTACAATTTCTAAATTGAAAATGTCATCCGAAATTCCAGACTTTGGCTTCTCATAAAAAATGGAAAGAACGAACAACATGGGATCAGCACTCACCCACGGCAGCTGCTGCCCCACTCACATGAGCACACCCTCCTCTGTTCACCATAGTCCCTAGCATCTCACACTCCACTGGCTGTTATTTCCAATACCTACACTCAAGTTTAGGATGCCCAATATATAAACTCAAGGAAATTTTATACTAGTGTCATGTCTTAGGAATTTGGTCATATTTCCCAATGTTATTGTGGTCACTGGGGGAAGGTGAACATTTAAAAATGCATAAATTGACGCCGGGCGCGGTGGCTCAAGCCTGTAATCCCAGCACTTTGGGAGGCCGAGGCGGGTGGATCACGAGGTCAAGAGATCGAGACCATCCTGGTCAACATGGTGAAACCCCGTCTCTACTAAAAATACTAAAAATTAGCTGGGCATGGTGGCACGTGCCTGTAATCCCAGCTACTCAGGAGGCTGAGGCAGGAGAATTGCCTGAACCCAGGAGGCGGAGGTTGCGGTGAGCCGAGATCGCGCCATTGCACTCCAGCCTGGGTAACAAGAGCGAAACTCCGTCTCAAAAAAAAAAAAAAATGCATAAATTGGTAACAAAATTAGAATATGTTTTTAAAAATTCACATACTACATAAAGAAGATATTAAAGATATACGAAATTGAAAGTGTTATTTCAATCATTTGGGAGCATTGTAGACTTTAGGGTGTCAGTCAAAAAACATATTTTTCCAAGGAATTTTTGAATTTCAAGGCTACTGTCACATTCATCTCTTAAGATGTTTAACATTTAAAATTACTGCCATCCTAATTTTTCCTTCATGTATAGTTACCAAAACCAACAGTGCAAAACACAGATAATCCTTATTTTACATGAGATGTTTCATTAAAGAATGCTTTAAAAAGGACTATACAGCTTGAATCAATTTGTGTTTACTGCAGTTAAAGACTGACACCCTTAAAATCTAGGTTACTCTGAACTGAAGGAAAAAGATAGTCAAATTTTCTGGTAAACCAATAGTTAAGCAGAACACCTACTTTATTTCGATTCATGTTGATGAAAATTCTAGCATCTACTATATAAAACACTCTGAGAAATCAGGCACTATATTGCTCAATATTATTCTAGTAACACATCTCATTATGGAGTATATAAGATACAAAATACATTGGATATTAACTGAAAATACAGACACCAAGACAAACTCTGAAAGCTAAACTTTTAAGATAACTTATCTATCTGTTGAGTAGCTCGTCTCCTTTTTCTTATTAAAAAGAAAAAAAAGGGCAGGGTTTACTTGGGTTCAGATTAAGTGATGTTTCAATCTAATTCACTTCTATAATTTGTCCCAATTTAACATTCTACTAAAATTATAGGTGATTCAATTTAAAGAAAAGGAAACACCAGGAAATAAAATACATTAAATGAAGAGGTAACTACACCTGTAAAATACGTATCTTTTTATTGTGATTTTTACAAAAACCATAGATATAATGCATTTTTTTGGTATAATTACTTAGTCTTTAATGACTACAAATACTTGTAAATTGCTGGACACAGTGGCTCACACTTGTAATCCCAGCACTTTGGGAAGCTGAGGTGGGCGGATCACCAGAGGTCAGAAAATCGATACCAGCCTGGCCAACATGGGAAACCCCATCTCTATGAAAAACGCAAAAATTGGCCGTGCATGATGGCATGTGTCCTCGAGCTACTTGGGAGGCTGCGGCAGGAGAATCACTTGAACTCAGGAGGCAGAGGCTGCATTGAGCCAAGATTGCACCACTGTACTCTAGCCTGGGCAACAGAGCAAGACTCCATCACAAAACAAACAAACAAACAAACTTGTAAATTAATCTGCATTATACCTGATATTTTAAATTACAAAAATGAACAATCTAAAATTTTAACTGATATAAAAAAGTGGTCATAATTATCATTAAAATTATGCTTTCTAAAAATTTTCAGAACACCGAACGTGTTTTTCTTTTCAGCATTTTCTTCTATCTAACAAGTAGGGGCTAGCAGGCTTTGTTTTGAGGCTGTACTGTCTTACAGCAGCAGGAGCTCCTTAATGGCTCTAGCTTCCACCTTCATCACCACATCCCACTGCTGCCTCCTTAGGCACAACAGTTGTTCATAACTTTATTGGTTGAAATTCCCTTTTTTGCTCTCATACAGAATACACATAACAAGATAGACGTAGGAAAAATGTATGATCTGTTTCATTAAAATGATCACACAATTGTTTCTGGTTAAACAGAATAGTATCAGCCCAATATTAAAATCGTAGAGACTACCTGTAACCTGCCAATATTTATACAGGGGTCATGTCTACAGCCGGTACCACCCTGTGATTCAGTCAGCAACCAGCCGAGTAAGCACAGGGTAGGACTTATGGAACGAGCCTCACCTCTGCCTCTCTGGCTCTCCATCCACATCCTCATCAGCACTGCACGTGGCACTGGAATCATTGTCCGACTGGGGCTCGGGCCTTTGGGCATTTATTTGCTGAGCTACCACCAAATCTTCCTCTCTAGGTTCCACCTTCTCACTGGCTCTATCCAAGTCTCTTTCTTTGGTATTATCACCTTCAACTTTAGATGCATGGTTTTCTGGCACCCTGATTTCAACATCCACAGAATCGGCTTTGGTAGCGGGTGGGGGATCAGGAACAGAACCCCCTTCGGCACTGTGCTCCTGCTGATTTACGTCCACCTGCTCTGCTGCCTCAGCACTGACGCTGTCATTCACCTGGGTCTCCACACTTTCGTCTTCAGCTGGTTTTGTACTTGGAACTGCTGAGGAGGGAGATGTACTGGGTGCAGTTTCCGTAGTGGGCTCAAGCTCAGCCGCAGGTTCTGTGTTTCCTCGAGAAGTAGCATTTTCAGGACTGTCCTCACTGGGCTTCACAGCTTCAACTGGTGAAGGAGAAGGAGCACTTTCTGTATCAGAACTATTTTCTGCACCTTAAAGATAATGATACAGCATAAAAATCTGATAATGAACATGTTTCAGGTGGTGATAGAAACCATGCTTGAAAGTAGTTGTTTAGGATGAATTCTACTCCTTTGATGACCTCGATGGAGTATTTACAGCCATTGAGAGGGCTAAAGTTTCCTACAGAATATACAAGTGAAAGATCAAATTGTCTTGACCTTCTGAAACTAAAAGCATAAAGGCTTTTAATGTCTGAAAATAATTTATAAGAAATTGAAAAACAAAGAAAGATAAACCTAAACAAAAAAATTCCTATAAATGACTGACATTCTGGTGTATTTCTAGAAGCCTCTTCCTGTGAATTTCCTTTTACCCAGCTGAACTGACACTCTAGAACAGCTCTATCCAATAGGCATATAATGTAATCATATCTGTAATTTTAATTTTCCTGATGACCACATTTAAAAAGTATGAAATGGGTCAAATTAATTTAAACTATGTATATATGTATGTATGTTTTTGTTTTTGTTTTTTAATTTTATTTTTTGGAGATGGGCTTTTGCTCTGGTCACCCAGGCTAGAGTACAATGGTGCAATCTAGCTCACTGCAACCTCCGCCTCCCAGGCTCAAGCAATTCTCTTCCCTCAGCCTCCTGAGTAGCTGGGATTACAGGTGTGTGCCACCATGCCCAGCTAATTTTGTAGAATTTATTTAATTAATCCAATATGTGCAAAACATCATTTTAACATGTAATCAATATAAAAAAAATTCATAAGATTATTTTTCCCTTTTTTGGTACTAAGTCTTCAAAATCTGGTATGTATTTTACATATTCTGCATGTCTAATTTTTTTTTTTGGAGACAGAGTCTCGCTCTGTCACCAGGCTGGATTGCAATGGTGCTATACTTGGCTCACTGCAGCTTCTGTGTCCCTGGGTTCAAGTGATTCTTGTGCCTCAGCCTCCTGAGTAGCTGGGGTTATAGGCACCTGGCACCATGCCCGGCTAATTTTTGTATTTTTTTAGTAGAGATAGCATTTCACCATGTTGCCTAGGCTGTTCTTAAACTCCTGACCTCCAGTAATCTGCCTACCTCAGCCTCCCAAAGTGCTGATATTACAGGCATGAGCCACTGTACCCGGCCCACATATCTAAACTTAAACTAGTCAAATTTCAAGTGCTCAATGGCCACAGGTGTCTAGCAGCTACCACACTGGACAGATGCTCTAGAATAGTATTTCACAGATTTTTAATTTAATGTTGAAACACAGATCTTTCCCCATATCATTTGTATTATTCTATAAATAGACTTCCAGTGCTTTTGACATCTTCATCTAGATATATCAAAGGCATCACAAATTCAGTATGTCCTGCACTAGAGCTCTAATAACCACTCCCAAACCAGATTCTTTTCTAGTGCTTACTATCCAATTAAACAAACCAGAGACCAAAAAGTCATCTGTTAAACCCTGCTCTCATTTACCCCATACCCTGCCTTGACAAGGCTCGCTGATTTTCTCTCTAAAAATTTCTCTTGAATTAATCCAATCCCATTCAACGTCACTGCTAGCACTCTAGTCCAAAACCAACTCTGTTCATTCAACTTCAGAACACTCTCTACAACAAAGCCAGAGTTACCTTAAAGGCAAATTTTACCATAATAACTCACTCTCCCACTCTGTCTCGCGTGAATTTTCAATGGACCCCCATTACTGTTAAGATAAAGTTCCAAAATTGCTGGTATGGCCTGCAAGGCCTTGTCCAGTGGCCCCCCACCAGCCTCTCTGGCTTGCACACAGATCTCTGAATTCAAGTCACATTGGTCCTTTAGTTTTTTCAATGCCTCATGTATCTTCTACAACAGAGACTTTGTACACGCCATTCACCCTTACTGAAAGGTTCTTTCACCTACTTTTCCTTAGGTGATCAGCTCAAACATCACATGCTTAAAAAGCCTCTATGGGCTGGGTGAGTGGCTGAAGTCTGCAATCCAAGGACTTTGGGAGGCTGAGGTGGTTGGATCACCTGAGGTGGGGAGTTCGAGAACAGCCTGACCAACATAGTGAAAGCCTGTCTCAACTAAAAATACAAAATTAGCCAGGTGTGGCATGCCTGTGTTCCCAGCTGAGGCAGGGAGGCTGAGGCAGGAGAATCACTTGAATCTGGGAGGTGGAGATTGCAGTGAGCCAAGATCATGCCATTGCACTCTGGCCTGGGCAATGAGAGTGAAACTCCAACTCAAAAAAAAGAAAAGAAAAGAAAAGAAAGCCTTCCATGGTTTCCTTAACAAAGTTGTAGTTTTGCTAACACAGTTCTGATACCACATGTACTAGTTACAATTACATTTATTTACTAGAATGATTTATTTATTAGAATGATTTCTGGTCATTTCTTCCACTAGGCTATAAACTCCATAAGAACAGAGATCATATATTTTGATTATCACTTAAGTAATAGCCTGGCACACAGTAACTCAAATATTGGCTGGATTATAAAGTGCATGAATGATTGTGAGAACCTAAATAACCATTTGGGGAAAAAAATTATGTTTTGATTGTATATTACAGCAATATAAAAAAAAAAGCCTCTACAAATTCATTATTGTATTCATTCAAATATGATGAAGTGTCAATTATGTATGTGCAGGGAGCTGTTTGAGGTACTGGGGACAGAGCAATTTAAAAAAATCTAAGCAGATGCTCTCATGGAGCCAACCTTCTAGCGTGAAATAGACAATAAACAGTAAATATGTGATATAGGCTGGGAGTGGTGACTCACGCCTATAATCCCAGCACTTCGGGAAGGTAAGGCAGGAGGAATGCCTGAGGACAAGTGTTCAAGACCAGCCTGGGCCACATAGTAAGACCTCATCTCTACAAAAACATTTAAAAATTAGCTAGGCATGGTGGCATACACCTGTAATCCCAGTTATCGGGAGGCTGAGGCAAGAGGAATCACTTGAGCCCAAGAGGTCAAGGCTTGCAGTGAGCTGTGTTTACGCCACTGATACTTCAGCACTGGGTGACAAAGTGAGACCTCTGTCTCAAAACAAACAACAAAGTGATATATCAGGTGGTGATCAGTGCAGTGACTAAAAAACAAAACTGAGAAAGAAGTAGGTGAGAGGGTATTATAGAATTAAGTGGTATTTGAACAGAGGACTCAAGGAAATGAGAGAATGAGCTGTGGGCACATGGTGGGGAAGAGCATTCCAGGTAGAGGGATTAGAAAGCACAAAGACTCCTAAAGTAGGGGTTGGTTTGCCCAGGAACAGCAAAGAGAACAGTATGGTTGGAGCAGAGAAGGCAAACAAAACAGAGTGGCAGAAAGTTCACAGAGGTACAAAGATCAGTTCATGCACAGCCTCATAAATCACAGTAAGGCCTTGGGTCTTTATTCTTACTGAGATGGGAAAGTATTACAGAATTTGGACTAGAGAAGAAACAAGGTTTGATTTACATTTTAAGAACTACTTGAGCTGCTATGGAAGAAAAAACAGAATGGACCTTGTATCTACAAAAAGTAAAACAGTACATTAGTCAGGTGTGGTAGTGCATGCCTATGGTCCCAGCTACTTGAGAGGACTTAGGTGGGAAAATCACTTAAGCCTAGGAGTTCGAGGCTGCAGTGAGCCATAATCGAGCCACTGCACTCCAGCCTAGGTGACAGACTGAGACCTCATCTGTAAAAGTAAATAAACAGAATGGAATAAAAGCAGCAAGAGACTAATAAAAAAAACTATTGCAAGGAGGGCTCCTCAGAAGCAGGATAGGAGCTATCGAGACAAGAATCCAATTCTAAAGAGACTAAAGAAAAGCAAATTTATTGATATAGGGAAAGACTAGAGGGAAATGCAGCTTGTGGTGGTAGAGACACAAGAGTTTGCTTTGGATGTTAACTATGAGATGGCTCTCAGGAATCCAAATGGAAATAATGAGCATGTGATTAGCTATATGAGCCTGGAATCCAGATGACAGTTCAAGTCTCCAAAATAAAACAAAAGACAAGCAAGTAACTCAGAACAGTACCTCACATGTAACAAGGTTTTAATATATGGCAGCCATTACTGTTATTGAAAGATCCTCCCAACGCAATGAAAAGCTAACAAGAAGCCTGACTTAACCTTCTTTTCTATTTAGATAGTGGTAGAAAGCCCCAAATCCAAGGGCAAACTAATAAGGCATTTATCTTCAAAATTTTAGAAGACATGTTGGTGATCATACAGCAGATGATATCATTTGACGTAAGCACTTTTCCAATTTTCTTCTTCCAAGCCACAAAAGAGTAGGAAGGTTTCCAAAGTACAATGTTTCACTAAGCAACAGCCAAACACGAGTATCTTTTTTTTCTAAAGATACAGGGGAAAAAAAAACCCTTAAAGAATGATGTAGAAAAAGAGAAGAGCAAATCCAAATTGTGGTGAAGTTCTGGTCTGATTTAATTCTTCTAATCATGAAAGATACACAGTCAGATGTGTTTTAGGAAACAGACACAGGAACCCTCCCTTCAGCAGCTACCTTCAATCTTCAATTGGCAAGAGTCTTGCCACACAATAAACAGTGCATCTGTAGTGTCTTATTAAGATTAGGAATAAGTATGAGATCACAGGTCACATAAACGGCATTTATGTTCTTGTCTTGACACTTTCCAAATGAAGCTAAGTCAAAAGGAGGAGAGATCCTAAAATTCTACCGGGAAATTCATTTCCTCTTAAGAGGAAACTCTTCTAGATGATTGAGCAGATGTGATGGTGCCACCCTACCCTTGATCAGATCGACATATCAATAATGGACTTGGGCTTTGTTATGGACTGAATTGTGCCCCTCCCCACCAAAACTCTCAGGTTGAAGCCCTAACCCACAATGTACTGTATTTGGAGACAAGGCCTTGAAGGAGGTGATATGGTTAAGTGAGGTCGTAACAGTGGGCTCTAATCCAGTAGGAGTTGTCTTCATATGAGGAAGATACACCAGGAGTGGGCACACACAAAGGAAAGGCCATGTAAGGACAAAGGAAGGAGGCGGCCGGCCTTCTGCAAGCCAGGAAGACAGCCCTCATCAGAAAGCAACTGTGCCAGCACCCGGATCTTGGACGTACAGCCTTCACAACTGTGAGAAAATTACTTTCAGTTGCTGAAGCCACCCAGTCTGTGGTATTTTGTTATGGCAGCCTGAGGAGGTTTATTAACCTCCAAGTTTCATTAACATTTATAACCCCAGGGAATATTAGCCACCCGAAACAAACCCATTAAAACCAAGAACTCTGACCACCTCTCTGGAAGTGCCATAAACACAGCAAACTACCTTCACTGTTTGCAGCACTCTGACCTTACCACCCTAGGGTGAGCCTGCTCTAATACTCTTACTAAAGACCACCTCATTTTTCACAAACCCTCCCAAAAAAAGCTTAGGATTAGGGGTTGTTCAAAGCCAAAACCCATTTCAACGTAAGTTTAAGTTTAAAGACAACAGGAATAATCTATAGCAAAAATACCCAAAATCTAGTATTAATAAACCTGGAGAATGTAGAACGTTTAAAGCTTATATAAAATAAAGACCCTAGAAAGGAAAAGATAAACAACTCTAATTACACAAAGTTTAAGCAAAGGTAATTTAAAAGTAAAACAAAAGGGAAATGAGAAGGAAAAAATTATCTGCATATACAAAACAGGAACATGTTTAATATATATGAACAGCTACTAAAAGCACTATAAAAATCCCCACATTAGAAGCGGTCAATTTACAAAAAAATCCACAGAAACTTTAATCACAGTGTAAACCGAAATAAATTAGATATCTTTTTTTAACCAAAATAATCAAGGAAATATTTATTTTTTCATGAACTTGTCATTAATTTGTTTAAACGACAAGAGACATTATTTCTTAAATTTCCTTAGGTTTCGTGGGTTGATTTTTTTTTTCTACTGTTGCTTCTAGGGTCATTAATTATTTTTACATAAAAACATTAATATAGTACATATAAATCTGTAAAAATATGAAAATAAACTCAAGGCAATAAAGAGAAACATAACTGATGATACTAAATGAACAAATAAATGCGACAATAACATAGACACACAGATATTTTATTGATGTTGGCACTTGATGTCTGAAGCAGGACTCCCATTTCCAAGATCTTCTGGACCAGCTTAGGTGCTACATAAATATTTGTGATTAAATGAATAAAAACATTATGTTCAAGTTTGAAGTCTCCTCACCATGAAAACACTGGTACATTGTTTCCTCAACGAAGCAATTCCTACAGAGTCAAATGACTAAAAATTATTTATTCAGGATAGCAGATGTCACAACTAAATTTAAAATTTTGAGATACCTTCGCTGTCTTCTGGATTTTCTTCTTCGTTGGAGGCTTCAATATCTTCATCCTCTTGAGCAGAAACAGTGGAAGCAACACTTTCACACTGAGACACATCTCGCTCTTCACGAGGTTTTCGTGAAGCCTAAAGGAGTAAAGAGTATTATTTGATTTAAATAACTAAAAAGGAAAAAAAATAATTCATTTCTGAAGTAATGTAGAACACTGATAAACACACACATACCAGACAAGGAGGTCACACATTTCAAAACAGTTCTGGTTAAAGTGCAGACAAATAACTCTGCGTAATCACTAACTGACCCCATTTTGTGTATATGGCTCACCTTTAAACAGATCAAAAGTTACATCTAACCCATTTTTGGAACTACTCACCACTTTACATGTACAAATAGCCAAAAATCACATCTCTCTATGCTTTTCACTCACTCTAGATAATGTATCTTTCTAATAAAAATAACATAAATATTTATTTTCTAAAGATAACATATATCACCTTTAAATGTAGAAGACATAACACTACAAAAATCACTACTCATTATTCCAATAGTAAGAGATTCTAAGTATACTGGTACATTTCCTTTCAATCTTTCAGATGCATATACATGAATATAAATATTTATGTGTATACATAAACACAACCAGGAAAGCCCTACATAGTTACATATTCTATTTTCTTAACATAATGTAGCCATGAGCAGAACATATCACTGTTAAAATTCTTCAAAATTATTTTTATTAATGATCCCAGAAAAACATTATGTTGACAGAACATGGACATACATTTTATGTTGACATATAATTAAAATTCTCCTATTTTAAGGCATTTCAGTAGTTTTCAATTTATGGTATAAATAATGCTGCAAGAAACTTCCTTCACTAGCATTAAGAATTATGCAATTTTATAGGCAACAATTCATCACTGGTATTACTACCAAATTTCGTCTTACCACTCAATTTCTTTTTTTTTTTTTTTTGAGACAGAGTGGTGCTCTGTCACCCAGGCTGGAGTACAGTGGTGCAATCTTGGGTCACTGCAACCTCCGCCTCCTCGGTTCAAGCAATTCTCCTGCCTCAGCCTCCCAAGTAGCTGGGACTACAGGCACACGCCACCACGCCTGGCAAATGTTTTGTATTTTAGTAGAGATGGGGTTTCGCTGTGTTGCCCAGGCTGGTCACAAACTCCTGAGCTCACGCAATCTGCCAGCCTCAGCCTCCCAAAGTGCTGGGATTACAGGCGTGAGTCACCATGCCTGGCCCAATTTATTTTACTGTAAAAAAGGATAAATTCAGCAAAGCACAGTGGCTCATGCCTGTAATCCCAGCACTGTGGGAGGATTGCTTGAACCCAAGAGTTTGAGAGAAGCCTGGGCAAGAAAGTCAGACCCTTCCTATAAACAATATTTAAAAATTAGCTGTGTGTGCTGGTACTCTCCTGAAGTCCCAGCTACGCAAGAGACTGAGGCAGGAAGATCACTTGAACCCAACGGGCTGAAGCTGCAGTGAGCCATGATCATGCCACTGAACTCCAGGCGGGGTGACACAGTGAGAACCTGTCTCAAAAAAAAAAAAAAAAATTTTTTTTTATAGCTCCTTTTTTTAAAAAATAGTACGCTCCCTTCTGCAACTATGTTTATGCAAAATTGCTCATTCTTCTACTGGGGTCTCAGATCCATAAGAGGACTTGTGTATACATTTAAATGTAAGACATTAGCTATTTACATTATACTTATAACTTCATGTTACTAAATAGAAGCCCTTATTATCTTCTCTGTTTGCAGACCCAGGGTTCTGGAAGTTCCAGCCCTGGTGGTCCTCTGTTCTGTGCCCCTTACAGAGCCTACATTTCACCTCATATCAGCTGTTAGCCTCTCCCAGTGAGACTCTTCAGGAGAGGAAAATACATCATTGCTCTGTTAAAAATTACCTATATGTCTACTCAACATTTTTATGAGGATGGTATTTAGGATCCAGCCTAAAATATTAATTAACTCAAGATAAACAATCATTTTCTAATATCATACTTACAGAATTAGTTGAAATTCTGAAGGCTAAAATATTTATTCCTATGTTTCCAGTAGGAATGCAAGAGAATTCCAGAGACACACAGGCTACACTTTTTTTAAAAAACTTTCAGAAGATTCCATGAATTTCCATGGATTAGATAATAGCTACTCTTGTTTGGTTTTGAATATAAGGTCTCACTTTGTTGCCCAGACTAGTATGGAACCTCTGGCCTCAATCAATCCTCCCACCTTGGCCTCCCAAAGTGCTGAGATTACAGGCGTGACTGACCATGCCCAGCTGATGTTATTATATATATGGATTATTCCAGTGCCCAGTGTATGTCCCTCTCTTGCCAGTATCAACCCATTCTGTCTGGTCCTTTCACTGGTAACTAGAGAAGAGACAACTTTTTACACTACTACAACAACCCTCTGTTCACATGCAATAATCCAGTATGTCGCCAAGCATCTTCTTTAATATATTATAGTCAAATATAGAGAAACAGGCCAGGTGCAGGTGGCTCATGGCCAGGCCTAGTGGCTCACTCCTATAATCCCAGCACTTTGGGAGGCCAAGGTGGGCAGATCACTTGAGGCCAGGAATTTGAGACCAGTCTGGCCAACATGGTAAAACCTTGTATCTACTAAAAATACAAAAATTAGTTGGGCATGGTGGTGCACACCTATAATCCCAGCTACTGGGAAGGCTGAGGCAGGAGTATCGTTTGAACCCAGGAAGTAGAGGCTGCAGTGAGTCAAGATCACGCCACTGCACTTCGACCTGGGAGACAGAGTGAGACTCCGTCTCAAAAAAGAAGAAGAAGAAAGAAGAAAGAAGAAAGAAAACACCCATGTATTTACCACTGAGATGTGATAGATATTAGACATTTTACATGTTTTCTTGAGATCTATTTTTAAAAGATAAAACATTCTGGATAAACACTTGAAGCCTGCTCCCCCTATTATTTTAATTGTGATCAAAATAATTAGAGGAAAGATGTTTGTGATGGTTAATTTTATGTGTTAACTTGGCTGGGCCACAGTACCCAGATATTGGTCGAATCTTACTGTGGAAGTTTCTCTGCAATTTTTTTTAGATGGTGTAAACATTTAAATCAGTGGACTCTGAGAAAAACAGATTACCCCTCACAATGTGGGTGGGCCTCTTCCAATCAATTAAAGGGCTTAATGGAACAAAGACTGGATTCCTGGAGTAAGAAGGTATTCTGCCAGGAAAACTGCCTTTGGAGTCCAACTGTGACTCTTCCCAGAGTCTCCAGTCAATCAGCCTATCCTATCAGACACTGGACTCACCAACCCTCCACAATCATGTGAGCCAATTCCTTAAATCTCAATCTCTCTCTCTCTCTCTTTCTCTCTCTCTCTCTATATATATACACACACACACACACACACATATATACATATTCATATACATATATATATGTATATATGCATGCACACACCCTGTTAAGTTTTGTTTCTCAGGAGGACCATGACTAATATAACATTTATATTTTAAAAACATATCTGATTCATTCTTTACTTCACTTTGTCTCAAAACATTTTGGATGTTATCTCGTGAAGTCAGGTCTTTATCTTGTCAGTAGACTTTTTCGTGTTTTGGTTGCTACAGCATATTTTTAACTCTTTCTTATTAACCTGAAAGTCCCTTTGTATATACCCTTTTAAATTAGTCAATGTTATGCTTTGTATCCTCTTAATAAATTCAAATCTTAGTAGCTTTACTATCACACTTTAATAATTCTCAATTTTTTTGGTCTAAGGATGCAACACTCTGAAAAAGTATTAAAAGCCACAAAGAGCTTTCCTTTTTCTTTTTTTTTCTTTTTGAGACGGAGTCTTGCTCTGTCTACAGGCTGGAGTGCAATGGCGTGATCTCAACTCACTGCAACCTCCATCTCTCGGGTTCAAGTGATTCTCATGATTCTACTGCCTCAGCCTCCTGAGTAACTGGGATTACAGGCGCACACCACCACGCCCAGATAATTTTAGTATTTTTAGTAGAGACAGGGTTTCACCATGTTGGTCAGGATGATCTCAATCTCTTGACCTAGTGATCTGCCCGCCTCAGCCTCCCAACGTGCTGTTATTACAGACATGAGCCACTGTGTCCAGCCAAAGAAAGAGTTTTTCTTTATGAGAGAAATATAGACAGCCGGCCAGATATATATTTACTATATCAGAAATTAAGACTAAGAAAACTTTAAAATTTTAACTGATTAAAAGCAATATAAACCCATAAAGAACTTATTTTTAATAAAAGTAACCATTTTCCAAAACAAAAAATGACTTACTAAAAAAGTGGCAAAGCTTTCCTTTCTGGAAATCTCTTCCATGTCTGATCTAACAGAAACAGCAGAATTCCCAAAGGTGCGTCCACATATGATCTAATCTGTAGATTAGATTAAGTCATCTAATGTTTTGGTTCAAGTATATAAAAACTATGTAGCCCCACACAGATATGTAGTGGGAAAAGGGAAGAGAAGAGATTTTAACAGATTTTTTAGATACTTAGATATTATTTTTTGATACTGTACCAAAACTCAGCAAGTGTCACTTCTTATTGGTTAGTTACAATATGAAATCTGATAACATATCAAGGAAGCCTTTATACTCTGTTAAAATCTGTAATCAATCTTACATTTTGGTATATTAAAAAAACATTATCAATCTTTTATCAATGCATGATCCATTATGTATTAGTCCATTTTCATGCTGCTGATAAAGACATACTCGAGACTGGGAAGAAAAAGAGATTTAATGGACTTACAGTTCCACATGGCTAGGGAGGCCTCACAATCATGGCAAAAGGCAAGGAGGAACAAATAACGTCTTACATGATTGCGGTAGGTTTAAAAAAAAAAAAAAGAGCTTGTGCAGGGTAAATCCTCTTTATAAAACCAGGTCTTGTAAGACTTATCCACGATCACAAAAACTGCACGAGGAAGACCTGCCCGATGATTCAATTATCTCCCACTGGGTCCCTCCCACAACACATGGAAATTATGGGAGCCACAATTCAAGATGTGATTTTGGTGGGGACACAGCCAAACCATATCATTTGGCCCCTCCCAAATCTCATGTCCTTACATTTCAAAACAAATCATGCCTTCTCAACAGTCCCCCAAAGTCTTATTTCAGCATTAACCCAAAAGTCCACAGCCCAAAATCTCACTGAGACAAGGGAACTCCCTTCTGTCTATGAGCCTATAAAAGTAGAAGGAGAGTAGTTAACTTCCTAGATACAATGGGGACACAGACATTGGGTAAATATAGCTATTCCAAAAAAGAAGAAATTGGCCAAAACAAAGGGGCTACAGGGCCCATGCAAGTCTGGAATCCAGCAGGGCAATCAAATCTTAAAGCTCCACAATGATCTCCTTTGACTCCATGTCTCACATCCAGGTCATACTTATATAAGAGGTGGGTTCCCATGGTCCCGGGCCACTCTGACCCTGTGGCTTTGCAGGGTACAGCCTCCCTCCTGCCTGCTTTCAAAGGCTGGGGTTGAGTGTCTGTGGCTTTTCCAGGTGCACGGTATGAGCTATAGGTGGATCTACCATTCTGGGGTCTGGAGGATGGTGGCCCTCTTCTCACAGCTCCATTAGGTGATGCCCTACTAGGGACTCTGTGTGGGGGCACCAATCCCACATTTCCCTTCTGCACTGTCCTAGCAGAGTTTCTCCATGAGAGCCCCACCCCTGCAGCAAACTCTGCCTGGATATCCAGGCATTTTCATACATCCTCTGAAATCTAGGCAGAGGTTCCCAAATCTCAATTCTTGACTTCTGTGTACCTACAGGCTCAACACTACATGGAAGTTGCCAAGGCTTGGGGCTTGCACCCTCTGAAGTCATGACCTATGCTATACTTTGGCCCCTTTCAGCTAGAGTGACTGGGATGCAGGGCGCCAAGTCCTGAGGCTGCAAATAGCAGGGGGATCCTGAGCCCAGGGCATGAAACCATTTTTTCCTCCTCAGCCTCCAGGCCTGTGATGGGAGGGGCTGCCATAAAGACCTCTGACACGCCCTATAGAAATTTTCCCCATTGTCTTGGGAATTAACATTCAGCTTCTCATTATGGACACAAATTTCTGCAGCGGGCTTGCATTCCTCCTCAGCAAATGGGATTTTCTTTTCTATCACATTGTCAGGCTGCAAATTTTCCAAACTTTTATGCTCTGCTTCCTTTATAAAATTGAATGCCTTTAACAGCACCCAAGTCACTTCTAGAATGCTTTGCTGCTTAGAAATGTCTTCTGCCAGATACCCTAAATCACCTCTCTCAAGTTCAAAGTTATGCAAACCTCTAGGGCAGGGGCAAAATGCCGCCAGTCTCTTTGCTAAAACATAACAAGAGTCACCTTTGCTCCAGTTCCCAACAAGTTCCTCATTTCCATCTGAGACCACTGCAGCCTCGACCTTATTGTTCTTATCACTACTAGTATTTTTGTCAAAGCCATTCGACAAGTCTCTAGGAAGTTCCAAACATTTCCACATTTTCCTGTCTTCTTCTGAGCCCTCCAAACTGTTCCAACCTCTGCCTGTTACCCAGTTTCAAAGTTGCTTCCACATTTTCAGGTATCTTTTCAGCAACACTGACACTACTGGTACCAATTTATTGTATCAGTCTATTTTCACACTGCTGATAAAAACATACCTGACATTGGGAAGAAAAAAAGGCTTAAAAGATTTACAGTACCACATGGCTGGGGAGGCCTCACAATCATAGCAGAAAGAAAGGAGGAACAAGTAACATCTTACATAGATGGCAGCAGGCAAAAAAACAGAGCTCGTGCAGGGAAACTCTTCTTTATAAACCATCACATCTCAAGAGACTTATTCACTATTATGAGAACAGCACGAGAAAAAGACCTGCCCCCATGATTCAGTTATCTCCCACTGGATCCCTTCCACGATGCGTGGTAATTGTGGGAGCTACAATTCAAGATGAGATTTGGGTGGGGACACAGCCAAACCATATCACATTACAACATCATGAAATAGCCATTTGGAAAGTATTGAGTTAAGTAAGTTTTTCAAATTGAGAAAAAATTTCATCACACAGTAACAACTATCACACTTACTATTATTACCATTCATCCCATCAGAAAATCTGTAATGAAGTGTGAAGCTCATGGTTAGAGAAAGATATTTTTCAAAATTCTCATTTTTTTGCTTCAAAGCTCAAATATTTTAAAGTGGCAACAAACACTAACAGTTATTTTCTTTGAAAGACAGGCTCATTCTTTAGTTTTCAAGAAAATATCTGCTAAATATTCCAGTCTGAAAACATAGTTTGTCTGTCATTCTTTCAATCTAAAATGACATTTCATAATAAAAGGAAGGCTAGTGCAGCTTAGAACTCAAACAATTGCCAAAGTGTTTTTCCTTGAGAGAACCATTCTATTTTAGTATGGAGCAGAAGAACTTTATGTTTACTTCCCATTACATGACACTAAGTATAAAAAGACGTACTTAGGGATGAGATTTAATAAAACTAACTTTTATTGAATCATCAAGGACATTCTTAAGTGACATTTTAAGAAAAAACTGCAAGTGCTCAGAGATTAAAAATACACTGGCTTGGTTCCATGCCAAGTTTAAGCTAAAGCATCAGCAATCTTATCTACCACAGATCTGACACCATAAATGCAAATGTCATATAATGAAAAAAAGTAAATCCCATTTGATTGAAATTTTCAAGAAAACAGTCTTGACCCCACGGAATCATCAAAAAGTTCTATGGTCTTTGACAACCACTACACTGGAACTTTCTTCTTAAGCAATTTCCAATATGTTATGCTTCTTGGTTTTTAATATTTATACCATGGAATCTTCTCTCTGAAAAAATGTCTAATATACAAAATCAATTCACTAGATATTATCAACAGACCCCCAACTAAAGCTCTCTCTCTCTTTTTTTTTTTTTTTTTTTTTTGAGATGCAGTCTCACTCCGTCACCCAGGCTGGAGTACAGTGGCACAATCTTGGCTCACTGCAACCTCTGCCTCCTGTATTCAAGCGATTCTCCTGCCTCAGCCTCCTGAGTAGCTGGGATTATAGGCACGCACCACCATGCCCAGTTAATTTTTGTCTTTTTAGTAGAGACAGGGTTTCACCATGTTGGTGAGGCTGATCTTGAACTCCTGATCTTGAGATCTGCCTGCCTCAGCCTCAGAAAGGCTTTTTTTTTTTTTTTTTTTTTTTTTTGAGACGGAGTCTCCTTCTGTCATCCAGGCTGGAGTGCAACGGCGAGATCGCCGCTTCCTGCAACCTCTGCCTCCCCAGTTCAAGCGATTCTCCTCCCTCAGCCTCCTGAGTAGCTGGGACTACAGGCACATGCCAGCTAATTTTGTATTTTTAGCATATGTATATTACCCAGCTAATTTTGTATTTTTAGTATATGTGCTGCTGAAGACAGCACTGATTTTTCTATTTTCAGTAGAGACAGAGTTTCACCATATTGGCCAGGATGGTCTAGATCTGTTGACCTTGTGGTCCTCCCGCCTTGGCCTCCCAAAGTCCTGGGATTACAGGTGTGAGACACTACGCCCAGCCTAGTTTTCAATTCAACCTCTAAAATGTTTATAGTTTTCAAATCCAGCCTACAGTAGTTCAGAGTATTTAATTCCCTTTATTATAAATAGAAACTTTGGAGTAGGAAAGATAAGATGGGGCAGGTCATGATGGGCCTCTTTGGACTGTTAGGAATACCAAGAGAAACTTTACTCCTTGAGCAATAAATAGAAACAGCTTAAACCAAAAATCTAGCACATCTTTTACATGTAAGTGCAGTAAATAAAAATATAAGATACAAAAAGGTTTCTCTTAAAACCAACCCTTGAAGCTCTGGAAAAAAACAAGACCAGGTGCAATGACTCACGACTGTAATACCAGCACTTTGGGAAGCCAAGGCGGGTAGATCACCTGAGGTCAAGAGTTCGAGACCAGCCTGACCAACCTGTTGAAACCTCGTCTCTACTAAAAATACAAAAATTAGCTGGGCATGGTGGCAGACACCTGTAGTCCCAGCTACTCGGGAGGCTGAGGGAGGAAATCTCTTGAACCTGGGAAGTGGAGTTTGCAGTGAGCTGAGACTGCATCACTGCACTCCTGCCTGGGTGACAAAGTGAAACTCCATCTCAAACAACAACAACACTCTAAGTAAAAACCAATAATTTAAGTAAAAGATTCACCACCCCTGATATACTCACTTTCTGTTTATGCTGCTGTAAGAGGTTGTCAAGATTGTGCCGCCTTTTATAGTTAAAATAGAAGTTTTTACATTGAGCTTCACTTTTCGTTCCCACCATTTTAGCAATTGCTGCCCAGTTACGACCATGTTCTACTAGACCTGCATTTTAAAAACAAACCAAATGTTAATTGAACAGTCACCCGATAAAGCAAACAAGAGAAATAATAAATTAACTTAATCATTTTATTCACAACCGTAACACTTAAAAGTGTGCTTTCAATTGCATATTATATATACTTTGATATTTATAAAAATACTTATTGACACAAAACTCATTTACAGTTCTATATTTTCCCCTCAAATTTAAAACATATGCCCTCCCATGTGCCCCGCCCACCCCACCCCACCCCCCAAACAAATTTAAAACATGATTCATTAATAGAAGGGCTAAATCTTGTCTTTCTTACATTATCTCCCACAGGGCTAGGACAATGTTAGACACATTTGTATTAGCTCAAATACTTGCAAACTAAATGATTAGGTACATCTAGATCTCTGAAGACAATACATCAAGTAAATAAGGTAATCACATATAAATGAACACAAATTAAAGATATATATGACTCCACTTATAATCCATATTTCTCCTCAGTCAATTCACAATCAAGCAATCTCATCAGAAAAACAATAACCAATTAAAAAAATAAATCTGGCTGGGTGTGGTGGCTCATGCCTGTAATCCCAGCATTTTGGGAAGCCGAGGTGGGTGGATCACAAGATCAAGAGATCAAGACCATCCTGGCCAATATGGTCAAACCCTGTCTCTACTAAAAATACAAAAATTAGTTTGGCCTGGTGCTGTATGCCTTTAGTCCTGGGTACACCCAAGCTGGTGTACCCAATCAGGTATACAAGTAGACCCAATCAGGAATTTCCAGTATAAATTTAATGACTTATAAGAAAACATCAGTTTTTCAAGGTTCACACAAGTAGCGCCCTTAAATACTGAAAATTAGAAGATCATTTCCAAATCCTGCCTGATACATGAATAACAGAAGAAGAGTAGTGGCCAAATAGTTATATACAGGTACATCTACCTGAAAAAGATCCCTCTATGATCTATAAGAAAAATATTTAACCACCAAAAAATTAGCTAATCTTTCTCAAAATTACCAGTTACTTACCCTATTAGAAATTTTAGCTCAATTTCAAATTATACTGCATTAACAAGTAATAACAGAAAAACACAAGGTCCATAAAGTGTCAGAGTAAAAGGAAGGCCACAAAACTATGAAAGTGGCAGAGAAAGGATTCAAATCTTCATTGGCTTGGTTACAAACTTCACGCTCTTCCCTCTGAATCACAGAGCAATTTGATAGTGATTTATAATTAAACGACTTGACAAAAGTATTTACCATCCTATTCTACTAAATACAACTTTGACAAAAGTATTTACCATTCTATTCTATTAAATACAACTTTTAAGTAATAGAAATATAGACTTTATGTCAACATTCATTCCAAAACTATTTCAACAGCATATCATCATAATTATTCTAAGAAAGTGAAAATAACCTTCTTGCTCTTTAATTAAATGACATTCAAAATAAAACAGTAAAGATAATCTTAAATCCCTCAAAACTGGGCATCTTAAACAAGGCACACTGCGGGTATGTAATTGGGTAGTATACTAGCAAAATGAACTCTTAAAGTCACTTCTAAGCCTTATTTATCTTTCTGAAAGAAATTTTTTTCCAATTAAAAAAATTAGTTCCATCTTACTCATTATTAATAATCACCCCCCCCCAAAAAAAAAACCCTAAAAATCCGGAACAATTACAATTTACCTTTTTTTGCAACTTCCATTTCTTCTTCTGTCCATCGAGAGGTCTCCACAGGCTCTGTAGAAACTGAAATAAAGAGAGAAGCCAATCAGGCAGAGAAAAAGTTAAATCCTTCGTTCAGACCAATCAGATAATTATATGACCTCTTTATCTGATATAAAAGACTGAATAAAGCATTTGGTGAAAGAAACTACAGACACAGGATAGTATCAACCTCTCCATCACCAAACTATAAGAAACAAGTCAACACTTCTCAATATTATGATCTTTCTCAATGTTCTTAAAAGTTCTCTCCATGTTTACATTTTTTAACAACTTTAGCTTATTTTTGGACCCAGTAGCTTCCCACTTAATATATCTTCACTCCCACTTAGTAGACACTCCTCTCCTGCAGGGTCAAAGAAAGAAGCAACCCTCCTCTTTCCTGTCCAAACACAATTCCCTCTGAGCCTCCACCCTGTCCTAACTCCTAGAGACCCTTTAGTTCATCTCCAAGTGTCTGATATCCAGTGGGTAAAGATGGATCATGAACTGAATACATTCTCTTTTGTTTCAGGCAAAAAAACAAAACAACAAAAAAACAAAAAAACAAACCTGAGAGCATCAGGCCTGATAGGAGCTCCTGCCATATTCTCTTTCTCAATTTACAGTTCTACCATTCACTCACTCAAGTTATTAACAGGCGTCTTAGACTGATAAACTAATTTTTGAATCCTGCCTCCCATTTACCACTCATAACCAATGACATGCAGCAACTCTGAATGCATCCCCTCCTTGCTTGGGCCACTGCAGTCCCATGACTGGGCCCTCTGCCTCCAGCCCTTACTCTGTCTAACCTGACCTCCACAATTGCTACCAGTTAACTTTCTAAGACACAAATCTGATCACAGCATTCCTCTATTTAAAAATCTCTGCAAGTTCCCCACTTCTTAATCAAAGCAGAATACAGTTCAAACAAGGCCCATCAGGACCTGCCCCAGCCTCTTTCCTCCTCCTATCTCATTAGTGCCCCTACCTCATTCTTACCATTCCCTAAACTCCATTTTCTTTCATACTTCATGTTACAGTAACAATGGTACCTCTGAATCATTAACAGTGGTACTCTATCATTAATGTAGTCCTTTTATAAACTAATGAGATATTACTTAGAAAGATGTGTGGACTACTAGATCCAGTATTCCCTTGCTCAAGAATTTATTCCATGAAAAATAATTTAACATAAAGAAAATACTATGTGAATAAAGATTTTTTTATTATATTGCTATATACATTGGCTTAAAAGCAGGGAAGAGGACAGCCTAATCATTCAGCAATAAGAGAACGGTTAAAGAAATCATTCCTCCATATTACACAGCCATTAAAAAAATGAAAATTACTTAGAAATTAGAAAGTATTTATGATATATACCAAGTTAAAATATCAGAAGACACAGTAACATGCACACTAGCATAACAACTAAGTAAAAAAGAAAAACAGCTCTACCGGAGAGGCAAGACTGTGGGCGATGTTCTTTCTGAAAAGATTTTGATATTGAAAGTTTAAAAAATTTAAAGACCACACTTCAGGATTGTTACCACACTTCAGGATTGTTTCTAGGTTGTCAGTACTAAAAGTCCCTCCTACCCTATCCTAGCAGTGAAACAGAATCCCAAACAAAATTATGGTCTGTTTATGCCAATCTCTTCCACTCACTGGGTTCTGGTGGCGGTGGCAGAGGTGGTGGGGGCTCTTCAGTGGCCGCTGCGGCTGCAGCGCTAGCAGCTGCAGCTTCGTTTGTCATGGACCTGGTGATTCGGCCCTTACGGCGGCCCTGACTGTTGGCAGTCTTTCGCCCCCGGGGTGTGGCTTGCTCTCTTTCCTCAGTTTCTTCTGCTGTACCATCCATCTTGTCCTTTTCCTTGGTATTTTCTCTGGACACAAAAGCAAATGAAAACTGTGATTCAAAAGTATACATACATCAAAGAAGGTTTTGGTTTTGGATATCATTTAAACATAAATTGAATAATACTACCTAATCTCTCAGTTACTTAAAAAAAAAACTTAACAATTCTGCCATACCACAGTTTTTAAGAGTTCTGACCGGCTGAAATTAAGGTATTTTATAAGACCTATTTTAAATGTTAATGGACTTAAAATTTAAACACATTTCAAACCAACTGATTTAGAAACCAGAACTACTCCATGAGAAAGTAACAAAAGACAGCAGAAAACCTCTAGACCTGCTATCCAAAGGCAACAGACTGTACCAAAAGGCAGGAATTCTGGGGTTTTCTTTGCCTTTGCTCTAGGTTGCCTCATGTATGAAGTTAAAACAGATGATCTTCATGATAGATGGCTTTTCTACTGTAATAATCCACAACATTGTTTTATAAAACCAGACTCAATACTCTAAATCATGCCTGATACTAATTATGCACAAATTGGGCAGTAATGGTTAATGCTTAGGAATGGCCTCTGGAGCCAGGCTGCCTAGGTTTATACCACAGTTGTGATTTACTAGCCATGTGATGACCTTGGACAAGCTGCCTCACCTCCATGGGCCTCAGCTTCCTCATCTGTACAATGAAAAAAAGAGTTTATTTCACGGGACTGCTGCCAGAATTAAAGGAGTTAAATAAAGTGCCCAGAACAATGCCTGGAACACAGTCAGCATCAAATAAGTTTGCTAAAACTCTCTCAGAATATAAAGTGCTTACCATCATCTCAAGCATGTAGAAAAATAGTAGTTCCTATTAATAGCAGCAGTACTACATGTAATACTAGAAAGACCATTCTCTGTACCACTTACCTTCCACGGTTGTTATATTTAAGATAATGTATTCAATGTACATTTTTGCAAATGAATAGATAGATGGGAATACTCAAAGACTCAATTATTCTTGATTAATGGAAGATTTTTTTTCCCAAAAATAATTCTCTCCCCTTCAGTCCTAAATTGAAGTTACCACATAGCCCTTTCTCTTTACTTACTTATTCCCTCATAAAGCTGGCTTCTATTCTGCAGCCTCCAGTTAAAAGATGTTTTCTGAGAAGTCACCAATGACTTAGAAACTGCAAAATCAAATGACCTCTTCTCAATTTTCCCTACAACAGTCTTTTTGTTGCAACTGATGCTGCGGGTAATTCTTCTTTTTATATCACTTTCAACTTGCTTTTGAAATATCCCCGCTGTTATTCTGGCTCTCCCTCTGGGGATAGACCTTTTTTCTCCCATTCTTTCTTTCGGGTTTTTTTTTTTTTTTTTTTTTTTTTTTGAGAAAGTGTCTCACTCTGTCACCTAGCTGGAGAGCAGTGGCGCGAACATGGCTTACTGCAGCCTCAATCTCCTGGGCTCAGATGAGCCTCCCACCTCAGCTTTCTGAGTAGCTGGGACTACAGACATGTGCCACCATAACTGGCTAAATTTTTATTTTTTGTAGAGACGAGGTGTCACCATGTTGCCCAGGATGGTCATGAATTTCTGCGCTAAAGCAATTCTCCCAGCTTAGCTGCGATTACAGGAGTGAGCCACTGTGCTGGGCTCCTCTCATCCTTTCATAGAGGGATTTCTCCTGGAGCCTTAGAGCTACATGGGGTTACTCATTTTCATAAGTTCTACTGGGAAGACTCCCAATCTTTATCTTTGGACTCACCCCCTGGCTCCCAACTGGAGGGGTTGTCTTCCCAACTACTTGCTAGCAGGACCACCTGGATTTCCCATCAATAGAAACTGAATATACCCAAAATCATATTCATCCTCACCTCTGCTCCTTGCTCTACCTCGTTCTCTTATCATTTGTTGTTAACACTACTACCATGCTCATCATCATTCAGGTTTACAGATCAGATATCATCTTTAGCTCTCTCCCTTTTCCTATACTTCCTACATGTGATCTAATGCCAAGTTTTGGTTATTTCATCTCAGAAATGCCTCTCTCTCACTAATTCTACCATCTCTATTTCTGCTACCACTACACTTATTCAGTACCTTAGTACCCCAATCCTGGCCTTTCATACTGGCTTCTCTGATTTATACCTCTACTATTCATTCTACCTTGCCAATGGATCAGTATTCTAGCAGGATAGCTTTGGCAATAAACCACTCCATCAATTCTAATCCCTTTCTAGCTATTCCCAAACAGATACACAGCATAGCCACCTGAATGTAGTCTAACACTTTTGGCTTTCATTAAAGCTCTATATAACCTAACTCCAATCCACCTTCCACTTCCCTTCTCGGTGCACACTATGTTAAGTCTAATGAAATCTTTATCTGCCGCTTCTCAAAGCAGCACAGCTATTCATACGGTTCCCTCTACCCTACCCACAGTAACCACTAGCTTCTGCATAAAGTCCTCCAAATCATCCAGAGAGAAGTAGCTCAACTTCTTCATAAGCTGCCAAAGCACTTAACTGGTTGTCTGATGATTTCTTACTGCCAGTCTTTTTTTTTTTTTTTTTTTTTTTGAGACAGAGTCTCACTTACCTAGTTTTCCCCTACTAAATCATGAACCACCTGGGAAGAGTATATATCTTATGTATTTTCACATTCTCCATAAGCCTTAGCTCATATAGATAATAAATGAAAGCTTGTTAAATAATTTAGAAATTTTAACAAAAAAATAAAATCCAGATATGATAGAGTCCTATGTGAGAAGAACTGCTGGCTACATGGCATAATAAATGTCTAACCTAAACTAAAAGAAAAAAATATATTCTCTTATTGGTATCTTCATAAACTATAAAATTACAATGACAGGAGTATCTGTCTCTTTTAAAACCATGGCAAGTGACTAGCTACTTCAGCTACCACAAAACTAGGTAAACCTTAAGTATTTCCACAAGGACTATAGAAATAACATATTAAACATTAAAAAGGAATAAACTACTGATACATTCAACAACCTAAACGAATTTCAAAGGCATTCATGTTAAGTAAAAAAGCCACAAAGAAGATGACATACTGTATGACTTCATTTTTATGTAATTCTAGAGAAAGCAAAACAGATCGTGACTGCCTGAGGTTGGGAATGAGGAAAAAGAAACTGACTGCAAAGGAGCATACGGGAACTGTTTGGGGTGATGGAAACATTCTACATTACAAACTGTGATAACAGGTACACAAGTGCATATGCTCGTTGAACACATCAATGAACACATTTCAAACTGGCAAATTTTGTTCCATGTAAATTATAAAGCTAGTTCTTGGGGGGAGAAACAACCAAACCAACTGTTGTGTTGCTACCCCTACCTCACCCCTGTATATACACAAAAGCATCAACAATAACTGTTTCTGAGTGACAGAATCATAGGTTTTCTTTTCTTTTTTTCTTTTTGAGACCGAGACTCACTCTCTCGCCCAGGCTGGAGTGCAGTGGTGCGATCTTGGCTCACTGCAACCTCCATCTCCAGGGTTCAAGCAATTTTCCTTTCTCAGCCTCCTGAGTAGCTGGGATTACAGGCACGCGCCACCACACCCAGGTAATTTTTTGTATTTTAGCAGAGACGAGGTTTCACCATGTTGGTCAGGCTGGTCTCAAACTCCTGACCTCATGATCTGCCCACCTCAGCCTCCCAAAGTGCTGGGATTACAGGCGTGAGCAACTGCACCCAGCCATAGGTTAATTTTCATTTTATTTTTCTTTCTTTTCCTATTTTTCTATAATGTAACAGAATTACTTTTATAACCAGGAAAACAGCAACAACAACAACAACAACAAACAAACCAACGACTCCATTTTATATAAATAAAGTCAATAAAGATGGAATCTAAAATATAAAATGAAAACTCTTCTTAGCATTTTTACACTATCCAATACATACTACCTGAAGCTCAAAAAAAATTCTGATAATGATTAAATTACATTCAATATATCCTGGAGGAAATATATATATTACTATAACCCATCCCTTCTGAAAAGTAATAATAATTCATGACTTGTATATAAGTTCATTAAGTCAAAAGTTACTTAATACTGTAATATGCTATTCCTTAACACATCAACTTAATCATGTAACTATTAGATGTATCTAAAATTTCGGCCAGGCGCACTGGGTCACACCTGTAATTCCAGCACTTTGGAGGCAGAGGCAGGTGGATCACCTGAGGTCAGGAGTTCTAGATCAGGTCGGGCAACGTGGTAAAAGCCCATCTCTACTAAAAATACAAAATTGGCTGGGCATGGTGGCACATGCCTATATAATCCCAGCTACTTGGGGGGCCGAAGGTGGAGGTTGCAGTGAGCTGAGATCGCGCCACTGCACCCCAGCCTGGGTAAGAGTGAGACTCTGTCTCAAAAATAAATAAAATAAAATAAAATTTCAGATTAAATTTCATTATTTAAAAATAACTATACTTTTGGAGCAACATGGATAGAACTACAGAACTAAAGGCTATTATCTTAAGTGAAATACCTCAGAAACAGAAGGTCAATTATTACATTCTCACTTGTAAGTGGGAGCCAAATAATGTGGACACATGGATCTAAATAAAAAGTGAAATAATAGACACTGGAGATTCAAACAGGTGAGAGGGTGTGAGGCGGTGGGTGAGGGATGAGAAATTACCTGATAGGTATAGTGTACACTATTCGGGCAATAGTACAATAAAAGCCAGACTTCACTACTGTGTAATATATCCATGTGACAACTGTACTTGTACTCTCTAAATCTACAAAAATGACATTTAAACATTTAACTTATTATATAATTATTTAACTCACTTAGGGTCTTCTTTTTCATCTTTTTCTTCTTCATCTTTCTTTTCTTCTTCTTTTTTTTCTGTTTTTTCTGCTTTATCCTCTTCTTTTTCTTCTACTTTTTCTTCTTGTGAGGGTCGGGCAATTTGCTGCTAGAATGAACCATCATTTGTAAAATTCAAAGGCAACAGAAATAGCTCCTTATATTACGATAAATTATGTCTAACTAAACAACTTTTAAATGATTGTTAGTCATTTAAAATGTAACTGGTGATCATGTGTTAAAAACCAGTCTAGCAGTTAATGTATTCTATATGCACTACTTAAAGGTTCTTACACACACACACACACACACACACACAAATGCTCATAGCATTTGGACCCATGAGAAAGTGAAAATGTTAAGATTTCACTTAGAAATCTGTGGTTGGTTCCCTTTTTTGGCAACCTCCACATCTAATCTGTCACTCAGACATTCCAATTCTACCTTAAAATTTGATAACCCATACATAATTTATCATGTTTTAGATACCTAGCATGTTTCCAACTTTTTCATGACGATCAATAATGGTGTAAGAAACATCTTTATGCAGCTATACTTTTGAGAGAATGTCTACTTAATAGAATAGTAGACAGCTATGGTCTTTACTAAGACTTAAGTAATTTGGAAAAATATTAAAAATATAATAAAGTGAACAGAAGTAAAATGCTTAAATATTTCTAAACTGGGCAGTCAAATTAGAAACCATTTTATCTCCGATGTCTCATTTGCAAAAGCCCTGTGACTCGAAAAGAAACAAGTGAAACGAAGTATGCACTGACTGCTACTATAGTAGTCCCCACCATATCAGTTTTGTTTTCTGTGTTTTAAGTTACCTGGAGTCAACTGCAGTAAGAAAATAGGTGAGTGCAGTACAGTAAAATATTTGAAAAAAGATCACATTCATGTAACTTCTATTATACTATATTATAATACCTCTATATTATGTCACTGTTAATTCTTTACTGTGCCTAATAAAGTTTATCATAGGTATATATATAAATTTATAAATATATAAATCAAAGTTTATCTCACATATATTATATATATGAATTATATATATATAAAAATTTTTTTCCCCCTAAGTTAACAAAGGCCTTATTTGCCTCCACAAAACAAGTCCCACATTATGCCTCCTAATCCAAGGGGGAAGGAAAGAAGAAAATGAATCCTTCTTGGTCCACTTCCAGAACACTGCTGAACCGTGGTATTTTAAAAATAATTCCTTTTTCATGTTTCATAAAATCTCCCTCTGACGACATTCTCTTTTGGTGTTATGGAATGACTTCTTAAATATTTCCTACAACATATATGTGATTGCATCACATGGCTCATTGCACCTTGACATTATTTTTCAGATTTCAAAATGCACGTCATTGGCTTTTCTAACACTTGCTACTCAATCAACATAACATCTCACAGTTAAAATACTTTTAGGTCATGCCCATTAAACTCCCCACAAGCAAAATCACAATTGCCTCATCAGCAATGGGCACTGCTTTGCCTTACAGATCCTGAAATCAGAAAGTCTTCTCTCCAACTACAACCACCTACAACATCTTCATTGTGGCTGATCCTGCTTTGTCTTCATCGTAACCTTTGAACGCTTGTTATATCAAATTTTCATAGTCCAGTGAGAACTGCACCCACTATTCTACTTGGTAAATCATTTCAATATCATGATTCTTTTGCTTGCTTTATCTAACCTTCCTAATTTCTCACCCTGGCCGCCAGTTTCTCTTTCTTCTGGGTATTTATTGCTACAGAAAACTCATAAACCAGCGAGATTTTAAAATTTAAACTTTCCTTTGGGAGGCCGAGGCGGGTGGATCATGAGGTCAAGAGATCAAGACCATCCTGGTCAACATGGTGAAACCCCTTCTCTACTAAAAATACAAAAAATTAGCTGGGCATCGTGGCGCATGTCTGTAATCCCAGCTACTCAGGAGGCTGAGGCAGGAGAATTGCCTGAACCCAGGAGGTGGAGGTTGCGGTGAGCCGAGATCGTGCTATTGCACTCCAGCCTGGGTAACAAGAGTGAAACTCCGTCTCAAATAAAAAAGAAAAATTTAAACTTTCAAACCATGATTAGCTGCTTTACAATCGGGCAAGTTTTATTCAGCTCTGACTCCCTGGGACACTGTAGTGGTCATAAGACCTGTTTAAATTGTAGTAACCTAACCCTGCAACCAATGTAGCATCCATGTGTCACTCTGAACCAGTAAGATGGTATAGTAATGACAAATCATGCCTTTTGCCTAGCAACTGATCTGTGTAACCCAGAAAATTGTTTATAGCCTAAGATTTATGATGGGGCCATGTCAACTCAGCGGAATGTAAGGAAAAAGGTTCAGTATTCCCTTAGACTTGGGTAACACATGCTAACCTTATTTCCCCAATACTTTTCTGCTTCTAATGCCAACCAGAGCTTCAAAGTAATCCCACACATTCCCTGCTGTCTAAAATCCAGCCAACAGATAACTTCACTCCCCTTTCCCTGGTGCTAGGGACTAAGAAACAACTGCAGCACCTGCTTAAACCAATCAGTGTAAAGAAGGAAACAGCTCCTGGCTCCGAATAAAGTGTGGAAATGATCCAAAGCAATGGAGAGGGTTGCTGGATTCAAGTCTAGAGAAGTGTGTGGAGTTGCTGGATTCGAGTCTAGAGAAGTGCGTGGCACCTGTCCAGCAGAACCTCTCACCACTCTGTATACTAACCAGGCAGTGGGGAGTGGGGAGGAAGCGCAGTTAGCAGCAACTGGGGGACCTCACCTGTGTGCAATATATGTAAAGACCTATCACAACAACTCCCACTGACATCCAAGAGAGTAAGAGATTACCTCCAATTTAAGTAAGAGACAGTTGGAACTACTTTTGTTTCTGGCAAATCTGTAAAGAGAAGTGCCAATCGATCCACACAGTCTAGGACGAAGGTTACAAGTTACATCCCTCAACTCTGCAGGGTGGCTGGAGCAAAAGAGGTCCATACCTTCAAGGGAAACCCTTTTAAAAGTTCCCTACGCAGATGCAAATATTCTCAGTGGCTCCTTGTTCAGGTTTTCCCTTTCTCCCCCTTGTTTAAGCCCAATACTTGAGAGTCAATGAAACAAGTTTATTTCTGTCCAGGAGTTAATATAACATGAAACGTTTCTATCAAACAACAAGCTATTCGCTATAAATGAAATTCAAGAGCACATGTAAAACAAAATAAAAATTCAAATAAAAAAAGTAAAAGTTACGTGTATTTCTTTTCTTTATTTTTATTGTGACACAGGGTCTCGCTATGTCACCCAGGCTGGAGTGCAGAGGCGCAAACTTGGCTCACTACTCTTTTCTCTCTCTCTCTCCCCTCTCTTCTCTCTCTCTCTCTTTTTTTCCAGATAGGGTCTTGCTCTGTCACCCAGATGGGAGTACAGTGGCATGATCTAGGCTCACTGTAACCTTTGCTTCCCAAGCTCAAGAGATTCTCGATTCTACCACCTCAGCTTCCAGAATAGCCAGGGTTACAGACGTGCACCACCACTCTCAGCTAATTTTTGCATTTTTAGTAGACAGGTTTCAGCATGTTGCTTAGGCTGGTCTTGAACCTCTGACCTTAAGTGATTCACCGGCCTCAGCCTCCCAAAGTGTTGGGATTACAGGTGTGAGCCACCACACCCAGCCACGAACTATATATTTATCTGCTGATAAAAATTACTTCCTATAAATAGGAGACTGGGAGTAGAGGATAGGGAGAGCAATCAAATGCAAATTGACAGGATCTAGCATAAACTTCAGCAGAACTCTAAAGAATCTTTTAAGTAAATATGCCATAATCCCTGTGAGATTACCTGAGGTAATCTTCCTGACCATAGCTTGGTTGCATGGCAGAGAAGTAAAGTGATTTTCAAATTAGTTGGATCTCTGTATCCACCATCTCCATATCAACAAGAGAGTTGAAACAGAAAATTTTGAAAATCTTAACCTTGTAACTCAATTCTGTTTTTAAGAAGACCTATTTCTAAAATTTTTTCTATACAGCAAATTTTCTATCTTTAACCCAGATCTTTTGCCTACACTCCAGACATAGGTCTAACTACCCGCTTTACTTGGACATCTCATTTGCTTCTCTGCTTAGATACCTAATGGGTATTTCAAATTCAGCCATGTCCCAAATTTCCCCTCAAAACCTGCTCCTCCTTCAGTCATGCCTATCACAGCAAATGGCACTCCACAGGTCAAAACTTGGTGTTTTCATTGATTACTGTCCTTCCCTCATCCCCACAATCAAGCCATCAGCAAAATCTTTTGGTTTTACCTTCAAAAGTACATCCAGAAACAAATCCATTCTCCCCACCTCCTCATTACAGCCTAGTCCAAGCCACTGGGATTATTAAAACAACCTCCTAAGTGGTCTCTCTGCTTCTTCTCTTGTCTCCTTACAAACTGTTGTCAACACAGCAGCCAGACTAATCATGTCACAACTGAAATCTGGCATCATTCTTTTGCTGAAAACCCCAGGGACTTCTTTTGTCACCTGCTACCAGCTCTAAAAGCATTCAGTTTTATACCGAGAGCCCTTAAACCACCACCACCTAATTTCCGAAAAACTGTCCCTCTCTTTTGACACGAATAAATGGAATGAGTATAAAAACAATTAAAGAACAATGATAAATTTGGTGGCGTGACATGATGGTCTAAATTCATCATTTAGCTCACACCTCTCCCAAATTCCCAATGAAACACAGAAATGTAAAACTGGAGGGAAAAAATCTTCAAAGTAAAATATAAAACAAAAAAAGAAAAAAAAATCTTCAAAGTAATAACTTAAAAGCTAATAAGGGCAGGGCTAGCCTACCTAAAGTGCTGACCAACCCAAACTGAGCCTACCTGGGGGAAAAGCAACCTAAGGCTCAGGTCAAGGTGAAGGTGCATGTGGCAAGTCTCAGATCTGCAACTACATTCTGAGACAGGTACTTTGAAACATGCAACAAGAATGTACAGAAGAAAACACGGATATGGCTGGATCTTAACAAGGATCAGTGTGCCACAGAGAGGAGGGAAACTGTCTCCCAGACAACTTTAGGACAGAAACAACTGTTTCAGAATAACAAACATCCCTGCCCCACACAACTTCCTGCTAGAGCTTTCTCCTCTAACATCCTGGGCAACTGGCTGCAATCTGGCAAAGGTAATGTACACTGTGTAAGTATCACCTTATCCCCTTACATTAATATAGGACTGAACATTTTCAACAGTAATATATATAATTTCTAAAGATAAAGTTATAAATACTATTTTGTAATGAGGAATAACACTGTTAAAAATTTGCAGCTAAAACTTGTTTAAAACGTAGATGGTCCCTATCATCTCTAGCTAAAAGGGTATTACAAGACCTTGATTCCACGTTCGTTAGGAGAAACAGGAGGAAAACCCTGGCAATATTCTTCTCTCTGGTAGAATAGTGCTTCCTATCTCACTGTCAATACTCAATTTATTCCTTTCCTGTCTGTACATCTTTATGAAGGTTGGCAAGCATCCATCCTTTGTCTTATGGTATTGCACCTGTCAGTATTCAAGCATGCCATTTTTCCTCCCTTCTCTGATCCTCATTAGCCCTACCGACCCATTTCACTATTCCACTTTATAAACAAATTTTAAAAACAAGGTCGCACTTCTGGCCACTTCCCTCACCTTCTATATCTTCTTCAACTCTGTGTAACTGTGTTTCTGCCCCCTCACTAACCCACTGAAAATCCATGTCTACGGCACCTTGGCTTACTCAAACCTCTAGCAGCATTTTACACAGTTGACTCATGAAACACTCTCTATACTTTTTTAAACAAGAAATACTGTTTCCAAAGAACAGGTAATCACATCACGTGGGGTGGTAGTGTTCTGTGGGAAATAATGACCCAGAAAACATAAAAAGGTTATAGCTGTGAATAAGAGAGAACTGGGTTAATAACCTATATCTGGTAAGCAGTGGCTATCAAATGAAAAAAGGGAGTAAGACCCCACCCCAATAAAAGGGTGGTTGAGTGGGAAAACCGGAAGAGACTTAATGCTAATGAACAGTTGCAATGTCGGAGCTCATGAATATACGTCCTTATTGTAATATCTATCTAGGTGTGGACAGCAAGAGCCTTCATATTAGCTGTGGTGACTGCAGTAGCTCAGTAGCCTCACTGGTAAGCATCTGTGAGCTATGGCAGCTGCTGATCAGCTACTTTGGAGAAAACCATTCTGAAAGTACTGAATTGCAACTGTAGAAACTACCCTTTTTCAGTTTTATACCTGTGGAAAACTACCTTTAGGAAAAGTGTCTTTTTTATTTTTCAGAGATAGTGATCTTGCTCTTTCACCCAGGCTGGGGTGCAGTGGCACAATCATGGCTCACTGTAGCCTCAAGTTCCCAGGCTCAAGCCATCCTCCTACCTCGGCCTCCCAGGTATCTAGGACTACAGGTGTGCACCATCATGCCTGGCTAATTTTTTCTATTATTTTGTAAAGATAGACAGTTCTTGCTCTGTTGCCTAGGCTGGTTTTGAACTCCTGGGCTCAGGCGATGCTCTGGCCCCAGCCTCCCAAAGTGTTGGTATTACAGGCGTGAGCCACCACACCCAGCCAGAAAAAGTGCTTTTTAGAAATTAAATTATCTAAACTCCACAAATGAAGTTAATATGAAATAAAATCAGGTTCCAGGTTTTTTAAAAGAATCCTTTAAAGTTACCATGTTGTATTTCTCTCCTTTACTCTACCTAACCCTTCCTCAGATAAACAGACTGGCTTAAAATGGTATATTAGGTAAAGTATTAAGGGCTTCATATTTAATTACATGATTACTGCTGACACTGAAATGCATGACTCAGATGACAAAAGGGTATAAAACTTTTCTAATTAGTTTTATCACACTAGAAAATTAAAATATATTTGAAATACAAGATATACATTAAATATATATATATGCAAAACACTTCAAATTAATTAAAATATCCTGATTAATTTAACAGAAACATCAATGTTTACACACTCAGGGCAGGACTTTGTTGTAACACTTTTCACTTGCCTATTTCCACCAACCCTGAAACATCTTCCATACATTAAGAAAACACACCTGGTTTCTGCCTCTGCGTTTCCCATAATTTCTTCTGACTAGAGCTTTATAATTCTCATTTTTCTTTGTTAAATAATAATATAAAACACAATCAGGAACACTCTGTAAGAAATAAAACAATTACTTTTGAAGATCCAATGAAATAAAAATTTTTTAAATTAAATATTACTTTCAAGGAAAATCTCTGGTATTCTCAAAGTACAAATTAAAGAACATACATGGCTAGCATTTTAAGGCATATCTAGGGTTTAGAACTATTTACATTATGTATGCTATTTTAATGGACAGTTACAGTTGTTAATCCAAATTATGTGAAAGACGCCAGGAACTATCAGAAACATTCAAATATTTTCTTATTAACAAGTAAATTCCCCTTCGGACTACATATATGTAAATATTTAAAATGTCTTTATTTTGTTCAAAAACATTAAAATCAACTTTATATTTATTAAATATGGAATAATTCACAAATCTGCTTGTCAACCTTGTGCAAGGGCCATGCTAATTTCCGCATTGTTCCAATTTTAGTATATGCGCTGCTGAAATGAGCACAAGACTAATATTTTAATTAGAAACGTAATGAGGTTCAAAAAGCATTGTAATCTAGTGTTTTTAGGGAAATAAAAATCAGGTCATCTTTCATTAACCACTTAGTTCTGTATTCTAAAATTTCTATTATAATTGTAATTATCACTATATGAATCACATGAGATGCTTCGCAGCCTTTTTAAAATCGGTTCTACTTAACTACTTCTGTGTGTGTTAGGGTACAAGAATTTCAAAGTAACAACCATCACAAACTTATAAAGATGCCCAATGCAAATCATGTCTTACCTTCCTCTCCAAATAGGATGCAATTAGTCCAAAGTTTTTTGGATGCTGGATAAACCTGAGTAAAAATGAAAACAAAAACACACTCACACACAAACATTTCAACAACTAAAAAAGAAAACTTGGGAAAAGAAATACTACATACAGGCTGGGCGTGGTGGCTCACACCTGTAATAGCAACACTTTAGGATGCCAAGGCAGGGGGATCACTTGAGGTTGGAGTTCAAGACCAACCTGACCAACATGGCAGAACTCCATCTCTACTAAAAATACAAAAATTAGGCCAAGCACAGTGGCTCATGTCTGTAATCCCAGCACTTTGGGAAGCTGAGGTGGGTGGATCACAAGGTCAGGAGATTGAGATCATCCTGGCTAACACTGTGAAACCCCGTCTCTGCTAAAAATACAAAATAGTTAGCAGGGCATGGTGGCACACACCTGTAATCCCAGCTACTTGGGAGGCTGAGGCAGGAGAATCGCCTGAACCAGGAGGCAGAAGTTGCACTGAGCCAAGATCATGCCACTGCACTCTAGCTTGGGTGACAGAGCAAAACTCAGTCTCAAAAATAAAATAAAATACAAAAACTAGCTGGGGATGGTGGCACACGTCTGTAGTCCCCCATACTCTGGAGACTAAGGCAAGAGAATCGCTTGAACTCGGGAGGCCGAGGTTGCAGTGAGCCAACATCACAACACTGGACTCCAGCTTAAGCGACAGAGCGAGACTCCGTCTCAAAAAAAAAAAAAAAGAAAAGAAATACTATGTATAGACTAATTCCCAGGGCTTTCGAACTGCCAATCTGAGGAACAACTGTAGAATCACTGGAGACTTTTAAAGGTCACAGATTTCTGGGCACCGTATACCAGAAAATGATTGAATTAGTCTATGGTAACGCACAGAAATCTGTACCTTATAAAAGCTCCCCTGAAAGTTCTGACAGCACCTAAGCTTGGGAACCACTCTTAACATGACTCCATAACTCCAGTTCTTATTTGTTACCTCTTTTCCCACCTACAAACTTACAGGAAGATCAATATTCTCTACTTTTCACAGAATCTATTCAAATGCCAAAATGGGGCCAAGTTTTTGTAAAAACAGTTCAATTTACAAGTAAATGCCAAATGCTTTTTACTAACTTATGTAGAAGTCCATAGAAAATAATTAAAAATATAAATTACTTGTCCTTAAAGATCTCCTTTTCATGGTCAGTCCAAACATTCATAAACTGCCTGTCTTTATAAACCTTCATAGGGTCCTCCATAAGCCCATTCATATTAATGAACTTGACTCGTCTTTGTTCTGCATCAAACATCATAGGTGGAATCACAGAGAGCTGCCGCATTTGTTTCTCATTATTCTGGAAAAAAAATACAATTTACTTAGAATAAAATATAAACTAGAAATTAAGGAGGGCCATGAACCAATGTTCTCAATATATACTAAAAACCCATGTATACAGTTTAATGACAGTAACAGGGTATACCACAGCATCTAACATATAGTAATTACTCATATATTCAATAAATATTCGCTGTATGAATTATAGAGGCAGAGAATATCCCTATCATTTTTTAAATAATCCACTCCTTTGAGAAGAATTTTTTTTTAAACTAAGCTAATACTTAACATAATAAAATTTAAACCTGGAAGATAAAAAGTAATGTCAAGTTCACCAAAGAGGCGACCTTATGGAGCATTTAATTATCATATAGTCTCATTTTTTAAAACCTCAACATCATTGTAGACAACAACTCTTACCATCATATAAGAGAACAATAAATAGGAAAATAAGCAACAGGCATCAAAATCTAAGTCACTGATTTTAAATTAAACTCATTTTACTATTAAATGCTTCTTAATTTTACATAATCTTTCCATTGAAAATTCAAGGCTGTTATTCTCAGAAATAAAGCTTGTTTCAATTAAAACTTTGTTATACATGTAGAATTTATTTTTCCCAAAGTTTAACTGATGAAATTTATAAGCACAAGCTTCTATTTAAAAACTTTTACCCAAATATAAGAAAACGTTATTTCCCTAAAAATGTTCCTTATAAAAGTGGACACTGCCTAATAGTCAAGTCCTTACAAAGTCTCTAATTTCATGAGACACACTCAATCAGTTTGAATACTATAGCGTTTCAGACACCTTAGATTGAAACGACATCAATACACAAAGTAATTTTAGATGCTTACAGATGTTTCTTAATGGAATCAATTAAAGAGTGAATAAAGAAATTTAACCAACATTTAATTTAATCATCATTGTAGAAATAATGGCTACATATTCCAAGGGCTGAATGTCATTTCAATCATGCACTTTACAGGTAATTTCTAAAGCAATATAGAATAAGTGGTTCTATTTTAAAGTTTTGAATATATTGCTACAAAAGAAATGAAAAATTGCTGGGCACAGTGGCTCATGCTTGTAATCCCAGTACTTTTGGAGGCCAAGGTGGGAGGACTGCTTGAGCCCAGGAGTTCAAGACCAATCTGGGCAGTGTAGTGAGACCCCATCTCTACAGAATATTCTTTTTTAATTAACTAAGTGATAAACTGGGTGTGGTGGCTCATACCTATAATCCCAGCACTTTGAGAGGCAAAGGCAGGTGAATCACCTGAGGTCAGGAGTTCAAGACCAGCTTGGCCAACATAGCAAAACTCTGTTTCTACTAAAAATACAAAATTTAGCTGGGTGTGCTGGCATGTGCCTGTAGTCCCACCTACTCGGGAGGCTGAGGCAGGAGAATCACTTGAACCTGGGACGTAGAGGTTGCAGTGAGCCAAGATCATGCCACTACACTCCAGTCTGGGTGACAGAGTGAGACTCCATCTCAAATAAACAAACAAAAAGTTAGCTAGGCGTGGTGATGTACCAGTAGTCCCAGCTACTCAGGAGGCTGAGGTGGGAGGATCGCTTGAGCCTGGGAGGTGGAGGATGCAGCAAGCCAAGATCACACCACTGCACTCCAGCCTGGGTGACAGAAAAAGAAAAATCCACTTGTCAAAAAAATCCACTTGTCAAAAAAAATCCTATGTCAAAAAAAGAAAAAGAAAAATTCACTTGTCCTGACAATATGCAATATTATGTGCAATATGTATTTAGGGCTTGAAATAAAATTTAGCAAGGATAATATCATAAATGTATCCCAAAAGAAGCATATCTCCAGGAATCTGGGCACAGTGAAGCCGGTATGCTCTGAAACACTGATAACTCAAAGGTGTCTCTAGAAATTGCAAAGATCCTGAAATTACATAACAATGCACTGAAAAGCTTCAGTGTGGGATATCCCTCTGTGACTAAATATTGTAATTGTCCCTAAAGAGTTACGTATTTCAATGGACCAAAAATCACTTTGGAATCCTCTCTTTGGGAAAGGAGAATATCAGAAGAAAGGAAAGAAAAACCACCTGTAAAACTCTATTTTGAGGCCGGGCTCGGTGGCTCCAGCCTGTAATCCCAACACTTTGGGAGGCCGAGGCGGGTGGATCATGAGGTCAAGAGATCGAGACCATCCTGGTCAACATGGTGAAACCCCGTCTCTACTAAAAATAAAAAAAAAATTAGCTGGGCATGGTGGCACGTGCCTATAATCCCAGCTACTCAGGAGGCTGAGGCAGGAGAATTGCCTGAACCCAGGAGGTGGAGGTTGCGGTGAGCCGAGATTGTGCCATTGCACTCCAGCCTGGGTAACAAGAGTGAAACTCCGTCTCAAATTAAAAAAAAAAAAAAAAAAAAAAAAAAAAAAAGCAAAGCTCTATTTTGATCAGTATAAGAGCAATCTGAGAAGTAAAGTGGTTCAAGGAACTCTGAGATATAGTTTATATAGTTCTCTACCTCCTCCAGGGCTAGTCTGACTAGAATTCTGAAACAAAGTAACTTATAAGAACATATGATATACTTTTACTCAGTTATGAATGCAAAACAGGGTACCTTAATCAAATACTGACAGAATCCTACCACAAATATCAACACAAAGACAAACTCTGTACAAATGGGCTATTTTTTCATCCTGGAGGAAAACTTACTACAACAGTTTCACAAGTAATGTTTCATGAGATCAAGTAACTTGATGGTTTAATTCACCACTGTATTCCCAAATGTCTAAAGGAAAGTTTGGCACGTATAAGGCTATAAATACTTGTTGAAAGAATAGACTTGATTGAATATAGACAAGGAAAAGAACACACAGTTCCAGAATCCAATTGCCTGGGTTGGGTATCTGGCTCCACTATTTATTAGTCTGTGACCTTGGGCAAATTATTTAACCTGCAACTGGGCTTTAGTTTCTTCATTTGGAAAACAGCCAATAATTATAGCCTCTACTTCACAGAATTTTCATAGAGTTTAATTAATACATATGACGTGCTTATCACAATTGGCAATTTTAAGTAGTAACTACCCCTCAAATTTCCCCTCCTCAAAAAACCAAAGATGTAGTCAGTCCACCACAACCTAAACCAACGATATCCATAGAAAGAGGAGAAACATATTAGCTAGGTTAAGTAGTAGTAAAGGGTACAGAAGAGGAATTTATGACACTGCTTTTTCCTTTTGAATGTGCTAAGTAGTGTGTAAAAGGAATTTAACTTATCTAAATTATTTCTACATAATTCAACATTTTAGATTAGATCCACTTACTCCACTTAACTTTGCAAAATCGAGTATTAACTGTATACTTAAGTTTGCAAAAAATGTATTTATTTACATTTAACATTTATTTTGAAGTACAAAACATTACAAAAAATATCTTTGATCACTACTCAAGGCCATTACTTCAAATAAACAAGACTCTCAGACTTTTGAGACAAGGTTTAAGAAAAGCCATATAATAAAATCAAAACTAGCAAAATTCGGTCAATAGTAGGTAGCTTTCAGAACAATCTTGAGAGTTTGACATGGCTAAGAAAACTCAATGGCAGAAATGGAAATTTATTCTTACTCTGCATTTCTGTATTAATATACAAGTAAACATTAGGCACCAGGGACTCAAATACAGCCTGATCCAAAGGTATAATAATCGCACTCATGAAGACGACACTTTAGCTGATCATAAATATTTATTAAACAGAAAGAGAAACACAACAGAAATAAATGTAAACTGACACTAACTAGACATTGATTTTTTTCTGCTTTGGGAAAGCGAGTGAGGAAGCTTCACAAGGGAGCTTCACAAATATTTCTGTTGGGTCTGAAGATAAATTCTTCAAACGTATACCTTGGTGTCTACTACCTGTTTCATAATTTTATTAATTCTGCTCTTTACACAGGCAAAGAAATGCCTGAAAAACAAAGTAATGCCACTCACTACAAAAGTGTTACCTTCACCTTAAAAATCAGTGAAATGGCCTTCTTCTTCACAGATAAATCTCTTCCATATATAAACTTAATCTCTAAAATCTCACTCACCTGCCCCTTTCACTTCATGTTACCCTGATTGCCTGGGATTATGTCACCTGCATACAGATGACTCTGGTATCTAACCATCCCCAGTTCAACTCCCTCCCAGGTTCACCTGCTAGACAGCACCCTTTGAAGAACATAAAAATGCATGCTCCTTTGCTACTTTAGGAAATGGCACCATCAGCTTAGTCCTCTAACCTAGAAACCAGGGAGTCACATTCTACTCCTCCTTTTTCTCATCTCCCACTCTCTTCTATTATACTTTCCTAAACATCCCTATCACTGTTGCCCTGACTCAGATCCTTATTTCTATCACAACGGCCTCCTCACCTCTCTCTAGGTCTCCCTGCTGCCAAAGCCATCTTTCTAAAATTCCAGTATGACTGTGTGACTGCCTCGCTTAAAAACCCCTCAACAGAGGCCTCAAATCTTTGAAACAGTCTAACACCTAATAAAGTTTCCACATTTACATACAAAACCCTTAGCTCCTAGTCTACAGAGTTAAAATGCTTTAATAATTAACAAATTAACTTGAATTAAGTTAATTTTCTTACCTCCTGCTCAGAGAGCCCATCAATAATTTCAGAAATCTCATGCTCACTCCTAGCAATGGTGGCTGAAAGACCAGCTCCCCTCTGTCCAACTCTAAACATGAGGGAGAAATTAAAATATATTTAAAGCCCTTTTATAAAGAAGGCATACCAATTAAATTAACTATATATTACTTTTCTGAATGGAACTTTTTAACCAAGTTAAGAGAAGAAACATAAAATATTATTGAGTATCTATGTTTAAATAATATTCTTGGGCTGGGCGCAGTGGCTCATGCCTATAATCCCAGCACTTTGGGAGGCCGAGGCAGGCAGATCACAAGGTCAGGAGTTTAAGACCAGCCTGACCAACATGGTGAAACCCTGTTTCTACTTAAAATAAAATTTAAAAAAAATTAGCTGGGCCTGGTGGCACGCACCTGTAATCCCAAACACTCAGGAGGCTGAGGTAGAAGAATCACTTGAACCCGGAGGTGGAGGTTGCAGTGAGCCGAGATCACGACACTGCACTCCAGCCTGGGTGACAGAGCGAGACTCTAGCTTAAAAAAAAAAAAAAAAAAAAACTGGCCAGGGGTGGTGGCTCATGCCTGTAACCCCAGCACATGGGGAGGCCGAGGCAGGCGGTTCACAAGGTCAGGAAATCGAGACCATCCTGGCCAACATGGTGAAACCTCATCTCTACTAAAACTACAAAAAAAACTAGCTGAGCATGGTGGCACACGCCTATAGTGCCAGCTACTCGGGAGGTGAGGCAGGAGAACTGCTTGAACCTAGGAGACAGAGATTGCAGTGAACCAAGATTGTGCCACAGCTCTACAGCCTGGGCAGTGTGAGACTCCATCTCAAAATAATTTAATTAATTTAAAAAATAGTAATATGCTTTTGTCATCTATTAAAAACAATTTAAATGCTATGATTGAGATTTGAAGGTTACATGTTCAAATTTAAATGGTAGAACTAGTTACGGAAAACTTCTGAAAAACCATAGTTATTGATGCCATTTCCATTTCAAATATCAGTCTTTGTATGCCCTGTAGTAGACTTAGAAAAATACATGAAACACTTTTTTTTTTTTTTTGAGACAGAGCCTCACTCTGTCACCAGGCACCAGGCTGGAGTGCAGTGGCACGACCTCAGCTCACTGCAACCTCCGTCTCCCGGGTTCAAGCAATTCTCCTGCCTCAGCCTCCGGAGTAGCTAGGACTACAGGCGCACGCCACCATGCCCAGCTAATTTGTTTGTATTTTTAGTAGAGACAGGGTTTCACCATGTTGGCCAGGATGGTCTCGATCTCTTGACCTCATGATCCGCCCGCGTCAGCCTCCCAAAGTGCTGGGATTACAGGCGTGAGCCACCGCGCCCAGCCATGAAACACTTTTTAAACGAAGAGAACAAACTCAACCGACATCCCTTATAAAAACTTAATTGTGAGTTAAGGGGCTTACATGACTCTTTTTTTTCTACATGACTCTTAACATGAGACAATAAAGAAAACTAAAGCTTTTCATAATTTTGTAAAATACCTTTTCGCTAAAAGTAAAACAAATCAGAATCTACCAAAGTCAAAGAATTTCTTAATTGGCCATCGACTGAATATAGTTTGATTATGCTGGTAATGAAGGAATAAAGAATATTCAGGTCTGTTCTTATTAACTGTCATTTCCAAACTATTTAATATTTTTAGTAACCAAACTTAGTTCAGAATTAATTTCAAAATATTCACTTATATTTAGATTCAAGAAGATAATATAAAAATTAAATTTACTGTGACATAATGTTTACTGGTTGATAATAAATTTTTCGTTACAACATAAAAGTTCTTTTAACTTTTAAGTTCATGGGTACAAGTGAAGGTTTGTTATACAGGTAAACTTGGGTCACGGGGATTTGTTGTACAGCTTATTTCATCACTCTGGTATTAAGCTTCGTATCCACTAGTTATTTTTCCTGATCCTCTCCCTCCTTCCATCCTCCACTCTCCACACTCTGACAGGCCCCAGTATGTGTTGCTCCCCTCTGTGTGTCCACAACATAAAAGTTCTTTATAAACTTTCTTCATGATCAGTTACAAGAAACAATAAATATTTGAAGGAAAATATCACAGTCACTAAATATCAAACTACTTACCGCTGAAATCTTTCTTGCTGTTCTCTTTGTTTTCGAATTTCTGGAAACTGCTTTTCATAGTATTCCCTTGTTTTGCTTTCTTTAGCTTTCCTCCGAGGATTATTTTCTATTCTGTCCACTTTTTTCTCCCATGCCTCCATGAGCTGATCATAACGCTGGCAGATTTTTTGCTCCTATTAAATATCCGTAGCAAATTAATAATAATTAAACTAAACTCTGATTCTGACAAACCTAATACTTTAAAATAAATGCTACTTCTTAAGGTTAAGTCAGAAGTACATTTGGCTTATGATTCAATTGTGAATGAAAAGCTGAAAGAGGAGAGAGGAAAGGTAGCTCCGTTTCCTACTAAGATCAACACACAGAGCACAGTTTGGCTGGATTTTTTATTTAACATTGAGGTTATGCATATTTATAAAGTACTTGACAATCTACTACTAGTATTAGTTGACCAGTTACTTTTATTTTGCTTAAAAACATTATGTCACTGTTGTTCCCAAAAATGGAAAATTAAAAATACAAACATGTAAACAGTTCATAATCTGACCAATTACCCGAAGGCAACCATATGAACATTTTGTTGTTATCCTTCCAATCTGCGAAAGAAAACACGCACACTTTAACTGTTTTATTGTTGAAGGTTCTGGTTGATTGCCATTTTTAGCTATTATAAATAATGCCATATAATAAACATTTTTGACAATATGAAAAAGGCAGAAATTGGTTGATTTTACTTTATCATAAAAAGAAATCCTGGACCGGGCGCGGTGGCTCAAGCCTGTAATCCCAGCACTTTGGGAGGCCAAGGTGGGTGGATCATGAGGTCAAGAGATCGAGACCATCCTGGTCAACATGGTGAAACCCCGTCTCTACTAAAAAATATAAAAAATCTGCTGGGCATGGTGGCGCGTGCCTGTAATCCCAGCTACTCAGCAGGCTGAGGCAGGAGAATTGCCTGAACCCAGGAGGCGGAGGTTGCAGTGAGCCAAGATCGCGCCATTGCACTCCAGCCTGGGTAACAAGAGCAAAACTCCGTCTCAAAAAAAAAAAAGAAGAAATCCAGGCCATGCACAATGGCTGATGCCTTTAATTCTAGCACTTTGGGAGGCCGAGGTGGGCAGATCACAAGGTCAAAGGATAGACCAGCCTAGTCAATATGGTGAAACCCCATCTCTACTAAAAATACAAAAATTAGTTGGGTGTAGTGGCAGGCACCTGTAGTCTCAGGGAGGCTGAGGCAGGAGAATCGCTTGAACCCAGGAGGCGGAGGTTGCAGTGAGACAAAATGGTGCCACTGCACTCTACCCTGAGCAACAGGGCAAGACTCTTTCTCAAAAAAAAAAAAAAAAAAAAAAAAAAAAAAAAATACAATGAACTACATGAAATTGAGAATTAATGCTTTTAGAGAAGTGAACTATGAAACCGTTTTCTAAATAGAGAAGAAAATACTGAAGAACCCTCCATTATGGACAAAGAACTGTTAACATATCTGATGACATATGGATAGAGGAAACTGAAGAAGGGCTCATGAAAAACTGCTAACGCGGTCATCTCAAGAAAGTAGCACTGGAGAATATTATCTTTATCAAATTCCATACCACACCCCACTCCCACTTCTCAATTACTCCTATATGTCTTCTGTGTCCTTCACCTTTTTTCCGTTTCTACTATTACCCTCACAATCCAGGCCAATGCCATCCTTCTTCTAGATCAAAACAATAGCTCCCATGCATTTTTTTTTCCCCACCTGCAACTGTCTTGATAGTTACACCATGCATTCTTAATATTGTAGCCAAATGAAAATTCTTAAAATACAAACCCAAACATTATGCAACCTCCAGGACAGTATACAACCTGGCTCTGGATTCCCTCAGTAGCCTCATTTCTCACACTGCCAGCTCAGTCCACATTCCCTCCAGCTCCCAGGCATTCACTTAAGCAGCTCCCTCTGCGTATACAAGTTTGCAGAGAATTGGTTTTCCCATGAAACTTCCCCTCATAATTCCCATCTGCCTTAGGTGTCCTCCTCAGTCATCTGTAGTCCATGACCATAGTGTGATCCAATACTATGACTACCTGCTGACCTGTCTGACTCCCATCACCTTAGGCTCCCCCTAAAACTACTAAAACCATATGGCTACCTTGCTCACCTTCACAGAATATGTGGGACAGAGTACACAGCCAAGCAATATTTAAGATAATTGGTGAACATACAAACCTTATAGTGTTTGCATCACCAGTGAGCTAATCTAGCAAGTACCACAATTACAACGAAATTACTTGGAAAGGAAAAAAAAATACATGAGCTAATTTCTTACTTGATATTTATATGTTCTTAGCCAAAAAAAAAGAGGAAGACCATAATTTAAGATAGTATCTGAAGGAACAGACTGGCAAATCAGAACATTAGACATTTTCCACCAAATAAAAGCGGCTTACTCTTGACCTTTACAATTCATTAAACTGTCAGGTCATTAAACTTAAGCCACAAAGTTCATTTTTGATGTAGATTTAAAGAGCAGCATTTATTTAACAGACACTTGAATTTAAATGTATTAACAGTTAAACTGTAAATTTATTGCTAACTGTAAATCTGTAAAATCAGTATAAACATGAAAAAAATCACTGGCATTATATTTTCTATAACTTAATTACCATCAAGATTATATAACCACAAAACTTTTGGACTGCAAGTCATATAACAAAATATGGAACACTATTTTAATTTGAAAAAGCTGAACCCTAGCTGACCCAGTTTCTGATCAAATAAAGAACAGTAATATCTAATCAGCATGACTGCAACTTACCAACAATTGTTTGAGGCTTAAGAAACTAAATTATCTATCTTTCGTTTTTTTTAAACTACTCACCATTTTCTTTATTTTGACTAGATGAAAATGTTCTAGATAAGTGACCAATGAATTAACTTGATAATGATATTACATGTAAATTATGGTATCAAAATGTTACTAGAATTAGATTTCAGTCACATATATGGTTACTTTCTAAATCAACACTTATCCTCAAATGGAGTCAAGGACCATTCTCATTAATAGTGGGAAAGTGAATGCCTAAATGAGCATGAATGGGAAAGCTGTACAAATTTCAGTTAACAAGGATAGGACCTCACCCTTTGTTTTCTTGCATGATTTCTTCTTTTAAAAAATAAAATGAGTTTTTTCCTCATCACCTGGTTTCTAGAAGAGAAAAATATGGTTGCATGACATTAAGAAAAAGCACAATTTAATAATGTATTCGTTTTTTTCCCCAGAGACACTGGAACACAGGCAAAAATCACTTAAGATTTTATAATGTAAACAAAGTTAATCCTATTTTTTTCACCCTGCAAAATAAGACTTTATAATTTTTGCAAAAATTAGAACTCACTAGAGTTCTTCCCATTCTACAGTAAGACTTTATACAAAACAGTTAACTTTCAATTAGCAAATCCAATTATAAGGCAAATATTTTCAAATTAAAATCATAGTTACTTATCCTTCTTAACAACTCTGGTGACATAAACATCTTAGTCTTGGAGGATGAGAGGTAGAAGAGAAGGAAACGCTTTTAAAGTTACCTCCCTACATCAGGTAAGGTGCTAACCTCCCTTCTATGAGGATAATGTATAACAACATAGATAGAGACAGATGACTTCTGCTTTAAACAGATTTTCTTCAGTCACAGAAATGACACAATCCACTCTAAGAAGTAATGGAGGGCAATGTGATAAAACAGCAAGATTTCTAATACATCTTAATCACTTTTAAATTGGAAGCATTGTGACCTTCAAAAACAATGACATGCAGGTTCAAATATAAATATTTATACCCCACCTACTTCCAGAAAGGATTTCAAGCTGATTATTCAAATATAATTACAAAGCCAAGGCAAGTAGAAGTAATTTTGTGGATTATCTGCCACTCTGGACTAACAGTGACACTGGTTCCACTCAAGTAAGCATGGGCAATCTGGAGCTGGCTATATGAAAAAGTAGCCAAGAGATGAAAAGAATTATTAAAATGTACATTTGCTATTTCATACAAAGCAAATGATGGTGATGAAAGAACAGCTACTGAATGACTCATACAGATGCATGCAGCTGAGGAAATATTTCAAAAGGTGTTGTACAGGGAAGCATTACCATATACTCAGTTTGCTCTAATGATAATTATACGTTACTCAAAAGCAAATGACAATCAACAAATACAATCTTAAATGTTTCCTAGGAATTTAAATGAAGTCAGCCAGTCAGTAATCCATCTCAGGATAATGTGCTGAGCACTAAATAGGCAATGTAGATGACATGAAATAAATCAGACAGAACTGCTCTCCAGACTGTATTAGGAGAAACAGGACAGAACATAAACATAACTGAGGCTTTGGGGGGGAAAAAAAAGTCATTAAAAGTAGCAAACTAGGTCTTTCTTATCTGCTCTTCTCCTTCTTTAAAAATGTTACAACAGCTAAGCAGTTCCAAAACAAGGTATATTATTATGTGAGTTTTGACTGATTTACTTCTAAGGGTTCTCAAGATCATAATAGCATCTCACAGAAAAATTCACAAATACATTAACTTTTATTACGAACCACTTATTTAACAAAAGTTAAAATTATTCAAATTCAATTGTTTTCATGCACACTACCATGCAAATTATATTTGCCACCAGTTCTGCAAAGTAGTCAATAATTGCACATACTCTCAGTAAGAAATTTTTAAAAAGAAAAAAGTATATATATATGTATATATATAATAAATAGCAATGTGCTCATTAGCAACCATACTAGTAAATAATTATAATGATCTGGTTATACTTAATAAAACATATAAAGTAGAAATATCACATTTTTGTCACAAACTAAGAATTCACCTAAAATTCTCTTTAAGAATAATTTTTTTAAAAAAGATACCTATCTAGCTTCCTTTCTTACTTCAATCAGATCAAGAAATCAGATTTTCTTTTCACTTATTTTCTTATTCCAAAATCTGCATCCATAAAGGCCTGGTACTAGGATGAGCGAGGCTAAGCAAACTATATTCTGGAGCAGCCTCCTCACCCACATGAGGTGACTGAGCGCTTCCAAGGCACCAGGACATTAAATGGCACAAGGGTCTACAAATACCGTCATTAGCAAGAGTCATGGAAGGGATTTCCCTAGAATAGGATTTTGAATAATGATAAAATGATCCGTGGCACTTCTACTTTGCAATGGCAGATGTGGCTTGGTGGGGGACGGTGTCATCACTAGTCTTAAATGAAAAAGCTTCATTATCTTACTTCATCATGCGCCTTGCAGGTACTCCACTGAAAAAAAGACAAAACAGGAGGCAAAAAATTCAAGCCTCAAGGTAAGCCATTTCAATGTTAAGTATCCACCTTTTTTTACTAGCAGATTATAAAACCAGCTAGTTTTATGCAACAATTTATTTCATTTTTTGGCCTCGGAAACTCAAAGCTGTTACCCCAACCCCCAAGAAGCCAGAGGAAGATAACATATAGTAAAACAACAGCAAATTACACAAATCTAAAACACACCTACACTATATTATAATACTGTCAGCAGATAACATAAAAATGATCTCTTTACAGAATATATGGTCTTTAATTGAGGAACTCCAAAGATGATCAATACTTACGTCTTTATGTTCTCATGGTACACCTTGGTATCTGATGGCTGGTTATAGAGTGGCTATAAAAGAAATCAAATATTTATGTATAAAATGTTGTACATATGTCTATGAAGAGACAAAGAAACAAAATTTTAATGTAAGCACAGGTAAAGTACTAATGGATCTATACAATAACATGCCCTACCAAAACCTTAAACTTTTAGAGTCCTTAAGTAACTGTTAATCCCATCTCCTAATAATGCCACTCCCATAAGACAGTTTATAAATGCACTGTTTCCCATAATAAGTATATTTACGCACAGAATTTTAATTTCAAAGGCGGATTAATTTTTAATTTCAAAGGAGGATTAAGCATTGCCACAATTTTAACAGTAAAATTCAAAGAGCGTTCTAATTCTGTTCTTAATTCTCATTCTACCTGGAATGATTAAACAGCTGCTCAAGTAAAAACATGCTTCGACAAAAGTCTGCAAAGGTAACCAAGTTCACTCACCATCACTTTAAACTTCATCTCAAATTCTGCTCAACTACATATCTCATATCCCAAAATAAATGGATCATACTCCATCTTATCCCAAGAAAAACTACTATCAAAAGAAAGTATCACTGGAAATGAAAAAATTAATTTCTTACTTACCAGTTCAACTTTTGGGCCAAGACCTTCAAATATTTTATGAGCTTCTTCTGCTTTTTTCTAGAGACAAAGACATTGTTGTATCGTATAATTAAAAATTACATTACCTAAGTGCAAAATCCCTATTTTAAAAATATTTATATAAGACAAATCTATAGATGAACTTATCCTTATTTCCAAATATCCTTCTTCTATACGATAGGCTGAAATATGCTCCAATTATTTTTATTTTTTCTTAATTTGTACTTACAATGATGGAAACTCTTAAATTTTATTTTCATAGCTTTCCTCACCAAATTCAGTCAAAACTTAACACTTATATTGAAAGCAATGCCTGAAGAATTTTTTGAGACGAAGTTTTACTCTTATTACCCAGGCTGGAGTGCAATGGCGCGATCTTGGCTTACCGCAACCTCTGCCTCCCAGGTTTAAGCAATCCTCCTGCCTCAGCCTTCCAAATAGCTGGGACTACAGGCATGTGCCACCTGCCCAGCTAATTTTTATATTTTTAGTAGAGGCGGGGTTTCTTCAAGTTGACTAGGATGGTCTCGATCTCTTGACCTCGTGATTTGCCCACCTTAACCTCAAAAGTTTCTGGGATTACAGGCATGAGTCACCGTGCACAGCCAAGAATTGTTAAGTCTTTAAAAGCTAATAATTACATCAAGAAACTAAAGAAAGAGAGTGAAAATTCACTATTAGAAATAAATCCCCAAAACATTCTACATATTTTAACTCATACCATCTTTAACAGAAACTTAAAGCAATAAAATACCATAAAATGGCCACTCTTTACTGTGGTAAGCCACATTGATCTCTCTGAAGAAAAGGTTTTAATGAGCTAATTTTCTAGTTACAAAGAAGCCTTAGTAACAGCTGAACAACAAAGAAAACTGCTCATTTGTTATTCAGAGTACTCAGTAGTGAAAAATATACTGAATTATATATATTTGTAACCTGCTATTTCCTTTTTTATTTTTTTTATTTTTGAGACAGGGTCTTACTCTGTCACCCAGGCTGGACACAATGGCAATGATCATAGCTCAAAGCAGCCTCAACTTCCTGGGCCCAAATAATCCCACCTCAGCCTCCCAAAGCTCTGGGATTACGGGTGTGAGCCACAGCACCCGGTTGCTATTTTCAAAAGTAAAATAATCTAGACCAAAGTGTTACCTAGCAGAAATCTTCCCTTGCTAAGATTAACCTACCAATACTTTGGCAACAAAAATTTTAACTTAAAACTCTCATATGTTCATATTATAATTTTCATTCTAAGTCTACAGACAGAAGTAAATAATTCTTCAAACATATGTTCAGTATGTTCTACGTGCCAAGCACTTGCTAGACACTAAGAAAACAATGAAAAAGATAAGCCTTCCCACCATAGGAAGATGAGGGGTCTTGAAAGCCTTCCTAGAGAAAATGATACTTGAGCTGGGGCTTGAGGTATGTGTGCCTGGCAGAAAAGAGAAAACATGGGGCCACCTGACGGCAGGGGCGACATAGTAGGGTAAAGGTACTACTAACAAAGGAACATCCAAAAGCTCTTCGGGTGGGATATCACTAAGAAAAGAGTACTGGGCAAGGGCCAGATGGGTAAGCATGTAAATACCAGTAAAGGTTTGGGCTATTCTGTAGAATAGTGGGAAATCATCAAAAGGTTCTATTTGGAGAATCATGTGATGGGATGAAAATATGAATAATAGGTTAGAAAGAAACAGACTGAAGAAGGAGACTCAATAACTATGTGGGAGATGAAGGCTCAAATTAAGCTAACGATAAAGGTAGAGAAAGAAGCCAAAGACCGGACCAGTATTTAGGTAGGACTGATGCTCTTCATTGATTACCTGAACATACATGAAATGGCAAAGAGATAGAATTGGCTAATTCCTAGGACGCTGGCCTAGGTGACCAGAGGTGCTGGCACAGAATATACTTCCTACCATCACCCTTTCCTTTCTTTCGATGTCACATTCTCTTGCAAATCCACCAATCAAAATATAAACAAGACAGGTTGCAGTGACTCACACCTGTAATCCCAGCACTTTGGGAGGCTGAGGCAGGCGGATCACTCAAGGTCAGGAGCTTGAGACCAACCTGCCAACATGGCAAAACCCTCTCTCTACTAAAAATACAAAAATTAGCCAGGCATGGTGGCATGCACCTGTCATCCCAGCTACTTGGGAGGCTGAGGTAGGAAAATCGCTTAAACCCAGAAGGTAGAGGTTGCACTGAGCCAAGATCATGTCACTGCACTCCAGCCTGGGTGGACAGAACAAGGCTCCGTCTCAAAAAAAATAAAAATAAAAATAAAATACATATATGAACAAGATGTTCCTGAAAACTTCTCTAGTAGAGTCCAACAATCACTTTTCTTTATGCATTATTCTTCTGAAATTAGAAACATTTACAAATATTTTTAGAACTTATAAATTGATAGAGTAATATCAAATTGAACTGTTAAAAATAGTCTGTTTAGAGACTAAACAAACAGTCTGAAATTTACTATGATGCAAGTCAACTTTTCTCAGGAAGTCAACTTTAAAATTAACACTTTGGGGCAGTTTTTTCTCCCTCCCACTAACTTTCTAAAGAAAAGAAATGGTCCCTCTATCTCTTAAGCCACACTTGGCTTAATTCCAGCTAGTGAAGACTGCTGCCACACAAGAAATAAGAGGGAGGTGTACTTTTGTCATTACTCTATTACTCCTTGCCTACAGTGCTGAAACAGGTAAGCTCATTCATTTAAAAAAGCTAAAGAGGCAGGGAGGGCCTTTCAAAAGAGCATGGTGGGACAGAAAAAGCCTTGGGGAGTACACATGAGAAAGCCTGGGTTCTAGGCCCACTGTACTCTCCTACTCCCCTCTGGGAGCCGCCTATTACAATTCTGAAACTGCACAGGTATATGCATAAAACATACATAAAAAAGAAAAGATGAGGCCAGGCATGGGGGCTCAAACCTGTAATCTCAATACTTTGGGAGGCTGGGGCAGGAGGATTGCTTGAAGCCAGGAGTTCAATACCAGCCTGAGCAACATATGGAGATATGGAGACCCTGTCTGTTAGAAAAGAAGGAATAAAAGAAAAGAGGCCAGATGCAGTAGCATTTTGGAAGGCCAAGGCAAGTGGATCACTTGAGCCCAGGAGTTCAAGACCAGCCTGGTCAACATGATGAAACCCTGTCTCTACCAAAAATACAAATGTCAGCTGGGTGTGGTGGCCTACATCTGTAATCCCAGTTACTCGGGAGGCTGAGGCAGGAGAATTGCTTCAACCTGGGAGGCAGAGGTTGCAGTGAGCCGAGATGGTACTGCAGCATTCCAGCCTCAGAGACAAAGCAAAACTCCATCTCGAAAAAAGAAAAAGAAAAGAAAAGAGGAAGGAGAGGAGGGAAAGGGAGAAAAGAGAAGAGGCAGAAGAAGAAAAATGAAAGAAAAATAAAAGAAAAAAAGAAAGATGACTTCTATAGTTGCCATGAGTTAAAAACAATCTTCACTGTAGAAGATAAGTCTAATATTAAAACGGATTTCAGATTTGGTTTTCTTCATAGAATGAACAACAAACCAAATGTATAAATGTTAATACAGAAAGAAGAGGTGTAAAAGGAGTTTTCAAGTTTTGCTAATGTGCACCAAGAAACATCATACTGATTTCCCAGTGAAGCAACCACAGAACTTAATATTGTAAGACAAGGCTCATTAAAAAATTAAATCAATTAATAAGTATCATCAAATCCAATGTATTTGAAAAATTCATACAAAAAAATACATTTTATAAAACTTTTTTAAAAACTATCAAATCTCGGCCGGGCGCGGTGGTTCAAGCCTGTAATCCCAGCACTTTGGGAGGCCGAGGCGGGTGGATCACGAAGTCGAAAGATCGAGACCATCCTGGTCAACATGGTGAAACCCCGTCTCTACTAAAAATACAAAAAGCTAGCTGGGCGCGGTGGTGCATGCCTGTAATCCCAGCTACTTAGGAGGCTGAGGCAGGAGAATTGCCTGAGCCCAGGAGGCGGAGGTTGCCTGAGCCGAGATCGCGCCATTGCACTCCAGCCTGGGTAACAAGAGCGAAACTCCGTCTCAAAAAAAAAAAAAAAAAAAAAAAAAAAACTATCAAATCTCCATTGTTATCACTGCTAATCCCTATTTATTTTATCTCTGAGGTCACAGTCACAAACTGGCCATGGAGCCCATGAGCCCACAAAAGTATTTTGTAGCTATGCAAAGGATTTTTTTTTTTTAAACAAATCATAGATTTTACATAAAACCCTGTATTTTGGGCTTTTCTTAAACAATGGAGCAACTGTATGTCCTGGGCCACAGCCCCCATCTTAGGCATGGTCACCTCCATCCGTTCCTTTACTGGATTTATCTTCATGTAGACTTTGTGGCCATACAATAAATTGGACTAGTGTTGAAACCAGCCAAGAAAATAATATTAATTGCCCATATTTTTACCTGCCCATGATACTTATCATTAGCATAAATATGTTTCTAATGATTCTCAGTTACCTACCTGATACATGTGTATCTGAATCCAAGGTCATTCCTATAAATGTTTGTTTATTCAGCTTTTATTTTAAGTTCAGGGGTACACATGAATAAATATTTATTAATTCACAATTGCTTTACTTAAGGTCAATTTCCTTTAGGCTCTGGGCTACTATAAAGTTACAGACTGTGTAAGATAGACCGACACATGAATTCTGTAGTGAACAGAGCAAACAAATCTAAACAACAATCCTAACTTTTAGATGATGATCACCTTTAGCTAAAAGCCTATTCTATCACACACAGTATAAAGCATATTATCATTTTTTGCACTGTGGACTTCTGGAAGCCCACTGTTAGACAGCTCTGTTGAAACACTTTCTTCATATTGAGGTAAAATCAGTTTCCTTTTAACTGCTAGTTCCTGGGCCATGTTCTGGCCAAAACTAACTTTGTTATTACAAAAATAATTCATAGAATTCATGCCTGGTTGTTCCGAATCCATGGATATTTTTAATTAAGAGTATGAAAGTAAACCTAAAAAAGCAAAGTCTATCTAAAGGTCAAAATCTACTCTGAACTTGGTTTTTCTTTTTGACTGAGTTTTGCTGTGCTGTCCAGGCCAGAGTGAATGGTGAGATCTCAGCTCACAACAACCTCCACCTCCCAGGTTCAAGTGATTTCCCCACCTCAGCTTCCCGAGTAGCTGGGACTACAAGGGCACACTACCACGCCTGGCTAATTTTTGTATTTTTAGGAGAAGACAAGGTTTCACCATGTTGGCCAGGCTGGTCTCAAACTCCTGACCTCAAGTGATCAACCTGCATCAGCCTCCCAAAGCACTGGGATTACAAGCGTAAGCCACCATACCCAGCCTTGAGCTTTTTAACAATTTCAAACCATAGCCCAACTATCAACTGTGAACTAATGCTGACAAGAAACTTCATTCCACATGCAATGACCTTTCTTTACTGAAATGTTATCGGTAGTCAGCATTAAACATCCTTTATTAAAGGAAAAATTACAGAATGGTTGTTTTACATTATATGCTACCAAACATGCATGTCAGTATTCATATAAAAGGAGACTCAGCTGACAAAGTTTTACTGATTATTTATGTAATATATAATGTAAAATGAAATATTATATAATTTAAGGCACAAATGTAAACTTTTCTTTCAATTGATAAGAAAAAAAACACCAAGCTCAGTCGGCCAAAGCTTATGAACATTAAAAATTATAAGAGAAATCAGCTTTTAATAAAATTATAATTATACCAGAACACCTTCAAAACTAAAAAGGGCAGAGTCAAGTGGGTTTAAAGGCCTATGCTGCCAGAGATGGTATGAGCTTACCCGATTCTCATCATAAATAATTTGGACAATACTGCGATGTTTCTGCTCCACAGGAGGAGGGGACACGGGCTTCTCAGGCTCGGGAGGTTTAGCTGCCTCTTCTTCAAGTTGTTGCTAAGAGATCCAGAAGGAAAGAGTCAAATATGTGCTGCACACCACCCCCACCAGTGATTAACTGCCGAAGGTAATACAGGCTACTAAACTTTGCTTACAGATTCTGTAGGATAACTAATTAATCCACGAGAGTCTCACGGACCAAGAGCTCAAAGAAAATCAATCAGGTTTATTTCACATCACAAATTTTCATAAGACAGAGTTTAAAAAAAAAAAAAACTAAGAGGAAGCATTCTTTAAGATTTTAATTCAGATTAACCTAAAGTAAAACAATAAGTTAAATTTAATGAAGGTACTCTATATACCTCTATCACAATGACCTTTGACAGTACTGAAAAAACATTTTTCTATGTTACAGATACACGGTATACTTTACTGTCTGGTGGGCAGAATATGGAGAAATGAGTTCAACGGTCAATCCTTAACTCAGCACAGCACCATGCCACCCTCAATACCTAACCTTCATGTGTTACAGTGCTCCAGCCAAAGGGCACTCAACAAAACTACAAAAATACAGACTGTTACTGCGTGCAAGTATAAAGCAAAAAGCTATCTGTATTAGCTTGCCTGAGTTTGAGCCTCAGGGTCACCCTTTACAGGTGGTGTGATCCTAGGACCCTTTCTGGATCCTTAGGTCAATCTTAAGCAAACCACTAAACTATTCATAAAGTAGGGGTAATAATACTACTATCATACAACTTTTTGAAAAGACTAAATGACTTTATATATATATAAAACATATTACAACTATAAATTGCATATATTACCAAGTATTACTATTGAAGCAAGCAGGGACTTATCTGATTTTTTTCAACACCTAAACCACTGCCAGTGCCTGATACCTAGTAACTGCTTTAAAAATATCCACATGAGGCCAGGTACAGTGGCTGACTGCTGTGGTCCCAGCACTTTGGGAAGCCGAGGCAGGTGGATCACCTGGGGTCGGGAGTTTGGGACCAGCCTGATCGGCATGGAGAAACCCCATCTCTACTAAAAATACAAAACTGGCTGGGCATGGTGGCACATGCCTGCAATCCCAGCTGCTGAGGCCACCCTCAGCAAGGTGATGGAGGGGTGCTGAGACTGGCGAATTGTTTGAGCCCGGCAGGCAGATGTTGCAGTGCACTGAGATCACACCACTGCACTCCAGCCTGAATGGTGGCAACAAAACTCCATCTCAAAAAACAAAAAATCCACATGAATAAATACAGCATAAGTCCACTGCCTAAGATGATAAAAGGAAAATTAGGTAAAGGCAAATTAAGGTTAAGTCTAGTAAAGCCTATAGGAAAAAATCATCTGTACAGCTAAATAAGACTGATAGTCAAAGCTCCCAGTCCTATAAATCAGATCATGCCCAAATGAAAGCATGGAGTCTCTGAGCCTACTGTGGCTCAGGAGGCTGCCCGATTGGAAAAAAATAAAAAATAGCCGGGCGCGGTGGCTCAAGCCTGTAATCCCAGCACTTTGGGAGGCCGAGGCGGGTGGATCACGAGGTCGATAGATTGAGACCATCCTGGTCAACATGGTGAAACCCCGTCTCTACTAAAGATACAAAAAATTAGCTGGGCATGGTGGCACGTGCCTGTAATCCCAGCTACTCAGGAGGCTGAGGCAGGAGAATTGCCTGAACCCAGGAGGCGGAGGTTGCGGTGAGCCGAGATTGCGCCATTGCACTCCAGCCTGGGTAACAAGAGCAAAACTCCGTCTCAAAAAAAATAAAATAAAAAAATAAAAATAAAAAATAAAAAATAAAAAAAATCCACCAAGAGAGTCTAAACTGTTAGGAACACTTCCACTTTGGAATTGCAAGCACTCTTGTAGTCTGTTATCTGTATAAGCAAAAGAAAGATATTTGAAATTCTTAAATCCTTCTTATGATAAAGGGTTCTCCAATGATGCCCTTTCGTTCAGGCTTAGAGGGCCTTCTTGTATAATCCTGGTTAAGGAATAAACAAATCACACTTTGTAGTACCCAAAAAGCCTTGGGACAACAACATTACACCTTAAAGGCTAAAAGCAAATACACTCTCTCTCTCCTCTCACCTGTTTGTTTGTTTGTTTGTTCTTGGAATTACTGGCACCCGCCACCATACCAGGCAAATTTTTTGTCTTTTTAGTAGAGACAGGGTTTTGCCATGTTTTAGTCTCGAACTCCTGACCTCAGGTGATCCGGCCAGCCTCCGCCTCCCAAAGTGCTGGGATTACAAGCATTGAGCCACCACGCCCGGCCCTGTCTGTTCTTTTACATTAACTTTACAATGTACTTGCCATGTTTCAAAAATAAATTTAGTTGGAATTTTATTGTAATTGTATGAGATGTGATTTAGTGCAAGATGAACACACAACATTATTACTAATGTTTCCATCCAGCTACAACAGGTTTCTTTGTTTTCTCTAGTTGTCTTTTACATATCTCTCGTTAAATTTGTAGCTCTGGTACATTTCATAATAATCATATATTATATTTCATTATTTCTAATTATAATGCATTACATGTACATTTACTATGTACCAGATAGTATGCAATATATTCATTATCTCAATTTATAAGACAATCATGTGATTTAGTTGGTGTTATTACTAGATTATTACCATTATACAAGTAAAGAAACTAAAGCCAAAAGAAAGAAAAGAAAAAGAGACTCAGCAAAATCAAACCAATAAAGACTTAACTAGACTTGTTGGGCATATAATAAAAATTTAATATGATTCAATGAAAGCAAAGAAGCATTTTAAAAACTGACCAGGAAGACTTGAAAAGGAGCCAAATAGAAGAAACTGAAGACAGATTTGACAGATTACATATAATTGAAAAGGAAAATGTAAACTAGAAGACAGGCGGAAGAGATTGCTCAGAATGAAGCCCAAAGAAGTAAAAAATGAGAAAGAGAAACAATTAAGAGATATGGAAGACAAGAGTGGTAAGATGTTACAACTAACAGGAATTTCCTAAGTAGAGAAAGAAAATGTTAGGTTTTATAAAAAAAGATAATGGCTCGGAATGTTCCCAAAGTGACAAAAAAACTCTACCCTTCAAATTCAGGAAGCTCAAGTTGGATAGATTTAAAAGGGGCAAAAAAAAAAAAAAAAAAAACACCTAAATGCATCATCATAAAAATAATGGAACCCCAAGGAAAATAATGTATTGAAAACAACCAGAGGGAAAATTCACACTAGCCATGAAAGAATACGGATTTAGAACAACAGCTAATGTCTTAAAAATGGAAGTGAGAAGACAATGTACTAAGAAAAAATAATCACATACCAAATTAATTTTTTTTTTTTTTTTTTTTTTGAGACGGAGTTTCCCTCTGGTTACCCAGGCTGGAGTGCAATGGCGCGATCTCGGCTCACTGCAACCTCCGCCTCCTGGGCTCAGGCAATTCTCCTGCCTCAGCCTCCTAAGTAGCTGGGATTACAGGCATGCGCCACCAAGCCCAGCTAGTTTTTTGTATTTTTAGTAGAGACAGGGTTTCACCATGTTGACCAGGATGGTCTCGATCTCTCGACCTCATGATCCACCCGCCTCGGCCTCCCAAAGTGCTGGGATTACAGGCTTGAGCCACCGCGCCTGGCACCAAATTAATTTTTTAAGACAGAGTTTCACTCTGTCGCCCAGACTGGAGTGCAGTGGCACAATCTCAGCTCACTGCAACCTCTGCTTCTCGGGTTCAAGTGATTCTCCTGTCTCAGCCTCCTGAGTAGCTGGGACTACAGGCATGGGCCACCACGCCTAGGTAATTTTTTGTATTTTCAGTAGAGACAGGGTTTCACCATGTTAACCAGGATGGTCTCAATCTCCTGACCTCATGATCTGCCCACCTCTGCCTCCCAAAGTGCTGGGGTTACAGGCATGAGCCACCATGCCTGGGTAATATGCCTTTTTAATAAACAGGCCAAAAATAAGACAATATTTAAGTCATAAAAACCAAACAAATACTGAATTTGCCAACTAATAGACCTTCACTAAAGGAAATTCTAAGAGGTGTTCTTCAGTAGAAGGGTGTTTCCCTAGATGGAAGACTTGAGTTGCAAGAAGAAATAGTGAGCAAGTAAGAAGACAAAACAAACGTGGATAAATATAAATGAATACTGACTATATAACATGTAGCCTCCAATGGATTAAGAATCAGATGAGAAGCAAAACTATAAAACTTTTAAAAATAATACAGTAAAACAACCTTAATAACCCCAGGGGGGTTTCATATAAAACCCAAACAAATTCAGTTTAGCAATAAACACTATCAGGATCAAAGACCCAAATGTAAGAGGTCTACAAAATTTGTAGAAGAAAACATAGGTATAAATCTGTGACCATGAATCAGAGGCTCTTAAATACAGCACCAAATGCAAGAGTGACAAAAGAAAAAAACAAACTGAACTTCACAAAAATTCAAAATTTTTGTACATCACCCAGGACTTTGGGAGGTCAAGGCAGGTGGATCATGAGGTCAGAAGATCGAGACCATCCTGGCCAACATGGTGAAACCCCATCTCTACTAAAAATACAAAAATTAGCTGGGTGTGGTGGCACATGCCTGTAGTCCCAGCTACTTGGGTGGCTGAGGCAGGAGAATTACTTGAACCGGGAGGCAGAGGTTGCAATGAGCCAAGATTGCGCCACTGCACTCCAGCCTGGCAACAGAGCAAGAGTCCATCTCAAAAGAAAAAAACAGGCCGGGCGCGGTGGCTCAAGCCTGTAATCCCAGCACTTTGGGAGGCCGAGGCGGATGGATCATGAGGTCAAGAGATCAAGACCATCCTGGTCAACATGGTGAAACCCCGTCTCTACTAAAAATACAAAAAATTAGCTGGGCATGGTGGCGCGTGCCTGTAATCCCAGCTACTCAGGAGGCTGAGGCAGGAGAATTGCCTGAACCCAGGAGGCGGAGGTTGCAGTGAGCCGAGATCGCGCCATTGCACTCCATCCTGGATAACAAGAGTGAAACTCCGTCTCAAAAAAAAAAAAAAAAAAAGAAAACAAAACAAAACAAAACAAAACTTTTGTCCATCAAATGATACTATCAGGAAAGTGAAAAGAACCCACAAAATGAGAGAGAATATCTAGTAAGTCATGTATCTGATGATGGACTAATATCCAGAACATATAAAGAATTCTTAGAACATCCACTTAGATTTCAGAGGATAAAGAAAAAAAAAAATTCTTAGAATGATAAAAAGACAACCCAATTAAATAATGAGCAAACAGTCTAAATAAACATTTCTCGAAAAAAGATATTCAGATGGCCAATCAGCACATGAAAAGATGCTCAACATCATTAGTCATTAAGGATATGCAAGTGAAAACCACAACTAGATACCACTTCACATCTACAAGGATGGCTGTGTTTTTTTAAAAAGGAAAACAGCAGATGCTGACAAGGAGGTAGGAAAAAATGGAATCACCATACACTGCTGTTGAGAATGTAAAATGGTACAGAGGCTCTGGAAAACAGTTTTGAAGTTTTTCGAAAATTTAAACATAGATTCACCATATGTCCACTCCTAGATAAAAGAAAATTGTAAAAATATGTCCACAGGAAAATGAGACATGACTCTCATCACAGTATATTATTAATCATAGTCAAAAAATGAGCAAAACTCAAATATCCATCAACTAATGAATGATAAACAAAACATAGTATACTCATGCAACGGAATTCAGGCATAAAAACTAATGAAGTGCTGAGACAAGATTCAACATGGATGTACTGGGACCACATGCTAAAATGAAACCAAACACAAAAGGTCACATATGATTCTATTTTTTCTGATATCCAGCACAGGCAAATCCATAGAGACAGAGAATGGACTACTGGTTGCCAGGGGCTGGGAAAAGGGGGAAATGGGGAGTAACTACTGGAGTTTCTTTTTAAAATGATAAAAATTTTCTGGAATTAGAGTGTGGTGATAGCTGCGCAATTTTACGAATACATTAAAAGCGCTTAAAGCTGGGCATGGTGACATGCACCTGTAGTCCCAACTACTCGGGAGGCTGACACAGGAGAACTGTTTGAACCTGGGAGGCAGAGGCTGCAGTGAGCCAAGATCGTGCCACTGTACCCCAGCCTGGGTGACACAGTGAGACTCCAAATCCAAAAAAAAGAAAAAAAAATGCACTTAGTGTACAATGAGAGTGAATACTAGGCTAAAAGTGAAATGACAAACCACAAACTAGGCAATATCTGCTATACACATATCTGACAAGAGACTTCAGGAAATCCTAAAAATTTTAATGACAAAATAGGAGAATATAGATGCAAGACTTAAACAAAGGACATAAGGAACCCAAATAACTGATAAACAAATGAAAATAAGCTCAGTCTCCTCCCTAATCAAGGAAATACAAATTGAAACCACAGTGAAAACTATTTCATATCCAACTTTAAAAACTGTATCAAGTAAAGGCAAGAATGTGCACAAACCAGTACTCACATAAGCTGCCAGTGGGAATGTAAAACGGTATTACTTCTTAGCAAATTTGGTATCATCTATTAAATAGTTCACTGTGTATAATCTTGGGCCAAGCACTGCAATTCCTGGGCACATGCCCTAGAAAATCTCTACACGTGAACTAAAAACCAGTAACATTGTATGGAATAGAAAAAAACAACATCAAAAATAGAATGGACAAACAAATTTCACTCTCTACAATTATATAATCAGAGAGTGCAGCAGGGAAAATGAATGAATATAAGAAAACCACAATAATAGCAAAAAAACAGCAAGTCATAGAATATATAAGACATGATTCCTTTTATGTTAAGTTTCAAAATATGGAAAACTCAAAATTATCTTCTGTAGGAAGACAAACATACATTCTTAGAATATATTAAGCAAAGGCATTTACTTGTTTCTTTTTCAGTTTAAGGATCTGCTGTTCTACTTTTGCAATTTCTCGATCTACACGATCCATACTCTGTATTAACTCTTCCTTTGAAAGTTTTGAAGGTGAAGCATTTTGATCATCTCCACATGGTTGCCCCGAAATTGGAGAGGATGGAGCGTCATGTTTGCCTCCGAATGCTGGATCCTTTAAAGAATAAAACCAAGAAAAACAATTTATTTCGAATAGAGTCCAGATTGCCTTAAATGAAAAAGTCAGTTTTAAACCACAGCAGAGCCATGTGTACTCTTTTAGTAGTAACTTTCATATTCACATACATGCAAATTTATACCTCATTTTTACGGTTTGATATACCATTTACTATTTTGAAGACCCTAAAAGCTATACAAAGTGAAGTAAGTGGGTGTTGATCAGCCTCTAGTGTCACAATTACTGAGTGTAGAGAATCTCTGGGTAAACAGTACAATCATGACAAAGAAAGATACCAATTTCTCAGCCATTTTCTTGCAATGGCTCCTCAAAAAGTCTCAACAAGTGGCTGGGAAACAGTATCATTCCAGGTAAAACCTGTGTGACCACATAACTTAACAACTAGAATATGGTCAGGAGTTCCTATCAAAAAGTTCTCAGGCTTTCCAAACGAAAACTGAGGTACACACACAAGTCAGAGAAGTGACCTAGGAACTTCAGTTGCTACTATCTCTGGGCCTGCTTTCATACAACCCACACTACAGCATAAGTAACATTTCTGTAGCCAAAAGCATCCCATTGTACCTCCAAATCAGCAGAGAGCCCGAACAGAATGAAAGCCCCTCCACCCAAAATCCACTACCCTCCAACACATATACACACACACCCTATTAATTTCCAGTTTGCTGTTAAGATATGAGCAATATTGGGAGAAGGATGTGAGGCTGGGGAAAAAAAAGATATAAGCAATATTATAACACATAAATTTTAGATTAAGGCACTAGTTTCTCTTAGACTATGAGAAACCTACAGTAAGTGTAGTTCACAGGATTACAGAACCCTAAAATGTACTAAATAATGATTAAGGAACTGTGAAAAGTCAGTAGGTCTGCGCCACGAATGCATACAGGAGGTAACAGGACAGCTGCTTCAAAACACCTTTAAATACAGATATTTCAGCTAATACAGATTGATGAAAAGCCTTATATTCTTTAATAGTATACACTGAATCAAAGAGGTTTTCTGGGAAAATAAGATTATGGCTATACCCTAAAACCTGTACAATTCTGTAAGGAAAGCACCAACAAAATCAATAACAATTCTAATACACTTCATACAGTTAAAAAGCTCCAGTATCATTTGCATCTGGCAAACAGTCAATCTTTGGCTGCCTTAAGCCCTACAGATTGCTCTCTTAAGATGTAAATCGTTGAGGTCATTGGCTTCCAAAATAAACCAGTATGTTTCTTTTTAATAAAAAATCAGATTTGGCATATAACCACCTTTATCAACCTTTTTTTCCTCCCCCTCCCTCCATTATCAACATTAAAAAAAATACCGGAAAATTTGTCTTCATACTGTCTTTTCAATGCTCGAATCTTCACTAACACCATGAAAAGCACAATGGTTCTTAAATTCACTAAACCAGCTACTATCTGCACTAAATGAAAAAAATATTTGAACATTCTGCATTTAGTTAAGTCTTCATGTGTTGGGATGCCTTTTGCTTTCATGATAAGAAAGTGTGCTCCTGAGAACTCTGAAACATTAATGCATAAAGAAAAATCTTGGGCCGGGCATGATGGTTCACATCTGTAATTCCAGCATTTAGAGAGGCTGAAGAGGGAGGATCACGAGGTCAGGAGGTCGAAACCAGCCTGACCAACATGGAGAAACCCCATCTCTACTAAAAATACAAAATTAGCTGGGCATCATGGCTCATACCTGTAATCCCAGCTACTCAGGAGGCTGAGGCAGGAGAATTGCTTGAACCCCGGAGGCAGAGGTTGCAGTGAGCCAAGATTATGCCACTGCACTCCTGCCCAGGCAACAGTAAGAGACTCGATCTCAATAAAAAAAATAAAAAAGAAAACTCTTTAGTGACCTACCAGGACTTTCATGTTACATTAATATCACTTACCCACTGTATGCATATGACCGAATTTGTGTTACAGAAACATATGTAACATATTTTGATTCAGTAGGCTTCAAAAATGCTCCTCAGGTAGTTCTGATGCATGCCCAAATAACAGTACAAAAATCAACATTTTCCACCAGCTTCCTTTCTAAATATTAAATATTTAACAAGAAACCGAATCCTCAAAAAAAAAACAAAAACAAAAAAAGCCAAGTAACAGCAAACATTTATAAGAGGCTCATTAGTAAATCACAAAAAAGCCTCAAGTTAAAAAAAAAAGATTCACATTGTTTTGGGTTCAGGAAAAGACAAAAGCAAAAGATATAAGAGACATTAGTTTAAAAAAAAGAGAGAGCGAGAGATTGATGGATCAAAATTTTAAAACACAATTGGGAAAATAAATAAATAAAACACAATAGGTCGGGCGTGGTGGCTCATGCCTGTAATCCCAGCACTTTAGGAGGACGAAGCAGGCAAATCATGAGATCAGGAGATTTGAGACCATCCTGGCCATCATGGGGAAACTAAAAATACAAAAACGTGTCTACTAAAAATACAAAAATTAGCTGGACATGGTGGGGCACGCCTGTAGGCCCAGCTACTTGGGAGGCTGAGGTGGGAGAATTGCTTGAACCCAGGAGGCAGAGGTTGAGCCCAGCAAGCCATGATCGTGCCACTGCCCTCCACCCTGGCAACAGAGCGATACTCCATCTCAAAAAAAAGAAACACACACACAAAAAAGACACAATCATCTGCTTCTGAAAACAGTAATAACAAATTAAAAAGGCAAATCAAATAGAAAAACCATTTGCAAAGCAGGCAGTCTAAGAACTCAATATAAAATAAGCCAACAGAAAAATGGGCAACATACATGAAAAAGCAATTTACAAAACAGGAAAGATGCATAACCAATAACATGAAAAAATGTTAAATTTTACTAACAAGTGCAAGTTAAAAACCATCATTCAGCCAGGTGCGGTGGCTCACACCTATAATCCCAGCATTTTGGGAGGCCGAGGCGGACGGATCACAAGATCAAGAGATCAAGACCATCCTGGCCAACATGGTGAAATCCCGTCTCTACTAAAATACAAAATTAGCTAGCTGGGCATGGTGATGCATGCCTGTAGTCCCAGCTACTCAGGAGGCTGAGGCAGGAGAACTGCTTGAACCCAGAGGTGGAGGTTGCAGTGAGCTGAGATCACGCCACTGCACTCTAGCCTGGCACCTGACAACATAGCAAGACTGTCTCAAAAAAAAAAACAAACAAACAAACAAAAAAAAAACCTTCATTCATCAAATTAACAATCTTTTTTTAAACCATAAATATGTGGTGTCATCAGGGATACATAAGAAGTAGGTACCTTTATACACTGCTGTCAGGAGTTAAGAAATGGCCAAATCTTTTGCAGGACAATCTGGAAATACCCACTGAAAGCCTTAAAAATCAACTCTGGCCTGTAATTAATTATACTGTAAGAAATCTACCTTATAGAAATAATAAGAATGTATACCAAAAAATCAGTCTAAACAATGTATGGGCCATTTGCAGTGGCTTTACGCCTGTAATCCCAGCACTTTGGGAGGTTGAGGCAGGCAGATCACCTGAGGTCAGGAGTTCGAGTGAAATGTTGTTTCCACTAGAAATACAAAAATTAGCCGAACATGGTGGCATGTGCCTGTAGTCCTAGCTACTCGGGAGGCTGAGGCAGGAGAATCGCTTGAACCTGAGAGGCGTACACTGCAGCGAGCCAAGATCACACCACTACACTCAAACCTGGGCAACAAAGTGAAACTCCATCTCAAAAAAAACTAAAACAAAAACAAATAACATGTCACAACACTGTACATCTGAACAAACAGGTAACCTAAATGTATGATGACTGATTAAATAAATAACTTTATATTCACATGTGGAATACTAAATAGCCACTAACAATACAGTTGTAAACTTACTGGCACAAAAAGAAGCTAATCATATATGTAAGCAAAAGTAAAGTTAAATGGAATGTATATAGTGACCACATTAAAATCTTCATACAGGCTGACTCTGGACACACTGCCTATGGGTTAGCCCTGTTCCATAAGGAGCAGCAAAGAAAAACCCATAAAATTAAATAAAATTAAAATTAAAATAACATACATACAAATAGGGAAGAATCAACATGAAAATGTTAATGATTTTTAAGTGGTAAAACTGTAGGTATTTTTTTGTTTCAAGCTTATTTAACTCTTCTATAAATGATATGCCTAGGCTTAACATTTAAAAAAACAAAAACTGAGCAAATGTTAGTTCTTTTAAAATCCTTACTTCTGGAGATGGGCGGTTGGGAGAGAATGGGGAGAGGGAGACAGAAGTATTAATTAGTAGTAGTAGTCATGGTTTACACTTTAAGGGGGAAAAAAGCAGGACTAGAGTCAGGGGTCCTGGGCTAATTCCTACTCAGGAGGTTCTACCTAGGTCACTTTAATTTTTTTTAACATCCAGTTTCTCAGCTGTAACATGGAAATGGGTCACACTACAACACAACATGTTCCATTTTAATGAATGAGTTAAGATATTTTTCTGCTAAAAAAATATCTATAGTTCTAAATTACATTTGTGGTAATATATTCAGTGACAGAAGATGACCTTTATTCACTGTATTTCTTTTTTTTTAATGCAGCAAAACATTTCTTATAAACTCCACAGACTGGCCGGGCGCAGTGGCTCAAGCCTGTAATCCCAGCACTTTGGGAGGCCGAGGCGGGTGGATCACGACGTCAAGAGATCGAGACCATCCTGGTCAACATAGTGAAACCCCGTCTCTACTAAAAATACAAAAAATTAGCTGGGCATGGTGACGCGTGCCTGTAATCCCACCAGCTACTCAGGAGGCTGAGGCAGGAGAATTGCTTGAACCCAGGAGGCGGAGGTTGCGGTGAGCCGAGATCATGCCATTGCACTCCAGCCTGGGTAACAAGAGCAAAACTCCGTCTCAAAAAATAAATAAATAAATAAATAAACTCCACAGACTACTATATGATAAAGATATTTCCACATAAGGTGAGTCACAAAACACCTAGAAGCTTAACTAATTTCTAGCTTATGGCACAGAGTTTTTCCCCACCCAACTTACTATTTTGAAAAATTTCAAACTTACTTACAAGTTGAAGGAACAGTATAATGAACACTTATTTATCCTTCATCTATCAAGCATCCCCAAACTTTTTACACAGGGGGCCAGTTCACTGTCCCTCAGACCGTTGGAGGGCTGCACATACTGTGCTCCTCTCACTGACCACCAATGAAAGAGGTGCCCCTTCCTGAAGTGCGGCGGGGGGCCGGATAAATGGCCTCAGGGGGCCGCATGCGGCCAGCGGGCCATAGTTTGGGGACGCCTGATCTAGATTCACCAGTGGTTAACATTTTGACATATTTGCTTTCTTTGTGTGTGTGTGTACACACACACACACACACACACACACACACACACACACCCCACTTCATTTTGGCTGAACTATATGAAAATAAATTGTAGAAACATTTGCTATCTTTTAAATCACTCTTCATTGCATGAAAACTCAAAGAATATTTGCGGGTACTTACTTATCTGATAACAGAGAAGAAAGAGCAATTAGGCATAAAGGTTAATAAACATTATAAAAAAAGATCTGATGACAGTAAAAAAATTTTTTAACTTCAGTATGCTTTAAAAAAACTGAAACAAAAAGGCACTGGGAAAAATATTAATATGTTAGTAAAAAGGTTAACAATTTACTGTTAAGAGTTTTTAATATTAGTTTATTCTTTCTACAATAAAGATTTATTCAGTATCTACTAAGTATCACACACTTCCTAATCTGCAGATTTAATAATAAGCAAAGCAGACAACTGTAAAAGGCAAACATAGCAACAAAACAAGAACATAATACATGAGCAAACATTTCACAAAAGATGGGTAAATAAACAAGGGCAAAAATGGTTTGATCTTAATAGAACTCTCATTGTTTCAAATATCACAAAATATAAATATTAAAACTTCTTATCTCTGTACAGCATGGTGATTATAACCAATAATACGTACCATATACTTAAAAATTGCTAAGAGAGTGGATTTTATTTATTTTTATTTTTATTTTTTTTTGAGACGGAGTTTCGCTCTTGTTACCCAGGCTGGAGTGCAATGGCGCGATCTCGGCTCACCGCAACCTCCGCCTCCTGGGCTCAGGCAATTCTCCTGCCTCAGCCTCCCGAGTAGCTGGGATTAGAGGCACGCGCCACCATGCCCAGCTAATTTTTTTGTATTTTTAGTAGAGACGGGGTTTCACCATGTTGACCAGGATGGTCTCGATCTCTTGACCTTGTGATCCACCCGCCTCGGCCTCCCAAAGTGCTGGGATTACAGGCTTGAGCCACCGTGCCCGGCCGAGAGTGGATTTTAAATGTTACCACCAAAAAAAAAAAAAAAAACACTATGTGAGGTGATGAATATGTTAATTAACTTGATATGTTTCCCAATGTATAATATCAAAATATCACACTGTATAAATATCATAAATATATACAATTTTTATTCCACAATAAAACTGGGGGAGGGTTGTTATCTCCAAGTTACAGGATTACAGCTAACTTTTTTCTGTTTATTTTCCAAGCTTTCTATAAGTATGCATTACTTATATAAATTAGGAAAAATTTTATTTTGTATAAAACTTACAAGCACAATTTAACCTTATCTAGATGTGTTTTTTCCCATATAGCAGTTAATAAACTGCTACTAAATTTAAGAGGCTTATTTAAAATTTAATTAAGATTTAACAAAACTAGTAGTCTCGAGTAACATTTTACAACCAGCAAGCCAGTAAAAAAAAAGCTTGAGCATTATTCGATAGAGATTCTTCTTTACGGGCGTAGCCTTTTTGGATTGTTTTCACTTACCAAAAAGGCAAAAGTGCTCACTTTAGCAGTCTGGAGCACTAAGTCTGTGGTTTCTAGTTTTGTTTAACAAAATTTTTACTTTCCCATAGCAATAACCTTTAGAGACTGGAGTAATTGGACTTTGAGGTGCTATGAGTGAACCTAACTAAGTAAACATTACAAACTTACAACTCTACAGGGTAAGAGAATAAACACTTACCTTCTTAGCATCTGCAGAAGACCTCAGCCCTTCTGGCAGTGGGTGCACTAAAGGCAAAACCGCAGCACTGACACGCTGAAAATGGGAATCAGAAACCTGTTCCAGACGTGGTCGCTTCGATTCCAGCGAATCATGATCCACTGGGGATGGGCCTGGATGAAACTGTTCATAACCAGTTCTCCTTTCTTGAGGCCTAATACATGCAAAGAAAATAAACACTTGAAAATTTGTAAGTGATATATAACTCCCTGCTAACAACCCTGGTTAGACTTTGAAATAATCAATGAAAAAGTCATGCTTATGTTCAAAGTGAACCCGTAACCCTTCTGTTCCCACCCCAGAAAAATATATACCTCACTATAGTACCATTAAACTTCTAATTTTTTTAAAAAGGTTTGATTAGCTGGCATGGTGGCAGCACCCGTAATCCCAGCTACTCCGGAGGTTGAGGCAGGAGAATCACTTGAACCTGGGAGAAAGAGGTTGCAGTGAGCCAAAATTGCACTGCTGCCCTCCAGCCCGGGCAACAGTGCAAGACTTGGTCTCACAAAAAAAAAAAAAAAAAAAAGAAAGAAAGTTTTGGGGGGAGGGTAAAAAACTAATCTAGAAGTGAAAGATGAAACAGAAGATTTTCAGAAAATTTAGTTGCTGAAGATTATCTATAAACTAATATTTGTAAATGTTAAAATGACATAATAATTAAATTTAGGATAATATAAACCAGAAGAGCCACCATTTTTCAACCAATAATAAAAACAAGCAGGAAATAAAAATCTCCCAGCTATTGCTACACAGAAAGAGAAATAACTTCAGTTATGAGGTACCACTCAGTCTCAAAGACAACTTTCTTGAAGAGAAATCCAACATTGGTTCTAAAACACTATCCTGGCCCCCAAAACATGTAAATACATGACTTGAAGATCAGAATCTTTTATTTCTTTACAGGAAGTGAGTCTTGCTCATGGGTGCTGTTAATTTGACTTTTCATTTTCTACCAGGTATTAACAGAGGTGATATTGTATCTCATGGCCAATCTGTAAACTAATGCTTTACAAAGCAGTATATTTCAATGAAAACAGAATCACTGGGTTTCATATTGAGGACAGACAATGAAATGAATGCCAAATTCTTTTTCTTTTTTGAAACCCAGTCTACCTCTGTTTCCAGGCTGGAGTGCAATGGTACCATCTCAGTTCACGGCAATCTCCACCTCCCGGATTCAAGCAATTATCCTGCCTCAGCCTCCTGTGTGGCTGGGATGACAGGCATGTGTCACCATGCCTGGCTAATTTTTGTAGAGACAAGGTCTTGTTACACTGCCTAGGCTGGTCTCAAACTCCTGAGTTCAAGTAATGTACCTGCCTCGGCCTCCCAAAGTGCTGAGATTATAGGCATGAGCCACCGCACCTGGCCTGAATGCTAAATTCTGTAAAATTATTGCACTTCAAAATTTTAAATCTCATCCAACACATAGAATCCCATTATCTTAAAATTCAGAGTGATGTCACAAAAAAATGGTGGGGTGGGAAACTTCAGGAACAAGACAAAGATGACTGCATTCACCATTTATATTCAATATGCTATTGGAAATTACTGTCAGAGCACTAGGAAAGAAAAATAAAAAGTATCCAAATTAAAAAGAAATAAGCATTTTTATTCAAGACAACATGATCTCATATGTAGCACCCTAAAGAATTGGCAAAAGAAAAAAACTATTAGAGCTAACAAATAAATACATCAAAGTTGCAGGATACAAAATCAACACACAAAATTTGTTTGTATTCTATATACTAACATTAAACAATCCAAACAGGAAACTAAAAAAAAAAAATACCGTTTATAAGAACACCCAAAAGAACACAGGAGTAAATTTGACCAAGGAGGCTTACTACTTTCAATACTGAAAACCACAAAACATTGCTCAAAGAAAAAAAGAGTTACTACATGGTAAGAAATCTCAAATTCTTATACTGGAAGACAATGTCATTAAAATGGCAATACTACACAAAGCAATCTATGGATTCAACATAATCTCTAATAAATGATACTGGCTTTTTTTTTTTTTTTGGCAGAAATAGAAAAATTCATCATAAAATTCACATGGAATCTCACGGGATTACAAACAACCAAACAATCTCAGGGAAAAAACAAAGTTGGAAAACTCACACTACCTTTCAAAGCTTACTACAAAGTTATTATAATCAAAAGGTTCATCCTCCACCAAGGCCCAGAGGTAATCTACCCAGGCAATGCCTTAGCCAGAGTTCAGCCCTCAGTACCCCCTCAGCTAGAACATAACCTACAAAAAGCATAATTTTCAAGTATTACATTTCATTGCCAGCAACTCTGCCTCTGAGATTTATCAGAGTTAGAAGGTGAAGCATACCCAGTGCTGGAGAAGAAACTAAGAAAGCCAAGGAACAGGACAATTAGCAAAACAGTAAGTATGGAATGCTCTTTTACTATCTAGTAATCAGACTACTTCCCATTTCAGCCTGCCAATCCTTTTTAGAAGAACGAACCTACTTAGTAATAAACATATAATTTAATGTGTAAAACCTCCAAAATTTGAATAAACTACAAAAATCTGTTGTAGTCATCTCATAACACCATCTAAATACAATTTTATATTAGGAGTTCTGGTAGAACAAAGCATGAAATCTGCAATTTAAATTATTGGTATTTGCCTTTTAAAACTAACACCAGGCCAGGTACGGGGGCTCACCACTGTAATCCCAGCACTTTGGGAGGTCAAGGTGGGCAGGTCATGAGGTCAAGAGATAGAGAACATCTTGGCCAACATGAAAATACAAAAATTAGTCTCTACTGAAAATACATAAAATAGCTGGGTGTGGTGGCACATGCCTGTAGTTCCAGCTACTTGGGAGGCTGAGGCAGGAGAATCGCTTGAACTCAGGAGGCAGTGGTTGCAGTGAGCCGAGATCGAATCACTGCACTCCAGCCTGTCGATGAGGCAAGACTGCGTCTCCAAAAAAAACAAAAAACAAAAAAAAAAACAAAAAAAACAAACTAACACCAGTAGAATGGCACAGCCACTTTGAAAACGATCTGGTAGTTTCTCAAACAGTTAAATATGGCTATATTACTATATGAATGAGCAATTCCACTCCTAGGTATCTTACCAACAAAAAGGAAAACATATGTCCACAAGAAAACTTGCACATGAATGTTCATAGCACAATTATTCATAATTGTCAAAAAGTAAAAATTATCCAAACACCCATCAGCTGATGAAAATAGATAAATGAAATGGGGTATATATTAAAAAACAACAACAACAACAACTCATTTTCATATAAAGAAATCTCTGTAGGGCTGGATGCAGTGGCTCAAGCCTGTAATCCCAAGACGTTGGGAGGCAGAGGCAGGTGGATCACTTGAGGTCAGGAGTTCGAAACCAGCCTGTCCAACAAGGTGAAACCCCTTCTCTACAAAATATACAAAAATAAGCCGGGCATGGTGGTGCGCGAAAGTTCCTATGTTTTACTGGCCTTGTCATCTCATCACATGATCTAAAACATCTTTAAAACAAATTAAAATTACCAAACAGATTTATAATTATAACTATACTTTACCATTTGAATTTTGAAGCAGTCTGATTTCTCGATAAAAAGAGAATGTTCCATATTCAATGTTTTTCTTAAATTTCCTGTGCCCTGGTTGCCAGTGGCTCACACGTTTCACATCACATGTTTCCCACACATGTTGGCCAGGCTGGTCTCAAACTGCTGACCTCAGGTGATATGCCCGCCTCTGCCACCCAAAGTGCTGGGAATACACATGCGAGCCACCACACCCAGCCTCTTTCAGTCTTAGATGTTACAACTGCTCAGGGCTTTCACGTCTAAGAACATCTGCCTGTTGTTTTTATTGTTAAACTGTATGGTATAATATTCTTGAATATCAATTTCTTTTACTCATAACTTTGTAGCTATACCTCCACCATCTTCTGTCACTCAATTCTGCTATGGAGAAGTTTGTAGCCTGACTCTTCCAACCCGTGGAGCACTTATTTTGTTTCCCGAATTCCTAATTCTTTCACTTATCCTTGAACTTTGATTCCTTAACCATGATCTGTCTTGGTACGGATCATTCTTTCTGCATAAATTTTTCCTGGAACAAGACATGTTGTATCAATTTGTAGAATCTATCGATTCTTCCTTAACATTATGTGAAATTTTTATTATGAATATTATTTCTGTTCGTTGACCAGATTTTCCATGTCAAAAACATGTTCTTATCGTATACTGGATGATCTTTATTTGTCCTCCCTATTGTTCAAGTTCTGTCTAATTGCCTTAATCTTTGTCCTTTTCTTCTGCACTCACTCTAATTATATCAAGACTTTGTTCTAAGACAAGGTTTATCTTAAGTCACATCTACTTTATTCCTTGTTCTTTCTCATTTTACATCTTGAGGCCACTCAAACGTCTGAACTCCATTTAGCCCATTTTGTTTTTGAATACTTCATTATTTAAGTTCTTTTATAGTGCATAGCACTTACAAGGCACACTCTTTGTTTATGTGTCTTACACATGGTGATTTTATTTTTGGCATACTGTGCTGCTTTAATTTTCTTTTCCAGGAATATACTGGCCCTGTTTGTACCGTTCCCCACCCTCCTGCTCAGGTCCACTGTGACAGCCTTTCTCTTTGGTGTGGAATAGTCTAGGTGGGTTCTCCTTGATTGTTGCCACTTTGTCGGGCATGTGTTTGTCTTCTCTACAAATGGAAGACTGGATAGGGCTTTCTGTATACTGTTCTACTACCTGAGGGAGCAAGGAAGTGGGGCAAAGGAGGAAAAATCTTGGTTAGGGCTATAACTGCCTTTGCTAAAGACTTTGGCCCACTCTACCAGCCAGACATGTAGACCACTCTAGAGGCTTCTGGCTCATCACTTTACAGAATGGCACATCCCAACCGTCCTTTCTGCAGCTGTTGAGAAACCAGGATGGTATAATGGGAATTCGCAAGCAAACCAGTCACCACCAACCATTTAAATTTTTACCAATCAAGGAATATTCGTGTGAAATCCTAGGATTTCACTAATTTACTTTCTTCAATGCTGCTTCTTTTTTTTATTTTCTTTTGAAAAAACTCATGTTCTGCCAGACACAGTGGCTCACACCTGTAATCCCAGCACTTTGGGAGGCCCAGGCGGGTGGATCATCT